TCCGCAGCTTCTTCTTGGTCTGGTCAAGGATTTCCGGTAACAAATGTGACCAGGGATGGTATGGTATATTTTTGGTATCATAAGTTTGCTATGTTGTGGGATAATCTTGAAATATCTTGAAATTTGGTACTAAACTCAGGGAACCAGAAAACCAACCATCTAAATTCCATATCCCGTATATATACCCATCGATGTACCCAGATATCTATTTAACCAATATCAACATATGCCACCATATGCCCAAATGCAGGCAATGATATATATGGTCAACCAGGCCTCATCGGCTTGGCTGCTTGTAGAATCTGCTGGTTCTGCAGCCTCTGCAGCATGTCGGTCCTCCATCGCTTTGAGGCCGGCAAGTGCATTGGCCGACAGGTTCGGCTCCTCAGAAGCCTCCGGATGGCAAGAGTGGTTAACAAGAACCTCTCATGGAGTAAGAGGCATTTACTCGATTTTACTTTGAGACCAAACAGGGAAAACCAAACATGGATATAGACCATAAAGTTTGGCCATGATGTTTTTGATGGATCAACCAATGTTGAACCGACCAAGGCACCCATACACTTCATTAACTTGTTTACTTACCCCGCCTCCAAGGCTTTCCTTTTGCTCCGTGTCTCCTCTTCAACATGTTCCTGTTCCCGCTGTCCTTTCTCCTTGACAACGACGTAGTACTCCTCTACGCCATCGTAAAGGTTTTTCCTGCCAGACGGTTGACCAAGGGAAGGGACGGATATAAATGGTTCGAAGGAGAGAGAGGGAGAGAGAGTATATAGTTACGCAGAATAAAGTATATATGGACAATGTATATAAAAGGATTATATATAGCTGATGCAACATCCATTGCATGGAAATGCATCCATGGAATTGAGATCTCCTTATGTGGGTCGCAGATCTCTTCATGCACAAAGCCTTTGCACCGTTGATCTTCGCCCTTGGAACAACAGGTAAACATTACACACTTCACTGTGGTCATATGGGTGTACCCAAGAACCCAATAGATTCAAGAATGCACATCTGATTTTATATGAGTTGGGTGTTGTAACAAACCCCTTTGAGATAAGCACGTAGACCATCCATAGTCATCCTTCATTTCTTTCTCAGACAGCCATTCCTCATCAATGGTCACCTTTTGGGATGACCGGCGTTTGACCACAATCTCCAGCGAAGCGATAAACTGTGCCTGTGCACGCATGTAGGAATATGTACCCCATGCACACACACATTGCTGATTGCATGACAAAACTGCACATGTAACCTACATGGGATGACCGGCCTTATCAAAGTTGCAATTCACCAGGAGAGCTGCTGTTTCATTTTGGGGTCGGCTTTTGTATTCAGAAACAACCCATTCCGGAACGTTCAGATCTTTACGTGTCTTTTTCGGTTTGCACATCCTTCGGATCTGGGCTTTGGCAGCATCGCGTAGCAATTCCTGACAGGAAAGGCCATTGCAAAACCATACCAACCCCATTATATAAACACCATCAAGTTGATGTTTCCATTGGTTGTGTAAATTCGTAACTCACGTATATTATATACATGCAATGATCATGTAAAAAATATAAGTCAAGTCAAGTCATATATATATATAGTAAATATATGCTGACCTGTTATATATAGAGAATGGTATGGCTTCCCATGTGAGATTCAGGTTGGATCAATGGGTGCTCCTGGCGAGTCTTCCCACGAGGCTTGGCGGTCCGATTTGGTGTAGGAATGGGCCGGACGGAGGCACCCTGATCCTGCGCGGCAAAAGTGTGCAGTGATCATCATGCATGACCAACTTCGGAAGTTTCCCCAAAAAAATAACCCCATATTAACTTCATTTGATGACTATGTTATATATATATATATAGTTGAATGCAAAAACATATGGTCCTTGTGGCTCTCAACTTCAGATGCTTTTTGATCTCCATCTGTAGACTTTGGTTGTTCACCCAACGTGGACTTCGGGGTGGCTTCAGCGGGACTAGGAGTCACTTCTACACGGCTGGGAGCTGCAGATGGAGTAGCCGGTTCAGTGGGACTAGGAGTAACTGCTACAGGGGTGGGAGCTGCAGATGGAGTAGCCGGTTCCAAACCACCAGGAGCAAGTGCTTCTTGAACTTGGGTAGCAGTAGCCTGATCGACCAAGTCAATTCTCCTATCATATATAAAATCAAAGATATAAGTTGCATTGTTCCTCAACTGATTCATTCTATATACACACATAAATATAATAAGCCTTTAAACTTGTGAGCCATTTGGAAGTTTGAATGCAACATCAAAATCATATATATCCGAACTCGATCACCCATTAAATACCGTAGGTCACGTCATAACACATCTATATATTTATACATGCACCCTCCCCATGCAATATATATATATTTATACCATGCGCACTGGCGTCTGCAGGCCTCTAGGGTCTCGGCGGTCGCAATGTCCGGTGCCAAAGTTGGCTCGGTCGGCACCTGGGGAGTCAGCACGGAAGGGGTTGTAGGGTGGGGCATGCATAAAACAGGATCCAACCCATTCCATCCAGTGTCCAATGTGTAAATATATGATTGAGTTTTGCACTGGGGCTGGCGGTGCGCTGCCAAGTGCCAACTGCTTCTTTTCCAGGTCCTGCCCATATACAATGGATATATACCGGGCATCCCAAAATTAATCGATATAAGGCAATGCAGGCCCGGGTGCTACAAATATATTTAAGGATGCGCATTCTGACATTAAACAATTTTAATAACACTGTCCTTGATCATGATCTCTAGTAGATTCTCTTCCTCATCGGCGGCATCGACCTCTGACATCAAGTGGGTGATGCCATCCTTTAGGGTATCGCAACTCCAAAGCCGGGAGCTCCCCATGGCTGAATCTGGCTGTCGAGACATGGTGAGACCTAAAAGTCTACCTATAGGTATGGTTCCAACCCACCAAGTGATCTCTAGAATGCAGCAGGGGACGGATAACAAGGTCTGGTGAATTTGGTGCAATCAAACATCATTGCCACAACAAGAAAATTTATGTTTGAATGATCCGTGGCAATCGGTGGCAACATTTTGCCATATCATTGCACGTCAAAGTCGGTCCGGGCCCGTAAACGAGGCCAAATTACACATAATTACCACCTTGGCCGTGAAGTGGAAAACCCATCTTTTTTTTACGGGTTCCTACGGGTTTTTTACGGGTTCCCTACGGGTTAAATACGGGTTCTAGAAAGTGGGGTTCTGATTGGAATGACAGAAATACGGGTTCCCTACGGGTTAAATACGGGTTTTCATAGTAGAAAACCGGGTTTTCCTGTCGGAACCTATCTTTTTTTTCCGCAATTTTCAAAAAAAAACAGAAATTGCATTAAAACCACCACCTTAACTTTTTATTTGGTTACAATCTGGGTCCCCGACCTTCCAAATCAAACAATTCGGTGAAATGTGATCAAGTATGTTTGAAGGTTTTCTTATTCTGGTTTCACGGTCAAAGCAAAGGCTTTGGAACCAAATGCGACCATTGATTTGGGATGATCAGGTCTTTTCCCTGACGGAGATAATTGAATACGTTAATTACCTGGGCATAGTCTAGGGCGCCGATTTCATCTGGCATTCCCTCATACGACTCGGTGGCTTTCGGAGTCACTTTGGGCACAGGTGTTTTTCCCAACGCTGACGACACAAGATCGGAATAGAGATCAACAATCTTGAAGCCAAACCGTACAGGATATTGCCTCAGATGCACGAGGTTCCCATGTAATGTTCCAACCATATATATGAACCCCAAAAACTGTACTTAACCATACATGATTGTCTTCATATATCCCAAAATGAACCATCATGAACCATGCGATTTTATAAATCATGATTTTGATTTTATATAACATCTTAAAAATTATATTGGCTCCTCAAAGCACATCCCAACCCCGAAAATAAAAGTTACCACATGGCTTGAAAGGTGGTACCCCCACAACATGTCTCCCCACAACGCATCTTCCGATCTCAAAACCCAAAAGCATAAACGACGATCTACCCCAAAACAAACTTGGTGATTTGTTGGCTTGAGCTGAGCAGCTCTGACTTGCGAAGGTTACTGTTTCCAGTATAGCAGGTCTCTCCCTTTTTGTTTTTATAGGTCTTGCAGGTTTTCACCTTCAGGGGCCCCTCATACGGTTGCTTTGCACGCCGCCCCAGAAGCGGACCAAGGCAGAGGCGTGACAAATGGGGACTGTTGCCCCAAGCGTAGTGCGGCTTGGCACTCAAGCCTCCGTAGTGGGCCATGTACCACTTGGCACGGAATACCTGGAGGCGAGAGGAAAGGTATATATGATATATTATGTATACAGGGTATATTAAGGGGATTTAAGGGGTATATATATATATGTGATAGACTGGGTGCATGGACAAAGATGGTATGCATTGGTAAATTCAGTGACCCTGGCCATACAAATGGAAGTCCAATATTCAATTTCTCATGGGTCATCCAAGATTACCCAGAAAGTATTGGGGGCCAAAGCAACATATAGTTCTACATACGGGTCCAACCCATTCCTGAACCATGACACGCAAAGGCATTTGAATTTGGTTGCATGCGACTGAAATGAAAGCAACACATTAACTCTGCTATAGCCATTGAAGACTAGGCACTGCAGTCCCACGGTTGGCTTCGAATATTTGGGCAAGTAGGGATTGGAACGGTGGAAAGTATTCCAGAACTGATTGCTCGGGCTGTTCCACAAACCATGCTCCACCCAGGGCCGTCACCACAATCAGGAGTAAACATAGCCTCAATCACAAATCACTTTATCAACATACAAACCCCATGATCAATCCCACAAACATATTTTCTTATATATCCCCATCAAGAAACCGGCCAGCCATGGTGTTGCTGGTGTACACGGATTCGTACTCCTCATACCCAATTGAAGTACATGGTGTTCGAAAGCTGGTCCCGCGGTTTACCGCGGACCAAGACGAACACTTGATCGCAAACGTTGCAAGGAACTCTTCCGCGGAGCACAGCAAAGAATGCAGGCACAGCCTTGGGAAGGAACGCGGACGGGATACCATAGTGACCAATGCTGGGGGTAGCCACATATCAAGAAAGACTGCATGGGGATATAAACATTGTGTTGTCGAATGGCAACCGGTTTAAAAAAACACTTGCCATGTAGGGAGATCATCTGATTTTGAGACATCCCCATATATAGGCAACCAAGAGATACCACCATATAGACTAAGGTTGAACAGTCGATCTCTATATATATATATATATGGTTTCCTCATAATACCCCAATATCGTTTCAAGTTTTTACGATCGAATTTATATGCAGAGGTTTGGGACCTTTATTGAAATTGAGAGGCGTCCACCCCACCCCACACGTAGGAACTGAACTCATGGGGTTTATATCAATGAACGGACCATCATGTCGTTAAAACCACATGATGACAATACACAAATCTTTGGCGTCATTTGAATGGACAAAAGACGCAAAACCGGAGTCTGACAGGATGTCCATGCTGTTGGAACCATATGAGCGACCAGGTTTCTGAGCATCGAAAAGGATATCAAACGATGCCGTTGTCAGCCCACTGGCCCTGGCGCACTTGCTCAGGTTGGCGTTCCCCGCGAAAAACTCGAAGAGCTGGTATTCCTGCACAAGGCCACGGCAGATATCGGGTATATCGAAAATGTTGGGCACTGGCACTTGATCAATTTATCAATTTGACATGTGACTTGAATCGGGGATTTTTTTATCTTCAAAAAAAACGTTCATGATCCCATCGTTGTTCCTCGCCTGGTTGCACTTGAAAGTTGGTGTCCATATGATCATGAGGATACAAAGGGCCAGCACCTCATCGGATTTTGGCTGGTTCAACCCTGGACCAAAAACAACCACGGATATATCATTTATCTTCGCAAGTGGCAAATTGCTGTCAACATATAAAGATAAAACGTTGGGTCCCCAACCTTTGGACACTTGAGCATCTTGAGCTGGAAGAACAACTCGTCCAGTTGCGGGCTATCAGCTGGGTATCTACAAGGCATTCCCTCCAACCCCAGTCACCACTGGTCAGGCTCAACCCCAAAGTTCGAGCTTTCAAAGGCGTCTGGGGCCAAACGGCGTTGTGGCTTGCAACATGGCATGGCACAATGATCGAGAACTCAGATTCCATTTTCGACATTCCGGTCAAATGAAGATGTTGCATGTTGATTCTTCCATGGTCGCCCTACATGAACTGATCCTTTTGAGAACCTTGATGAATACCAACATATGGATAAGAGGCTTTAAAACCAAAGTTGTTGTCCAAAACCATAAACAAAGGACACTCGCTAAAATTGAGTTGTACATACGGCCTCTTAGCCTATGTTGGTATACATGTCGCAACCAGCTCTGCATTCTATAACATAGCCAGCCCCACTTCCTTTCCATCGTTTTGAAAATTTCGATCGCACCTTCCAGACATTCTTCGGCCGACTGGGCATGGGCACCTGCCAGAAGGAGCCGTGGAAATGGGACATGAGGAAATGTTTTTGGAAGAGTGCCAGCGCAGCACTCAGTCGATCCCTGCATTTATATATATAGACGTTAATTGTATAGTATATATATATAGTGAATATCGACCCACGGAGGTAAATATATGTCAGTATACATCTCAATTCAAACCTGTTTAATAATCTGACCAAGGTACCAACATGTCCCAACTATATCTCAAGATCAAGTATATATGGATGGAGTATCATCATAATCTGACCAAGGTCCCAGGTATGTGCCATTCTATGTCCGTTCCGGTCTGGTGCATTGACAACATGCGCCAATCAAATCAGAATATATATGCGGCTCCCAATGTTGTGAAAGGATTAAAAGGTTAAGTGGTTCACCCGAGTCCGTTCTCAGAAACATGTTACGTTTGCAAACACATCGGGAAACTTTTCCTCCACTGGCGCGAAGCGATGTTGTCAAAAGTATATTTGCAGCTAGCTTCATAGCTGTTGAGCATGTATTCGCACATCGGTCCAGGCAGCCCCGCCCACTCAGCCCCGCAGCACAGGCGATCTAGCCATGCATGGTAAATACATGTGCACTGACATCGCAAATGACTTAGACCCAAAAACTTTGAGAGTAGATTTGGATCCACCGCCAAGTGCTTATGAGCATGGTGCGGGCCATACCGTGTGCATACAATCCCCTAAACCCGTGGTAAATCTGTCAGCTATCCCAGCTATCCGTTGGCTCATTGGCCAGCAAAAACAACGCCAAACTAGCATTGTGCTTGAGGGTCTCGACAAGTGGGCCATCCTTTTTATAGTCCTCCTTGTTCTCCAGCCCGGTCGCCTTGGATAGAGGGAAAAGCAACCCTGCAAGAATCCTGAAACCATACAGAAACTTTGAACTCAGAAAACCAGCCTAGTATTGCTTTGATGTCACAGGTGAACTGCACAGCACAACAACACAACAAGACAGATCAGCAAACATTAAACATCTTTATCATAAAAAATGCTGAGTGACCGCAATGATTGCGCATTTGACTGCAGCAGCCATCTTGTAAGCTTCGCTTGCTGATGATTGGTTGAAACTGAAATGTAAAACATCTTTGCCACTCTCTGTACTTGTCACCCCGACGGAGCCCCGGGTCCAGTAGATGTTCTGAATGTAAAACATTTCAAGATCACGAGGAACGAAGCTGCGAGCTGCTTTCTTGAACGACGGGGATGTAGCTTTGTCCCCTCCCCGCTGCTGAACTTGGATGCAAAACATTCTGATCGTTTCACATTGGTTCCCCACATACATATGACTGGCCTTCATCTGCTGAACCATTGCTGCGGAAGTAGGTGGGGTGGACTTGGGCCTGCCCCGTGCCTTTGCCTTTGCCTTGGCAGAAACCTTTGGGTCTGCTTTCTTGCTTGCCCGTGACTTTGCTTTCGGTGATGCTCGTGTCTTGGCCGCTGCTTTTGCCTTTGGAATTTTGGCTGGTTGTGATTCGACATGCTCTGGCGTCTCATGTGCAACCTTTGCCTTTCTAGTCTTGCGCGTTTTGATCTTGTTGTCACATGAAGATCCTGTTGGACCCGTTGCTGCTGTCGCTTCTGCTTCTGCTCCTGCATCATGTTCAGCATCATTTATAGCCAGTCTCGCCTTTCTCTTTTTGGGGCTGGGGCTGAGGGCACGAAGGGTATTCAACCTGCGGCTATGGGTTTTTTTCGCCTTCCGGGAATTTCCACCTCTCTTCTTGCATTTCTTACCATCCTTTCCCTTTCCCTTTCCTTTTGCCTTTCCACGTTTGGCCTTGGTTACTGCCTTCATACGTAGCTGGTCATCCCTGGTGACATACGGACGTTTACCTCCATCCCCTGCTGCAGAATCCGGCTTGGCCACATTGTCCGTGTCAGTCTTGGGCGGTGCCTGAGTGACGGTGGCCGTTGAAGTTTGGATACATATAATGGTCATATTGTCATCACATGGACATATGGACTAACACCATGCATGTACGTGGTATATATGGAAAAAGAAATGGTTAAACTTTGATTTGTAACATCTTGTCACGAACATGTCCAGGATATGTGTGTGTGGTGTAAATATGTGTAAATAGTAAAACCGAAGTTACTGGAAACAATCGCGTGTCATCAGGAGAATTGGGCTTGGATCTCTTCATTTGATAGTTGGCCCGCATCTTGGACGATGGGATGTCTGGGGATGATGTTGGAAGCAAAGAATCTGTTGGAACTGGCACCGCAGTGATGTCCACAAGCGGCTGAGTCTCCGCGGTGTCATGAGCCACTGGTCCAGGAGTGGCATTAGCTGCAATGCCTGACACATGGATTGAGTCCCATCATGCGCTATATAAATATTTTAAAAAATCCATGCATTCATGCACATTCGTTCAACAGAGGGGAGATCGATAAATCAATCGTAATTAACGGAAAGGGAAAGGATAGGTCATGCAGATCAATGGTATAGCTTTTGTTTCAGTCATGGATCCATGTTCAAGCCTGCTGGTCCCCGTGGCCGCTCGTGTAAGGGCTCAGACTTCATCTTCTGCACAGCCAGATTCAACCTGGCCTTCTTTTCCCGGAGCCTCAGCCGGAAGACGAACACCGTGCATATATCATCTGATTCAAGTATTTCTACGTATATATATCTATATATATATAACATCATATTTAAACAAGTTGCAATATCGATCTGACCAGGTATATAATTTTGTGTTGCTTTGGTTGATGCACTGAGTTTGTCCAATGGCCTATATATACAAAATATAAAGTTGCACTTATATAATGCCAAGATATATATCAACACGGCTTATACACGACTTGGTCCCCTACTCGGCCAAACGTTTTTTGGCCTCTTCCAAGTCCATGGATAGTTTTTGCTGGGCTGCGTCTGCAGCTGGCACCTGACCTGAGGAAAATGGTTTTGAACAGAAACTCATTCGCAGTTATTGGAACCCTGTTCTATATTTACCAGGGATCAGAAGACACCCATGAAATCAAATGACAACACATGTTATTGCTTTGGCGTCTTTGAAAAAAGTTTCAACATGCGTTGGGTCAACTTAAGCTGACCCCCGAGTCACTGAGCCCAACACTCAGGAGTGCTACCTCTTCAGGCTGTTCACCAGGAGCCGGTTCTGCTGCAGCAGTGGCGGGGGCTGCAGCAGCGGCAGGGGCTCGGGCTGGTTGAGCTGGCTCACCGACTAGGGCTGATGATGAAGCCGGATGGGTGCCGGCATCAATATCTACCCCTTCAACATCACTGCTCCCACTAGAGCTATCACTGTCTTCGCCATGGGAACTCTCAGACTCAGAACCTTTGTTGGAATCATCATAAGCATCGTCAGTAGAAATCAGTCCTTTCTTTCGTGCCTGTGCGGGATGAAAGTCATGTTTCCATCAGTGGACACATGTTGACACTCAGGCAGAAACACGTTGGTGGCAATCTTTGAATATTCAAATGTTGGTCATATATATTTAAGTTGCTGCATGCATGCATGCCATGAAAAGGCGAAACCAAACTTTGGGATGTCTTGGGATGTATCCTGGGTCACTTGTGCGCCTGACGTTCCTTCTTGCGTTGAAGTCTCAACTCAACGTTCCTGTTGATCTCATCACATAGATCCTGATCAAAGACCATATCAAGATGAACAACATCAATCCTTCCGAAGACCCATTGTATGATCATGAGGTCGTATGTAAATTGTCGATATTGATTGGTTAACAACGGAGCCCTGATCCTCAAATCAAACCTGGATACAGACCCCCGGTCCTTCAGTTCTGGGTTGAGGATCAGACACAATTTCTGAAAGTCTTTCTCCTGAGCGGAATGCCAAATCTAAAACTAGATAGGGATGATTGCGGTGAGATTGCCATGAAAACATCATCTAATGCGAATCAAAAGATATATTGTCATTTGCATGCAAAAGGACGAATGAGATATAAATTGTAAGCATTCCTGAACTCGAGACTAGGTTCTTCGCTGACTTTCTCTTTCCGTGTCTTCATTTTGACCAATCCAACGAACTTTCTGACGTACCAGGAGTCGCGAATGATTTGGTCAGTATCAACACTGACGCGGCCGCATTTGTGGTACAGGAGCTCTAACTGATCCCGAAGGGGGTGGATAGGGGGTTGGGGCATTCCCTCCGTCTCCACCACTTTGGTGAGAACAACACGTAGCAGCACATTGATATGTGCAGTGCAAGCAACCTTGACACTTTCCTTGGTTTCTCCAGCAAAGAGAACGTTTTCAGAGTCGCGTAAATGAGTTCTAATCGCTTCTTCTTCTTCAAGCAAGACCCCTAGATCACTCACATCCAACTTGGCTCTGTCAGCCTCCTTCTCCATGACCCCCCGCACAAGAGGTGCAGCACAACTCCTTGAGCAAAATGCTGCGTATATATAGAGTCATGATGTCACATGCGTTTCCTTTTTAAATGTTCATGGACCTTGCTGATCCCACTTGGTCAAGTAAACCAAAACCAATTGATTAAGTTCATTGCAACTTCATTTGTTTCTGCGCATCATTGATCATCTCATTTTTATGACCCTTCAAATTGTTGGATATCAGATTTTGAGAGAAGAGCACCCGGCGCAGGACCACGCCTCATATCTGAGTGGGCTGCGTTTGCCATGGCACCCCGCAACGGGTGAGGTGAGGTGTGTATGTTAAATTTGTATATAGTTGTTGAGTTGTGGGGGGAACCCAGAACTATAACTTGAGAATTGCCATTTAAACCACAACCCTTCAAAGCGGTCGCGTTCAGCTTTGTCTCACTATAGCTGGCGTAGCTCTGTGGTTGCCCCATGGTTTCATTTACATTTGGCCACCTTATCATTATATATCATTGTGGGCATCTCATATATGTAGCATTATATATGTAGCCATATATATAGTCCATCAAGATATACTTCAAACTTTCCAGAGACATTGCTGCAAATTCGTCGCGATGTTCCTGGACCAGAAGGCGATGGCGCCTAAAAGGGCAGCAACCGGTTGATAGAGGGGAAGGTGATGGTAGATGATGGTCATATTAAATATAGCGTGCAATTCAAATGATATATATAAGGCATATATGATGAGAACGACCATTGAATATCATGAAAGGATAGAATATATGATTGAGATGGGTCAACATATATATGTTATAGCTATATATACTACCAAAAGTGAGGTTCTCCAGGAAACCTAGGTTTTGCATGCATTTCACTCGAAAGCTCGGTTTTCACCCTGGGACCTACAAAAAGTAAGGTTTTGGTTTCGCTAGGTATTTTTCAATTTATTTAGTTGCTTTGAAATACTGTCTGTATATAAATCGAAGGAAAAATGGAAAATCACAGATTTTTGTGATTTTTTTTTGAAGATGGGCACAAGTCCTAAGTCATCATTTTTTCAACGATTGGCTCGAGGACTTCGACCCAACGACGGGGTAGTGCAACAGGGACTACAATAGGGAAGCACAACGGGGAAACAAAACGGGAAACAACAGAGAAAAATGAAAAGTGAAAAAAACATATTTATAATTATCAATTTATTAAGTTGCTTTAAAATACTGTCTGTATATAAATCGAAGGAAAAATGCGAAATCACAGATTTTTGTGATTTTTTTTTTGAAGATGGGCACAAATCCTAAGTCATCATTTTTTCAACGATTGGCTCGAGGACTTCGACCCAACGACGGGGTAGTGCAATGGGGAATACAATAGGGAAGCACAACGGGGAAACAAAACGGGAAACAACAGAGAAAAATGAAAAGTGAAAAAAACATATTTACATTTTTCAATTTATTTAATTACTTTAAAATACTGTCTGTATATCAATCAAAGGAAAAAATGGAAAATCACAGATTTTTGTGAAATATATTTTTTTCGAAGATGGGCACAAGTCCTAAGTCATCATTTTTTCAACGAATGGCTCGAGGACTTCGACCCAACGACGGGGTAGCGCAACGGGGAATACAATAGGGAAGCACAACGGGGAAACAAAACGGGAAACAACAGAGAAAAATGAAAAGTGAAAAAAACATATTTATATTTTTCAATTTATTTAATTGCTTTAAAATACTGTCTGTATATAAATCGAAGGGAAAAATGGAAAATCACAGATTTGTGTGAAATATGTTTTTTTGAAGATGGGCACAAGTCCTAAGTCATCATTTTTTCAACGATTGGCTCGAGGACTTCGACCCAACGACGGGGTAGTGCAACGGGGAATACAATAGGGAAGCACAACGGGGGAACAAAACGGGAAACAACAAAGAAAAATGAAAAGTGAAAAAAACATATTTATATTTTTCAATTTATTTAATTGCTTTAAAATACTGTCTGTATATCAATCAAAGGAAAAAAATGGAAAATCACAGATTTTTGTGATTTTTTTTGGAAGATGGGCACAAGTCCTAAGTCATTATTTTTTCAACGAATGGCTCGAGGACTTCGACCCAACGACGGGGTAGTGCAACGGGGAATACAATAGGGAAGCACAACGGGGAAACAAAACGGGAAACAACAGAGAAAAATGAAAAGTGAAAAATATATATTTATATTTTTCAATTTATTTAATTGCTTTAAAATACTGTCTGTATATAAATCAAAGGAAAAAATGGGAAATCACAGATTTTTGTATTTTTTTTTTGAAGATGGGCACAAGTCCTAAGTCATCATTTTTTCAACGATTGGCTCGAGGACTTCGACCCAACGACGGGGTAGTGCAACGGGGAATACAATAGGGAAGCACAACGGGGAAACAAAACGGGAAACAACAGAGAAAAATGAAAAGTGCAAAAAAAATATTTATATTTTTCAATGTATTTAATTGCTTTAAAATACTGTCTGTATATAAATCGAGCGAAAAATGGAAAATCACAGATTTTTGTGATTTTTTTTTTTGAAGATTGGCGCAAGTCCTAAGTCATCATTTTTCAAGATGCGTTACGAAGCATTTTATAGAGATGACGGAGAGGTCATTTCACAGAGGGTTCCCACTTCCCGTTGTGCTTCCCTATTGTGGTCCCCGTTGCACTACCCCGTCGTTGGGTCGAAGTCCTCGAGCCATTCGTTGAAAAAATGATGACTTAGGACTTGTGCCCATCTTCCAAAAAAAATATTTCACAAAAATAATCTGTGATTTTCCATTTTTCCTTCGATTTATATACAGATAGTATTTTAAAGCAAGTAAATAAATTGAAAATATTGAAAAAGGTATTGGGATGTAATGTACTGTATTTTAATTTAATGCAATATATGTATGTACGTTCTGATTACTTAGGACTTGTGCCCCTCTGGTGACAGACGATTTCCAAGTCCTTTGCATGTATGTACTGTAATGTAATGTACTGTAGTGTACTGTACTGCACTTTACTGTAATGTAATGTAATGTACTGTAGTGTAATATACTGTATATACTGTACTGTAATGTACTGTAAGTATGTAGGTCCTGATGACTTAGGACTTGTGCCCCTTTGGTGACATACGATTTTGTGCACCAAGTCCTATGCATGTATGTAGTGTAATGTACTGTACTGTAATGTAATGTAATGCACTGTAGTGTAATGTAATGTACTGCACTTTACTGTAATGTAATGTACTGTAGTGTGATGTAATGTACTGCACTTTACTGTAAGGTAATGTAATGTACTGTAGTGTAATGTACTGTACTGTACGGTAATGTTCTGTAAGTATGTAGGTTCTGATGACTTAGGACTTGTGCCCCTCTAGTGACATACGATTTTGTGCACCAAGTCCTGTGCATGTATGTAATATAATGTACTGTAATGTGCTGTAATGTAATGTAATGTACTGTAGTGTAGTGTAATGTACTGTACTTTACTGTATTGTAGTGATGTAATGTACTGTACTGTAATGTAATGTAAGTATGTAGATTCTGATGACTTATTAAGAGAAGATTTTTTATTTTTTTTTACCCTAAAAAGTGCTTGAATCCAATCACAACCCCAGTGACTTAGGACTTGGTGCACACAAATCACCTGGTAAGAACACCAGTGACTTAGGACTTGGTGCACAAAATCCTATGTCACTATGGTGGCCTAAGTCCTAAGTCACCAGTCCGAAATATAGATTGCCCCAATCGAAACCACAGTTTGGTATTGGAACTGTTCCGAATGGTTGGTTGGGGTCTATAGTTTTTATGGGTTTATTCAATATTGCAGGTTTACGTAGTGGAAGAATCTCAGACATACCCTTTTCGGCCGTCAGGAATCTTTCGCTACAGCCCTCTGCTGGGCTCTGATCAAAACCCCATGGAGTCAGATCAGCAAACCACCTGGCTACTGGCTCCATCCGCGACCAAGTGGCCCAAAGCTCTTTCAGCCTTTGTGTCTGCTCCTGAGGCAAAGGCAAATGCTGTGAAAAGCACCGGAGACGCCCAATAAAAATTGCTGTTTGAATGGGGAAAAGGATGAAAGCCAAGGCAGCCAAGGCAGCCAAGGCATCCTGGAGAAGCTGGGCTAAACCAGAAACCAAGTTGTGCTTTGTGAATTACCAGAAGCTTTTGCCCCCAGTCCACATCACAAATAAAGTATTGATAACTGTTGTAATTGAGTAAAACTAGCTGAAGTATGCTGAAGTCCTATTATTTCTGCGACCCCTAGGATATAAATCCAGCAAGGAAAAATAACACATAGCATCACATCATATGTTGCAACATGAACATGCTGATATCTGCAGCACCATTACATTCTCTACCCAGTAGACTTCAGTCAGGAGGTAACTCAGATTTACCATGATTTACCAAGATTTACCCCTGGTTCATAACTACTTTCCTTGTGAAACTCTGAAAGAAATGGCCACTTCGGGGTAGATCAGATTCGCCCAAGGAAAACATGCCGTGTTTCGCTGGGATCCAGGCGAATCTCCGCCTCAGCACGCCCATCATCTGCGGATGCTGCGCAGCGATGGTATCCAAATCACTCCTGTGCAACGAGCAGTGCAAGTGGCTCCTTAATACGCTTTAGTTCCCAGAAATGTCGATTACATTCTAAGATATTATAACTAGTTCCGAAGTTACAAGGAGAAAGCATCCAAAGAGATCAAACATCTACAAAGTCAGAAGTTCCAGAGGGCTCTATCCTTTACTACATTGTGTATCAAAAAAGAAAGCAAATAAATAAAGCACGAGAGACCAAGAAAAGAAATAACAGAAATATCAAGACAAAGGAGGGAGAGGAAAGAAAGAAGGAAATAGATAAGAATAAGAAAGAACAGAAAAAAAGAGAATAAGAAAAATAAGACGGAGAATATAGATAAGAAAGACAAGAACGATGAGAAAGGCAGAACGAAAGAAAAAGAAAAAAAACATATATAGAACCACAAGAAAGAACGAATGAAGTAGAACAACGAGGAAAAACAACAAACAAACACAAATCAAAAAGATCAAGAAAGAATATTAAAAAAACATTAATCATTAATTAACTGAATAAATCAATAAATATCAATATAATGAATAACGCTTCTCTCACGCGGCACGAGTTCAGTAATGAAAATAGAAAGAAATAGATGAAAATAAACGAGATCTCAGTCTCAGGACTTTAAAGACTCCCCAGAAAGATGGGTAAATACTAGTAAATATAGGAACCGCCAACATCAAATTTTCTGGCCTCACCTCCGACCCCGAGCATCCTCAACCCTGACACTCCAAGTTGTCCTCACCACATTTGGATCCGCAAAGGGTGCTGGTGCCAGCCGCGTGGCCGCCGTGGGTGTGCTGGGTGCGGCCGCCCCCAGGGACCCCGAGGTCGGCCGCGGCACCGCAGGCGCCGCAGGCGCTGCAGGTGCTGCAGGTGCCACAGGTGCTGGGGGCGGCATTGCAGCTGGGGGCGGCTTGGTGGCCGTGGGCGTGTTAGGCCCTGAGGCTGGAGCTGGAGCTGCTGGAGCTGCTGCTGGGGCTGAGTTGCTGTGGCGCACTGGGTTCCAAGGGGCTGGGAGTGGCGGATGCGTGCCTCGGAACGGATCGATGTGGCTAGCGATATAAATCATGCGAGACCAATCAAGTCTTGAGGCTGCGGCCATTGTAGCTATTGGAAGGCATCTTGGCCTGGCCGGATTTGTTGACCTGGTGAAATACAATGGTTTCCTTGGATCCTCTGGAGCAGTAGTGAAACTGCCCGGCAAGCTCGGCAGAAGTTGGCACAATGAGGATTCTCTGTGCATCACCAAAAAACAAAATCGCCGACAGCATGGAAAAGAACTATACCCTCTGGTTATTTAACATAGCCATGGAAAATGACCCATTTATAGATGGTTTACCTATTTAAAATGGTGATTTTCCATGGCTATGTTAAATAACCAGAGGGTAAGCTTGCTTTGGTGCCGGGGCGACATCAACGATTCTAGATAGTGCGCCTGTGGGGAGACGGCTCGAGGGCTCACGGGCCTGCAAGGATTCCAATTCATAAGTGCTTAACCAATGTATAACTAGGGTAGATCCATGTATCCTCTTATAATCTAACATAGCTATGGAAAAGTGCCCGTTTGTGGATGAATTACCATTTAAATTGATGATGTTCCATAGTTCTGTTAGATTACCACTGGTATGTCCTATCATTCTAGCTGTGTGTTATGTATCATTTACTCATTGGCATGGAGGTCAAGTAGCCGAGGTTCCTGCTTTAATTTGTATGGGACAACAGTGTGCCCAATTGCTGGCAACCATTCGCCACCGTCCGTGCGTTCGGGCCAAATCCTGATGCGTTGGGGAAGGTGGTAAAACATGTAAAACGTGACATTTCTACGGGGTTGTATTGTGCGAAATACAGGGGAAGGAAGGAAGAAAACAGAAAGAAGGAAGATCTAAAAAAAAACAGGATAAAAGAGACAAGAAAAGGAACAAAGAAAGAAGAAAAAACTGTAACAAATGAAATGGAAAAGAACCCATATTTCACATGTTATAAGTTCACTCTGAAGACCAAAATCATTGAAGTTCCTTATTGTAGCATCCAACTCCCTCCTGATTGCGGGAATTTCCCAGGGTTGAAAAGTAAAATCTGTGAAACCTCCAACATCCTCCAGCAACTTGTCATCAACGCCCAACAACCAAATTTAGTGACTTCTTAAAATGGGGTATCCCAAAAACCATCAAAAACCTATAAAAACCTGCAGAATTCGTCATGTTCAAACATGTTTACCCTCTGGTAATTTAACATAACTATGGAAAATCACCATTTATAGTGGATTTTTCCATGAAAAATGGTGATTTTCCATAGTTATGTTAGTTTACCAGAGGGTAAGTTGGGGGCCCTATTTTCCAAAGCCATGTCATCTTAGGCATACAGATCTCGTCGATGATTCCTCCAAGGCCTTGCCTTTCAGATCTCACAGGCCTTTTTGGAGGTTCTGGCAGCTCACCTGGTGAAACCATATAGAAGCCAGAAAACAAACTATGAGCTGGAAGCCTCACAAAGGTGATCAACAATTTATGTATATTTATGTTTATTTATTTATTTATTATACATATATACGCACATATATGGCGTTGGAAGATGTTTCAACTTACTTGTTACCACAGTTGGAAGTTGTTCCATCACCAATCATTTTTTGTAGATGTCTCAAGATGGCTTCTCCTCATGGATTCATGAAATTTCATGAACATCGCCATCTTAGTGGGGAAAATGTATGACATGAACCACCAAAATTGGGGGGTGCCATATTTTCAGATGTGCCTTCAGTGCGACGCTCCGGTGCAGCCGCCACAGCCACCTTGCCTTCGACCTTTTTCGCTGAGATGGGGAAGGGGTGAAGGGGTTGGGCTGTCTCCTGGGGACGCAATCAGTGGTTATGAATGCTTAATAATCCATATGGGGATGGGTCAAAACCCTGGTACCTAGTGAACCCCCAAATAGCTGGCAAATGGATGTTCATCCCACTCTAAATGTATCTATAGGTATTGACCCATACCCATAAAGCTGGGGTATATCCCACAACATTGGTATTTCACTTGGACTGCGATGCACATCCACCAACATGTCTAGAATTCTAGAGATTGTTTTTTTGGGGGTGGTCTCTGATGCTGAGAAATCTCTGACATCGCTGCATTGTATTACTAAACCCCTGGCTGATTTCTGTTATTTTGGTGCGTCACAAGTGCCCCTGATATCCGATTTTTTGCATCATTTTTGGTGTGAACCAGAACCCATAATTCAATAATAAGTATCGAATCGATCAGTTTCTTTGATTGCATCATTCTTGTTTCACCTCTGACTCTATAGTATAATGATACTGATAAGTATATAATGATTATTATTATCATTTATGATCCATTAATTAATACTTGCATCATGTTTTTACATCTATGATTAGTATAACTTTCTCAGGAGAAATCTTGGGAACATCCACCATCGTTCTGGCCAGGTCACAATCTCTCCATGTGGGGGTGGAAGTGTTCGGTCCGCCTGCCGTATAAAGCTCGGTCCATCTCGGTCCACTGGGCATCATGGGGAAAATGAGTAAAAAATAACGATTCACCAAATATTCACCAAGAAACGTAAACGTGCCCCTTAGATATTAACCACTGATTTCTCCAGATCAATGGATTCTGATCTGTGGAATTTTTCGAAACTTGAAACCATGCTGTTTGCCCCCAAATAGAGCAAATCGCTTGGGGTAATCCCTGTAAATCTTCAGGAAAAAAATAAGCTGGCAACTCCCTATCACTTTCCTTTATCCTTTAGTAGGTCTGATGAGCGGAAAGAGCACCTCTGCGTCCAACGGTATCTGGCGGGATGACGTGGAAAAACCCACGGGATGAGCGAGCCGCTTTACATCTGGGGATGGGACAACATGTAAAGCCCAGGGGACCGGAGGACCCCGGAGGTTTGGTTGGTCATTTGCTGCGAATCGATTGTTGTTAGACCCTCCAATTTTGGGGCGTATCCCATGCTGACTCAGGCTCATGTGTTCTGGGCAAAGGTGGTATATGGCTTATGGTCATCCCATCATCATTGGGGATTCCTGATACTGAGTATACGTATCTTTTAATGATTTTAATGGATTGATGACCGTCCCCTTTTATCGCAAAATAAACCATGTTTTGACCATGGCCATGGCACAGATGAATTCGAATCGGTTCAATAGTCAATGCTATTGGTTTTTTAAGCTCAATGAGATGCTGTTCCTTTGAAGGAGATGAATCTACAATCTTCATCGGTCTTCAGTTTCCCAGCAATAATTCCAGGACACAAAAAAACAGGAAACCTCCGTTTTTTCGCAGTAAATATCGGGGGGTCCTAAAAAATTGTCCCTAAAATCCACTCTCATTCGCGAATTTTACTCTGACTCTTGACCTCTTGACCCGGCTTCCCACAATCTGCTCCCAGTTAGAAGTTGGTTTATAAGCGCCACTATGGATGGTTATAAACCAACTTAGCTTCTTATGGGGCGGGACAACTGGGCAGCCACGCCGGGTTAGGACAGGCGCGTTCCATTGCGGGGCGCGCGGCACTGCCGGAGTTGCCTGCCGGTCAAAGTAACAAAACAGCACTGAAGGCTTAAGTGGCCATTAAGTTTGCTTGCATACCCATTTATAATATGTTGTATCTATGATCTATATATGTATATTATTATTACCATTATTTTTATCATTATTGCAAATATACATGTAGACTTTCGTAAATAAGGTGACGGGGTTGTATTTAAGGTCTGTCCCCGGAAATAAGGTGCATGCGGTATGCAAAATGCATCAAATCAAATGTGCGGGGATCCTTGGCTAAAAAAATGGTTGCGCAACTAATTACGAGACACGGGCCCGATTTCGTCCTATCTTTTCATTTCTTTACACTGATTTTTTAAATGTAATTTTACCCTATTTCCCCACCTGCCAGGTGAGGGTTGTTAGATTTTATGTCAGTTGCCTCCTCCTGCCTCGTCCTCCTCCTCCTCCTCTCCTCCTCGTCCTCCTCGTCCTCCTTGTCATCCTTGTCGTCCTTGTCGTCCTCGTCGTCCTCGTCGTCCTCGTCGTCCTCGTCCAACTGCGACCCGCGATCCACAGTGTTCTCTGCCGGACCTCAACCACGACCATCCACGCCCAGTGTTCCCTGCCGGACCTCAACCACGACCATCCACGCCCAGTGTTCCCTGCCGGACCTCAACCACGACCATCCACGCCCAGTGTTCCCTGCCGGACCTCAACCGCGAGTATCCACGCCAAGTGTTCCCTGCCGGACCTCGTGTAGGAAGATAAAATGTCAGATAGAGTGCCAGAAGATTTGCCAGGTAGAATGCCAGAAAATATGCCAGAAGATATGCTAGATAGATATGCCAGAAGATATTTCAGAAGATATGCCAGATAGAATGCCAGATAGAATGCCAGAAGATATGTCAGAATATATGCCAGATAGAATGCCAGAAGGTATGTCAGATAGAATGCCAGAAGATATGCCAGATAGAATGCCAGAAGATTTGCCAGATAGAATGCCAGAAGATATACCAGAAGATATGCCAGATAGAATGCCAAATAGAATGTCAGAAGATATGTCAGATAGAATGCCAGAAGATGTGCCAGTAAGAACATGGATAAATGTCATGGTGGGGATCACACGAAGTAAAGTATTTTTTTTGCAGACAGAAACACCGCCGGCTGCTCAAAACAATGCTTTCTATGAATCTTTAAAGAAGGCCCGCCGAAGTTGCCACTTTTGAGTGTTTGAATCGTTTCAAAAAAAATTGATTCCATCGATCTGAAGGCCATTTAAAAATAAACGCTACACTGTTTACTGTGTTTTAAATTCTATTGTTTTGATTATATATATATGTTTGTGTGTTCTTTTTTATTGTTAATGTTTTCTTATATATATATATACATATTTATGTGTTAATTCTTATGTGTTTTATTTATATCTATGTTTATGTACGCGTACCTATTATATGTTATTGTGTGTTAAATATTTTTGTTTTTTTTTTATTTTGTTGATATATTGTTTTTCCCCACCTGCCAGGTGTTAGATTTTATGTCAGTTGCCTGCTCCTCCTCTCCTCCTCTCCTCCTCTCCTCTCCTCTCCTCTCCTCTCCTCCTCTCCTCTTCCTCCTGCTCAACCGCGACCCTCGACGCACAGTGTTCTCTGTCGGACCTCAACCACGACCATCCACGCCCAGTGTTCCCTGCCGGACCTCAACCACGACCATCCCCGCCCAGTGTTCCCTGCCGGACCTCAACCACGACCATCCACGCCCAGTGTTCCCTGCCGGACCTCAACCGCGAGTATCCCCGCCCAGTGTTCCCTGCCGGACCTCAACCACGACCATCCACGCCCAGTGTTCCCTGCCGGACCTCAACCGCGAGTATCCACGCCAAAAGATATGCCACATAGAGTGCCAGAAGATATGCCAGATAGAATGTTAGAAGATATGCCAGATAGAATGTTAGAAGATATGCCAGATAGAATGCCAGAAGGTATGCCAGATAGAATGCCAGATAGAATGTCAGCTAGAATGCCAGAAGATATGCCAGATAAAGTGCCAGAATGTTTGCCAGATAGAATGCCAGCAGATTTGCCAGATAATATGCCAGAAGATATGCTAGATAGAATGCCAGATGGAATGCCAGAAGATTTGCCAGATAATATGCCAGAAGATATGCCAGATAGAATGCCAGATGGAATGCCAGAAGATATGCCAGAACATATGCCAGAAGATATGCCAGAAGATATGCCAGAACATCTGCCAGAAGATATGCCAGAACATCTGCAAGAAGATATGCCAGGTAGAATGCCACAGAAGATATGCCAGATAGAATGCCAGATCGAATGCCAGAAAATATGTCAGATAGAATGCCAGAAGATGTGCCAGTAACAACATGTATAAATGTCATGGTGGGGATCACACGAAGTAAAGTAATTTATGTTTTTATTTTTCCTTATTTCCGCGGAAATTCCTTGAATTCAAGGGCGGGCCTTGAGTTTAAGGAATTTCGATTTTTTTCCACGTTTTTGTTCTTAAATAAAATTTAATGCGTTTCTTTCAAAAATCCTAGTGGGTTTTGATTTTTCCACGATTATTTTTCGGAAAAAAAACATTGAATTTCAATAATTGTGAAAAAAGTCGAAATTCCTTGAATTTAAGGAAATTCTGCGGAAATGAGGAAACATTTTTTTTAAGTTTCAAAACATTGAAAAAACATAAGTCAAAATATAAATATATAAATATTGTTTCACTTTGTATTTCCAGGATTTCAATCTTCCAATCGGCCCAGATCGACCAGCAAGCAATCTCGAATACAAGGTAGGGAGCTCACGTAGCCTAAAAAATGCCAATGGTGGCTTTATTGGGACCTCCAAGGACTTGATCTGTGAGCGGTGATCATTTAAACAATTCCCGTCGGGTGCGAATTTCTGCAATTGACTTGCAGGGCCATTCCCAGGTGGCAGGGCGTGGTGGTGGAAACCTTGCGGAACTCGAGTGGAAACCCGACATTGGCACCAGGTGTGGCTGGGCTTCGTATGAAGACTATATAGCAGCTGGCTGCCTTGGTTTCGGTTCCCATGGATGAACCACGGAAGGCCCCCCACACAGACACTTAGGCACAAGCGGGAAACCATCCTCGCCGATTTTGTTCTGCAAGTTGGTACCGCAGAAGTCCATCTGACCTCGATGCCAATGGCAAGGCTTCAGAAATCCTGCGCCCTATGCAATCTGCCATCTGCATCCATTCGCATTTGCATCTAGTGAGAGTCACAGAAAAGCGATTGGTGTGATTGATGTGATTGTGGCTCGAGCATTTCCTCACGGCCGCCAGCTGCCTGCACCAACTGAAGTATGGACCACTAGAAGAGATGCAAAATCAAAACTTAAAAGGCGTGTAAATGACATTCGAATGTAATTGCAAAAGACATATTACTATTGCAAGACATGTAATTGCAAAAGACATACGGGCGCAGCACAGTGTAGCACAGCGCAGAGACTTTCGCACAAGATCAACTGGCCAGGAGCACTCTTCCAGAGGAAGCCGGTCGCAAACCTCCCAGGGCGCCTGGCATTGTTTTTTGTCGAAGGCGTGACTCTGGGCAGCTGTACTACGGTACGCCCTGCGGAGCCTCCTTTGGATGCAGCAGGCTGAAGACCAGCACCTCAGAGTCAAGGCGCAATCGTTGATCATCGCAGAATCACTCAGGAACAAGGGAGGGGCGCAAGACACCAACCGTTTTGATGTTTACAGTAGTGAACCTGACGAAGGAGATCACTCAAGCGGTGCAAGCGACAGCGTAATCCTGAGCAAGTGGCCCCAAGGCTCCACCAGTCAACCTGTCAGCTCTCAGCACTTGGCTGCACTCCCCGCAGCTCGTTTCACACTGTCTCCACATTGAAACAATCAATCCAACTCATTGACACATTGACGTGGCTAACGCAGGAACTTGGGTTCAAGCTGAGGTGTTGTGCCCCCGCGTAGGGTCCTTGGCTTTGCTTGGCATTTTTCCAGGCTTTGTCGGCATTCAAATGTTGGAGAATCCAGTTGCCAACAGAATCCATGGAGAAAGAATCGGTCGGGCATCCAAGGTCCGGACGATCACCTCCGGCGCGGGTTCCAATGACCGTGTGGGTCTTGCTGCCTCAGCGATAGCTTTCACAACGTGTAGTCTCTCTAGGTCCGACTTGGGATGCCTTGGGAGCGGACCCGACCCCAGTCCAGATTTGGCACAGCCCAGATCGCACACCTTTGCGTAGCCTGCGCTGTCCAGGAGGACCTGGACAAACCAGGCAGTCAACGGCAGGGTTTTTGCTGACGCTGAAAGGATATCCATCTCAGAACGATAAACATCCATTGCTACATGGGTTTGCCCAGAAATGGTGGTGCCCCTTTACCAACCAATCATGATTATTAATTTGGAAGGCCTTTAGTTTTGGGTGTACACCATCCATGGCCAAACCCACTTTGATCATCAAGCAGCTCCATCTGAGCTAGGACATTCTCCAGCTTTATGTCCCTGTGCGCAACGCCCTTCGAGTGCATGCGGTCCAGCGCCTTAAATATCTTGACTCGGCCTTATCTATTGTGACCAGCGGCGCTAATGGATTGCAGGAAGGCAGCCAAGCCAAGGCATCGGCCTTCACGATGCAACCGCTGTAGAAGAGGGCGGCATAGCCTCGCCAGCAATGTCTGGTTCCCAAAAACTTGGCGACAAGTACTGCTCAGAACATGATCCATGTGGGGTTGATAACGTAACGATGAATAATCCTATGGCTTACCCATTAACAATGATGATTATTGACATGATTGCTGATGAGGGTTAGACCAATCTTAGACACGGCTGCTGTGCCCGGTACCTCGGAATGGGTGGAGCAACACCTGGCGCAGACGCTCCAAAGCATAAATTCTGAATCTCCACAACCAATTCGCTGAGGAACCTTGTAATCCTGGCTTATGAGCTGGAGCAGGCTGCACCCAAGGAGTTCCATCTTCATGTAGCCCTTGGTGAGCCGCCACGCAGTCTGTTCTGTTCCTGTCGAATAGTTTGATTTGTATTATTTGTTTTTATTTGTATTTAGAGTTGTTTGTATTATTTGTCGAATAGAGTTGTTTGCATTTGTTTCTTTAAATTATCATTGTTTTTCAAGAGAAACACATGTCTTTTTTCAAAAATAAGATATAAATGAAACCGCTGAAACAAATAAATAAATGAAATATCTTTAAGAATCCAATACATATTTGTAGTGTCTATTTTTTAGATTGCTCAAATTGGTGGAAGCAATGTTCTTTGAGAGACAATCCAAATCCTCAAAAGTGGCCCCTGCGGCGGGCCTTTTTAAAGATTCATAGAAATGATTTTTCTTGAGCAGGCGGCAAGGCTTCTGTCTGCAAAAAATGGTAAAAATAAATTTAAACACTCCATGCATTTAAAAACGAGAGACCGAGAAAAATAAGTAACATGAACATAGTTCAACGAAATGTTCAAACAAAAGCGAACGTAATTGAAGAATTGAAGAATGTATATAGATATGATATATATATATGTAATTAATATATATATATATGTATAAATTATTTTTATGGTCATGCCCAACACCAACAGCTGCTGCTGTGGAGCAAGTCCAGTGAGCTGTTGTAAGATGTTGTAAGTATTTGTTTTGGATGATTTCTTTAGGTGCCTGCATTCGTTTCTTTATGGCTCCTGTTGTTTTCCGCGCATACTTTATTTTGACGTACTATGTTGTCATCCAAATTCTTCACAAAATAGTCATGTGGATGGGTGCAGTTACGTGATTCAATACAAGTTGCTCAAAACCCTGTCAAACTGGATTTCAATCCGAAACAGCTGGTTTGCAAATATCCTAAACCTTATTTCCGTGTAATAACCTTATTTCCTTGAATTATGAAAGTTTACAGTTTACATATACATATTTATACTATATATATGTGATTTGACATGTGTTGATTGCTTCCAATCCTCACGTTCAAGGCTTGAATCCCGACCAATGGATCTCTTCGGGTACCTCGCGCACGGCTCACCTGCACCGCACTGGCGCCGCGCAACTGGGGGTTTTGACCTATAGTAAACCCATACAATATATTATAAGATTCATGGGATATATAGTAATCCCCTAACAAAGATAGACCAGATTTAACCCTTAATTTAGGATCGGTTGATTCAAGCTTCTATCTTTCTGGGTGGAAGTTGATTGATCATGGTTGTGAAAACAGTCAGCACTTGGATCACCTGCAGTCAGAAATGCCTGCATGCTCGGACACTCAAAGTCTCTCACTGCTCGGTCGGATGGCGATTTCCGACAGACAGACAGACAGACAGACAGACAGACAGACAGACAGAGAGAGAGAGAGAGAGAGATAGATAGACAGATAGATAGATAGGTAGGTAGATAGATAGATAGATGGATGAATAGATAGATCGATAGATAGATAGACAGATAGATAGGTACATAGACAGATAGATAGACAGATAGACAGATAGACAGATAGACAGATAGACACAGATAGACAGAGAGACAGAGAGACAGAGAGACAGAGAGACAGATAGACAGATAGACAGATAGACAGATAGACAGATAGACAGATAGACAGATAGATAGATAGATAGATAGATAACCGATGAAATATGATTTGAAGCCAATCAGCAACCTACACAGGGATACCCGAAACATGGGGAAGTTGAGAGAAATGGACGCTTCACCCTTGTTTGGGATACCGAAAGGGAGGCAAAAAGGGCGTTCTCTTTGCATAGCGACCCCCCAAAGAATCCACCAACCTCCAATCCTAATTTATCTTGGCTCAATCCTGATTTATTTTGGTTCAATCCTGAATTATCTTGCTTCAATCTTGCTTTTCAGTGGTAATCATGGTTGCGTTCAATCCCCATTCTTGCGGCGCAAACCTGATGCCCTCCTCGCTCCAAACAGTCCCTGGGGCGCACCGCAGCAACCTTGGCTTCTCTTCGCTGCAAGTCCGCCTTGAAGCCAAGCCATGGGGGCTTTCTTGACATCAAATCATAGTGATTTCAGCATCAAACATTGGGATTTTATTGATGTTATTTGATTTTATCCACCAACAGTTTGGACTTTTAACCACCCAAAATTGAGATTTGACCATCAACAACTGGGTTTTAAGCACCGAACATGATGATTTAACCACCACAAAGTGTTGTTTAACCATCAAACATGTTTGATTTACCACCAAGAACTCGGAGGTACTGTCAAACATGTGGAACCATCGAACAGGGGGGTTAACATGATTTGACAATCCTGAATGTGAGGTGAATCCCCTTAAGCACCAGCGAGCAGTGAGGTCGGTACCTCGGTACCACCCATCCCAAACAAGCATGCAACATTTAGCGGTTAAACATAGTCGAAGTAGGGGATGGCATCGGACGGCACAATGAAACAACCACAGTACCCAGTTATCAACAAATGTGGTATTTACCCAGTACCCAGTTGCCACAGTACCACGTTCAAAACAGGTGTTGGAACAGCTGGTGATGGGTTCAAAACCGTTCCCGTCTTGGGATCCCCCACCACCCAAATCCCTAGCTGAGACCCCTCGGCCGAAACGGCCTGGCCGGTCTTGTTGCGGAGAAAACCATGGTCTACCAACCAACAATTAAAATTTCAGGACCATAAAGCCATGTTTTTGGGGCATATCGGCATATCCCCTTCATTCCCCTTCCATAGTCCTTACATAGGCCTTATGGTAGGCACCTCCCCATTCCGGGATGATTGCAGCCAATACTCCAGTGGAAAGGTTGAACGTTTAGGATACAAAAAGATACCAAAAGATCAGCAACCAAACGGGCATCAGGCCATGATGTTTTTAAATGTTTTTAAGATATCTCCGCAAGGGTTCACTTCACCGGGGTCCCAGGCGGCCCTTCATGGAACTGTTTGGTGTCCATTGTTTGACTATGCTCGGGTGGGAGTCAAACGGTTCAAATGCGAACAGGGAAACCAGCAACATCCACAGATTGGCAATACTACAGTCATTCCTTCTACTGACCTTTTGGCGGCTTACGGGGTGTGTTGACTGTATGTGCCGTGCAAACGCTGGTACAGTAAAGTCTTTGGCCTGTATAAGGTGGGAAACTATGAGGTTGCCTAGTCTATTAGGTCGACTGAACGAAAGTTCATACTATATAGTATGATTCAAATCTCCCTGGGAACTCTCACAAATTGAGGGTATAGGATGACTTAGGGCAATGGTTCCAAAATTGTTGGCCCAGACAATTGGATGGTCTGCCGTCTACAGTTGAACATCTCAAAAACCTGTGGTTCTCCGGACCTTTCTCATTTACCCCTTTCCTATATGGAGCAACCTTCAATCATGCTTTGTGTTGCTTACATGCCCATTTTTGTTGGTTGAAACCATCCCCAACCCCAACCATCTCGTTGGCTCTGCTTCCAGCCAGAAACACTCCAGGAACACTTGGAAAGCCCGGATCATTTTACTTGGGAAATCATAGGTTTTCCATGTCTAGTTGCCAGAGGATGTTCTCCGCACATGCCAGCGCCACCAAAAGTTTCTCTTCCGGATAGCAAATCCGCATGTCCTGGAATTGGGTTTAAACATGAAGCATGGTGATGTGAAGTATCAATCATGGGATGATTCACTGGAATGATGCGGACAGCTCTTCGGTTTTTTGATTTCTGGCTGAGGCACCCGGACAACAAAACATGTTCTGAGCTTACATCCTAATCAAAATTGAAATCATCATCATCATCATCATCACCACCACCACCATCGTCATCATCATCGTCATCATCGTCATGGCAATGGAAGGTTGTAAAATGACACCACATATATACCGGATGTAACCTGCATCTGCTTGCAGCCTGCTTTAGCAGTGGGAGAAACCATCATGGTAAAGCGGCCGATTCTCCACCTTGCCAAAAGAAAGCAAAACGTGAGGATTTTGTTGCATTTTCAAAAGCGTAGGCAGGCATGGGACATTTGAACAGGATCCGTAAAGATGCATTTTCCGTGGCAGGCGCAGTACAAGAGACATGTTCAGTCAGCAGAGATGTTAGGAGGTCAGAGCGCTGATTTCCTGAGAGGGGTTTCACTTTGGATCATCAGATTCTTCAGGTTTGCTAAGATGATTTTGCGTGACAGGTGCACCACTTCGTATGACCTGGCCTCACTTTTTCCTGGCAGGCGCAGTACTTTAGACAGGTAGAGTAGAAAAATCGCAAAACACATTGGCACGAGGCCATCAGCTCTGCACTCAACTATCCATGTTTGAAGGAAATCTCGCAGAATTGCTTCGTTTTTGATGTTGCCAACTTCAAAAGCTGAGAGAGTCTCGCAGAATTGCTTCGTTTTTGACGTTGTCAAGTTCAAAGATTGAGGAAGTCTTGCAGAATTGCTGCGTTTTTGATGTTGTTAAGTTCAAAAACTGAGGAAGTCTCGCAGAATAGCTTTGTTTTCAACCTTGCAGGTAGATAGATAGACAACTACAACTACGACTACCACTACCACTACACTACAACTACAACAACAACTACAACTACAACTACAATTGCAGCTACAACTACAACTACAATTACAACTACAGCTACAACTACAACGACAACTACAACTAGTACTACAACTAGTACTACAACTAGTACTACAACTAGTACTACAACAGTACTACAAATACAACAACAACAACTACTACTACTACTACTACTACTACTACCAATACCACTACCACTACCACTACTACCACTACTACTACTACTACTACTACCACTACTACCACTACTACTACTACTACTACCACTACCACTACCACTACCACTACCACTACCACTACCACTACTACTACTACTACTACTACTACTACTAGAACTAGAGTACTACTGCTACTGCTACCGCTACTGCTACTACTACTACTACTGCTGCTACTACTACCACTACTGCTACTACTACCACTACACTACACAACACTACATTACACAACACTACACTACACTACAAGTACAACTACACGACACTACACTACAACTACAGCTACACTACTTAACACACACACTACACTAGACTACACTATACTGACTATACTAGACTAGAGTACACAACACGACAGTACACTACACTAACGTACACTACACTACTATACAACTACAACTACAACTACAATTACAACTCCACTACACTACAACTACAACTGCACTACACCACACTACATCCAGCAGTTGTGGGTGAGGTGACAACTGCAACCATTGCAACCACTCCCAAAAACACAACTCCAACCACCTTTCGGTCCATCAGTGGATTCGCTCTGCCATCCGTGATTCACAGCAACCAACCTCTCCTATAGGTTTCTTATTTTTGAAACTTCCGCTACCGCCTTGTGCGGTACTACTGGTTTAACCACTTGTTTGATGCTTAAACCACCTAATTTCACGTCCCCGTCCCGACCCATACAGTATGTACAGTACCACTATCAAAACATGGTGTATGGATGTATATGCTTTATGGTGACCTATCCTCAAATAGGAATCCATGGGAATATCAATGCTCAATGGATTGATGACCATCCCCCAATCGATGGTTAAGACAAGCCAAAGGATTTCCCAAGTCTCCAATGTTTGATGGTTAAATCTCATGTTTTGAGGGTTAAATCTTTTTTTAAAAAGATCCCAATTGTTGGTGCTGAATTTCTAAATGTTCCCAATTTTCGCTGGTTAAATCAATCCCAGTGATATCCCATATTGCCATGATCCCGTTCCCTCTCTCCTGAAGGCCCTTCCACTCCACGTCCATTGCGTCAGAGGTGTTGGAGATGGCCTCAGTGACATGAGATGGGTGTTTGGAAATTTGGTGGGTTCTTCAAATGCCCAAAGTCACCATGGGTGTCAATACTAGAATGGTCATCCATGACTTGGGTGCCAGTACTAAGTCATGGTCTAATGACTTGGATGATTTGGGGGTACACCCATGACTTTGGATACCTCCAAATCTGGATAGATTGTAACAATTCAGCAACCTGAAAAGTTCAGTCGAAACGGGTGGAAGTGTTGACCAACTCAATAAGGGCGGTCAACCGATCAATGTCCCTGTGCTGTGTAATCGCAGTGTAAGATTTTAGTAAATGATTACACCAATCAACCTGGGAGATTCGTCCTGGGGATCATACTCGCTGAAACTCAGGATTTCTACCAATGATCTACAAATCTCCCCATTAGAACTAATGAAATTCGCCCGCTGATCCCACAGTGGAACCCCCCGCCCAGCCCCATGGTCCCACACATCGCACGGATGGATCCGCAGCATGTCTTGGGACGCACTCAGAATGGCCTCCACAGAACCCCCTGATGCCCCTGGGCGAGCCATGTTCCATAGTTACTTGGGACCCAATTTCTATCATGTATCATTTGTTGTTGTTGGGCCCCTGGTGTTGCCTTTTGTGCTTTGTTACACCCGTAAAATTCATCTTAAAACTAGGATGTTTGATATCATACTAGTATCATGTGGAAGCTGTATCGGTGTACAGACCCACCTTGCTATTGTCTTCTTGAGGCCAAAAAGAATTCCGTCCCAAGTCAACCAGTCCGTTTATGCGAAATTACGGGGGTTAGAATTATGTGGAGAACTTCCTGAGTAATTATGCAAAGAAGCAACTGTTGTTTTTCCTCACTTGTGGGTATATACTTTACGCCAAAAAATTGTATTGCCTGATTGCGACACAGGACGGGTATTCTTGGGATTTTTGAATAGCAGCGAACACTTCTGTTTGGAGGCCGTACCATGGTGTCAGCAGCACCTGTTCCCTTTGGGAATCGTGACAACATCAGCGGATCCGCTGCGGCTGGATACTATCAGCCAGGCGTGTGTGTGCCCTCATTTGCCATGGCAGTAGAGGCATGAACACGCGGCAGAAAAAAAATACGAACTATACAAGGGGTGCCCATTCGGTCCATGTATGGTGTCTATCTAGAAATTTACAGGTAGATGCATGGATTCGATAGGTAGATAGGTAGATAGGTGGATAGGTAGATAGGTGGATAGGTAGATAGGTAGATTCGATAGGTAGATAGGTACAGGTAGATAGGTAGATAGGTAGGTAGGTAGATGGGTAGATAGGTCGATAGGTCGATAGGTCGATAGGTAGATAGGTAGACAGGTAGATAGGTCGATAGGTCGATAGGTCGATAGGTCGATAGGTAGATAGGTAGATAGTAGATAGGTAGATAGTTAGATAGGTGGGTAGGTCGATTCGATAGGTAGATAGGTAGAAAGGTAGATAGGTAGATAGGTGGATAGGTAAATAGGTAGATAGGTGGATAGGTAGATAGGTGGATAGGTAGATAGGTGGATAGATAAATGGATCAATAAATAATGAAAATGGATAGATAAAAAGGATAGATAGATGAGTAGACAGACAGATGGATAGATGGATGGCTAGATATGTATGCATGCATGGAGAGATAGATAGACAAGCAGCACATAGAATGAGACAAAAAAGCTCTATAGACAGCAGATGGACATGGTGAACAGATCTTACTTAAATTTTGTTGTGATTTTTTGGTATTGCAGGCAAGCATGCCATGGATGAATTGGGCATGTTTGGGCTATGGCTCATGGGCATCCTGAGAGGTGCCGTCAACATGATCAGTATGGGAATGGATCAATTTGTTTCATTCCGATTCTACTTTATCCTGTGGTATCCTCAAAATTCAGTAACAACAACGAAAAATCGAGACGTCACGAGAAGAACCTTTACATCAACTAATGTCTCCCATTCCCATTCGATCTAAAAGCTGCTCTTCACCCATCTGACTTTCAGGCAGGGCCAACCGGGCCGGCAGGGCTCAGAGGACTCCGCTCCAACCTTCAGCCAGGCGCTGAACATGTCTCTGATCTCTTCGAGGCTCTTGTCCTTCAGGAGCTGCCCCCGAAAAAACTTTCCCACCCATCTGATGGGGGAGATTTCACCATAAAAGGTGGGGAGTTGGATTGGTTTCGCTGGCAAAACCTAAACGTGATTCTTGAAGCCTGATCCAATCGCTGATGAGGTTCCATTGAACCCTGTCGAAAGAAAAAGGTGCACCTTGGTTGAATGTGGAAATAGAGCAATTATTAATCTAGAGGTGTTTCACTCATGTCCCAGGGGCAAGAGATCGCGCAATGTCTTATCAAGGTGTCAAACAAAACTCACAGATAAGTACTCAGTACTCTCTCCCTCTCTCTGTGGATGTTGGTAAACCTTCAGCAAAACTTAATCTAAGGTGCACCCGGATAAAAGTCCCTCAGCTTACACCCATACAACTTACATAACAATTTTCCAGCATGCAACCATGGCCCTGTCCGGTCCCTGTCCTTGGTCTCGGGGAGAATAAGTGCAACCCACAGGCATAGAGTGTTGGTCCCCACGAAGACCCAAAAGGTGTCCTGAGGTCAAATCTGGATCACATATCTAGAACAAAAACTCGGTACATTGTGCATGTCAACTTGTGCGTTGAAAATCTGCAGACCTTTTCAAAGAGGCCTCTCTTTTGGGATCCACATGTCATTCAATTTATCCTAATTTAGGTATTGGTCAAAACTTAAGACTCTTCGAACAAAACATCTTTTGGTCATCTGTCAGGAACATATCATCCAATGCCGCGCGTGGAGTTCGGAATTTTGACCCAGGCCCATCCCCATTCTTCTCTAAAAATCCGGGGAAATTGAATTAGTTTCTATACTTGAAATAGGCCGTCTGCCGTCTTTATTTTTTTTGTTGGATGATCATCCCTGCTGCTTACCACCATTTATACCCAGTTGTGCGTAACGGTTTTTGTGAGGCCGCTATGGTTTACCAAAAATGATGTTCTCCACACGAACCCCCCACCGCCCTGCAAACATCCTGCAGACATACAACGGGCATACCCAATCACCACATAGATTTTCCCAGAGTTTGTGAGGATAAAGTAACATAAACATATATATATATATACGGTAACTACATTTAAATAGACGGATTTTTAAATATACGAACAGGTATTTTAGACTACATCCGGGAAGCTTTTCCTTGGCCCACCCAGCCATTTAAACATACGGAATCCAATTCATTTAAACAGACGGCAACTATAACTACACTTAAATTTGCGGATCCAAGATTTTTCCAGGTCCCCTGGGTCCCCTGGTTCCACCCTTTTCCATGGAAAATGTTTGCTACAAAAAAGGGACAAACCATGACAATCCTAAGCTAGACCCTAAACATCCATTAAGCCTGTAGAATTCATTAGAATTCTAGATGCCTAAAGCCTGTAGAATACTAGATGTCCTATGATGTTCTTCTGCTGTGGAACTCACGCAAAACAACAGTTTTATGTCACAGCCGGTGGTTTCAATGATCATTGAGGATCATCATCGCAAATAGGGTTGAAAATAAACGTGTGAAACCACTATAGTATCAGTCTCACTGATGTTCATCATCCTGAATCTTGACTGTTAGCAATAGAAATCGACAGTGAATGACACCACTCTTGGGATCTCTTGGGCACATCCTCCAGCCATGTGCGGCCTCGCTGTCAGACAAGCTTTCCCCATGCTTTTCTGCGACATCCAGTGCCATGGCTGCCCCAGCTGCATATCGGAATCCCCCTTGAGCAACTTGCCGGCTGTGTAGCCCTGTCAGCACCCATGACCCCAGGTGGCCGGACCAGCAGGGATGATGTGAAGAAGTCGTTTGTTCAGCCAATCCTTTTCAATATGCAAAAAAAATCCAGAATCACTACATTTTTTGGGTTCTATATTTCATGTAGGGAGTTCATCCTGAAATTTGAGTCATTCCCATGAAGTACGAAGCTGTACTAATTAGTCCACCTACCTTTCAGTCGCCTTCTTGGCTCCAGCAATCACAGCTGAAGGCGAAACATGTAGCTTGGAAGGACCCTCCATTCTTCCATGTCTTCCATCTTGGTCCCTTTTCGAAAATTCAGAGTTCAACCAAACCAAGAGAGGTGACTGTCAAGTTCATCATCTCATCTTTAGGTCTAGAAATTGCAAATCATCGCCAAGCACTTCGGGAATTCGATGAAAAAACCCTTTGACCACTCCCAACTTCTGCGCTTGGCTCGCGCTCCATTTGGATCAGCCCGTTCCAGCTCCAGCGTACCGGTGCTTCAGAGAGAACATGAGAAATCGTGCGATTTCAGGCTTGGTGTTTGTACCGTATGTAATCTAATGTAATCTAATGTAATGTTATGTAGTATTAAATATTATCTTATCTTATGTTATGCTATCTATATCTACATCTATCTGTATCTATATCATATCGATATCAATTATCTATATATATATATATCTTTCTATATCTATATCTATCTATATCTATCTATATCTATCTATATCTATCACATATCTATATCTTTCTGTATCTATCTATATATACATATATCTATCTATCTATCTATCTATCAATCTATCTATTTGTCTATCTATCTATCTATCTATCTATCTATCTATCTTTTTGTTTAGCTGTCTCTCTATCTATTTGTCTATCTGTCTATCTATTTGTCTATCTGTCTATCTATCTATCTATCTATCTATCTGTCTATCTATCTATCTATCTGTCTAGCCATCTATCTATCTATCTCTCCATCTACCTATCGATCAAACTGTCTCTCTATCTATCTGTCTATCTGTCTATCTATCTGTCTATGGATCTATTTATCTATCTATCTATTTATCTATCTATCTATCTATCTATCTATCTAATCTATCTAATCTATCTATCTAATCTATCTAATCTATCTAATCTATCTAATCTATCTAATCTATCTAATCTATCTAATCTATCTCTATCTATCTATCTAATCTATCTAATCTATCTAATCTATCTAATCTATCTAATCTATCTAATCTATCTAATCTATCTAATCTATCTAATCTATCTATCTATCTATCTATCTATCTCTCTATCTATCTATCTATCTGTCTATCTATGTATCTATTTATCTGTTTATCTATTTATCTATGTATATGTTATCTCTTCAAACTGAATTTGTTTATATTATTGAATATTAAATTAAATGTGAATATATATATATATATACATAACTGATCCATCCATGATCAACACAGCGGTAAATTGGCAACCCAAAGCTTTATCCAGTTCATTAATTCATTGGACTCCAATTTAGTGGAATCTGGATTTTCAGGCTTTACATGAGGAACCCACTTGATGAGTCGGTGGGCTTTTCAAAGCACAATAGGAAGGAAAAACACGTATAGCTAGGCGTTACTTTCACTTGTACTGGTACTAAGATCCATCATATTGTAAATATACAGTATATGTGTACATATGTATATATATATATACACAAATCTATATCCATATATACACATATGTATAAATATGCATATATATATATACATACATATGTGTATATATATATATTAATATATATGACAAAGAAACAAACACACTGTGAAATTCGATAGAACATAAATGGGCTTGTAGCTCAGTGCATTAACAGATCTCTCCAAGACATTTCTTCGGGCCCCTGAGTCGAACTATGTCCAAAACTTATCAAAATTCATGGAGAAAAAAACACGAGGCAACTATGCAAAGCCGGAGCCAAGCCCTCTGCCACATTGGCAGTAGAGGCATCGACACGCGGCAGTTAAACAACTCATTACTGTACAAGGTGATGCCTTGGGGGCGCCCCATCCAATCCATTTTTTTGGTATCAATATGTATCTATCATTATGATCTTAGCAGATCTTACCTCATATGTGCATGATGTTTGGGGTATGTTTGTGATACCACACATGGATTTTGGAGCTCACTTCGGCACCAAGAAATAAAACAATATTTCAGCCTTCAGAGATCCCTCTCATGAGGTTTCTCTCACTCAGACATGGCTCCTGCCCTTCAGCCAGATGTTGAACATGTACGTGATCTCTTCGAGGCTTTTGTCCTAAACGAGAGAGAGAGAGAGTACTTAAGGATACCTCAGGTTGCTCGAGAACAGGATTCCCATCCTGGGTCAGTCCATTGCCCATAAACTAGCCTAAATCTGAATAAACCCACTACATATATAACTTGTTTCGGAATGAAGCCTGATGAAGTTTGGCCGTCACACCCCACAAAAAGTTTGAGGCTTTTTTTGGCACCCTGGTATGAAGCAAAATGACAGGAAACAAACATTCCTGTTTTCAGATTCAACTGGTGCATGGAACCTCATCAGAGGGGAATGTGAAAAAGTGTCTTCTAAATTCCGTAGGCTTGCAAAAATTCTTCAACAAGGGAAAAAAAATGGGGTACTTTGCCAATTTCGAAAAATTTTCCATAATTTTCCCCTCCCTTGGATTGTATACCTCATAGGTCATCAAAACAAAAGCTGGAAAATCCCCCAGTTTGATGTGTTTCACGACACCTCGGGACCCCAGGGACCCCAATCGCCCGTCCTTGGTCTCCGGCAAAGTCATTGCAACCCATAGGCATAGCATGTTGGTCCCCACGAAGACCCAAAAGGTGTCCTGAGCGGAACTGCAGCATAGGGCCAGCAGGCCAAGCTGGGAAAAATTGGGATCAAAAAATGGAAAAGAAACAGGTTTGAAACCAGAAATCAGATGTAGTACGATGTAGTTATAGAAATAAGGTAAAAATCATGAGAAGACCTCTGCATCAAAAAAGTAGGCGCATTGTGAATGGCTTATGGGTCAACCTCGAGACCATTGGACCTATCAATTTCTCTCCAAGGTGTTCTCAAATGGGACCTCTCACTGAATTTCACTTACTTGCCAAATGTTTAAACATGTGCACCAAAGGACATACAACCCATCTAGCCAGTTATTGCGTAATCCAGGACTTCTTCGCCCGAGTCCCTGACGTCAAACTAACCCCGGCGCGTATCTGTGCTAAGGGTCAAAGCCCCAGCGGGCAAACATCAGAGGAGGCATAAAGGCAATGAGGATGTTTCCGACCTGTGGGCATCTATGATCAGCCATGGTAATCATAGAAGCTGGAATCTGGATAAATTCATATAATTTCTATCTGTCTGTTTTCCTACCTATCAATAATCTTATCAACTTATACATTTACATACAGTGTATATATATATATATACATATTACATAGTATATACTGTTCAGTCCCAATGCGGAGGAATATGTTCACTCTTTTACTTGAAGTCATCCAACTGAACGAGTTCTGTGCCATCGCCTCATGAGCATCCCCAAGTCATCACCGCTTTATGGCTGGGATTCCAACAATCCCCATGCTAGGTTTATTTATGGCATTGGCTTTCCCACAGGATCATTATACTAGTTGGTTGAAAACGCCCAATCTCGACTGGCTTATCATAATGCCCAATAAATTAGGTAGTATAACTACCCATCAAATGCCATCCAAGGTCCTTCCCCACATTGGTAAGCTGCTCCAAGACATGATATGTTTGGCTGAGGTGCCCAGTTCGCATCAGTGGTTGCTCCCACACCCTGGCCGAGGGAGTTGAAACACCCCGCGCCCTTAAAGGTTCCCCATGTCCACTCTGCTTGTATGTATATATATATATATATACTTATAATTATACCGTACATTTTATATAGATAGTGGTGTCACCCCATCAAGAAAAAATATTACATCCAAGTGGGATCGGCATTAATTTTACATTTGCAGGAAGAATGGAGGCAAAAAACATGAAACCACCAACCAGAAATAGTCTCAAACGGTTTTTGCATTCATGGACCCCGGCAGATTTACAAGAGGCATGACCACAAAAAAAATCGTTGTCGCTACTAAAATGCCACCGATAAAACCAATCCAGGGCTAAGTTCATCCATAAAATCTGATCTTCAAAATATCAAAATATCAAAATATGTCAAAATCACGGTGTTCTTAGGTGTTCTTTGCTTTTCATGGTGATAGTGATTTTCACATGGTTTTCCAGCTATCAGCAGCTACAAGCGCTACCGATCCCCGCACCTTGGTGCGATACTTCTGTGGAAACATCTCTGAGCAGTACACCCAAGGCATGCCGCCCCAACCTCGGCAGAAATGGTCCCCGATTTGATGAAATTTGAGGATCAGATAGGATCAGTTTTTCTGTGAAAAACATTGAAAAACCACTAGATATCTACACTAAAAAATCAACCACTGGTACAAAACTGATGTCAACTATTCTTGGCAAATGGTCATATCCCTACAAAGCCTCAAATGACCGGAAGAAAAAGCAAAGTTGCCTCATCTGGCGAGCAAATCAAATTCATGGCAGTCTGGTTTCACGGCAACAGATCATGGGTTTTCATCCCCCTTTCCAAAATCCAAAGGTCTCGTAGGTTTTGACCATCTTTGACCATCTTGCCCATCCCAAGTCTGAGCGTCCGTAGGCAAAGTTCAGGATGAAACCGCAAATGGCCACGGTGCAAGTCCTTGACACCAAACAAAAAACCAAAGAGTATGTCGCACTGACAACCTGGATAGTGGACTATGGCAAAAAAAAACTATGATTGTGGTGATGCCTGATGCTAGTGCTGATGCTACAGTAATCTTCAGGTTGATCGTCAGCATAATCCTGATCACGATCATGAGCATCGTGATGATGATGATGATGATGATGATGATGATGGTAGTGGTTTATCAATGTTTATTAATGGTTATTAATGGTTTTTGATGGTTTTTGATGATGATGATGATGCTGCTGCTGCTGCTGGTGGTGGTGGTGGTGACAAACATGCCAGTGAATTCAGACTGTCCATCCCCACTGGGTAATCAGAAGGGATTACAAATGACACCGCCCAGTGCCCAGTGCTCATTTAAGTAAGGCTGCATGATTTGACTAGGCAAGTGCTCAGGATGTGTTGGTACCACTGACAGCTTCATAAGCCAGCAGAATGCAAGTTCGCTTAGTTCGCTTGACATGTCCTGCCTTTTGCATGAAGCTTTGTGAACGAAATGTAACCCTTTGAACTGAACGCTTTAGAACTGATTGCTAAAGAAGCAGCCATAGAATAGATCACCAGAGATGAAGAAAGATATCAACAAAAATGATCGATTTTGGGACTCCAAACCAAAGGGTAGGAACATTCCTCATGGTGTGACCATGGTGAGTCCATGGTGTGACCATGGTGAGTCCATAATCGAGTACCAGCTGTATGCAGTTCGATACTGCAGCCAAAGCTCGCTTTTGCCCAATTGCCACACGTAAAATTCTCACCCTGAACATTGGGCGGCGCATCGTGAGGATTCAAGCAATGTTGTGTGAGCCCCTACCTGCTGGTACATAGCTGGAAAATCATTCTAGATATGTATATATATAATATTATATATATATATATATATTATAATATAGATTTTATATTATATTATATTATACATATATATATTATCATATATATAATATATATTATATACTGTATATATTATATACTATATATATTATATATTATATATTTTATATCATATATTATATATTATATATATTGTATATATTGTATACAAGTTTGCAAAGTTTGGAGTTGATTGACAAATTCTGCAGAGATTCAGTGGACTCAATTGACCAAAATTTTATGGTCGTTCGATGACGCGGATGTAAGAAATTCCCTTCCCCCGTTCATATTAAGCACCCCCTGGCCACGAAACCATGGTTTTTGGTTGGGAATTTCCACATTGGGACCATAGAAATGGGCTGTTTAATTTCTGAATGGGGGATGGGATTAGTTATTGAAAACATTTTGTTGGGATCATTAGATGATACTCAGAGGTGATCACCAGACAAGACTCCATAAAGCCACTTGCAAGGCCATCAGGTCGTTTCTGGGTGTGTCTAGGCAGACCAACTTGGCTCTTTTGGAGGGCAATGTTGTAGATTCCTTTGAAACACATGGCTGAAAATGGGTTCAGGATCAATAAAAATATCATTACTAATAATTCAGGATCATATTTATTAGATGTTCATTTAGTATCAAAAAAATGTAGAAAATGGTTTAGGATTGACGGGATATGTCCGGAGAGTCTCAGACTAGGTGCGTGGATCGGCGAGGTTGGTTTCAAATGTTTGACCGGGCCCATCTGTTGAAACCCCTGGATGATCCTGATGAGTTTGACACATGTTGCTACATGATTAGCAAACGGGTTGTAACTGCAAGCAATGCGATACCGCTATGCCAAGCAGGATTCTTGAGGATTGAGCGTTGTTTCTTCCACCGACTTGTCTCTTTTTTTGTAGCTTCCACGACTGTCTTCGACCCCTCGAAAATGGCGATTCTGAGGGTCTGGGCTGCTGTCAGAGGAACCTCCAGGCAAACGTCCCCCACTGCAGCCAGCACTGCAGAGCAGGTCATCATTCCTGATCTGCGGCGGCTCAGGTCTCAGGGAAAGAGGGATACCCCCAGATGGCAATTTTAGAAGGCGAAATGGTGATTGATCATCAAATTTTGGGGGGTTCCCTATTTTGAGACAGACTTCACATGAGTCGTTTTTGGGTATTTGTGCTTTGAGGTAAAAGTGTCATACGTCGATGATCTGAGATGCAAATATATCCCCAGTATGGGTCAATACATCCCAATGTTACTGCTGTGGCTAGATATGGCTCAAGCTTGGAACAGTGAACCATCCCAAGATGTGTCTCATGTTTAATGAATAGTCGAACCATACCCAAATGCCGCTCAACAATAACTTGAGCCCCCTACAAGGTGGAAACTCATACTCAGCTAAGTTGATAGATAGCTGCAATGTTGGGTTTATGGTGGATATGTGTATATGTATGTGTATATATATATATAGAAAGAGAGAGGAAGTTGCATGGGTTTGTAACATACATAATTATCTAATCGTCCTGTCCAACCATAATCTGTATCTATGTATATATATATATATATACATATGTAATATAATACAAGCTTGGTTTCTGGTGGAAATGACACTGAGGGGACCCACGTTCCGCAGACCGTGGCCAAGTCGCACAGGGCTGACCACTTCATCAGAAAAGTTCGACCACAGCGATCGACGACCAGAAGCGCGGGGATGGTGGCCAGGATGTTTACCACACCTGGCGAAAGAATCGGGAAAACATCAGTGAGATGAGAACAAACTAACGAGTGGCTTTAAAATACATTTAAAACCCAACTTGGTTGGTTTCAGAGAAAGGAGCCTAAAAAACATCAAACATGGATGAATGGTAAACACGGGATGATTTAAGGGAAATGCTTCTGAAGCTGTTTCAGCTACTTGTGAGTCGTGTGATAAACCATTCAATGACCCTGAAACAAACCCAACAGTTAACCTAGACCCAGTCCTTCATGGTTACAGCTGTTACCAACATAGCTATCATTTGAACGCTCCTAGACCCAGCCCATTAGACCGCAGGAAAAACCTTCAGTGGGTTTATTTCACAGGATGTTTTAATATCCCAAACACGAGAATGCCCTACATTGTTTCCTAGTAAAGCAATCCAACACATCGAAGATCATCGAAGAAACCAATTTAGATCAATTTAGTAAAATGGGAATGCAAACATGTCAGCAAACCAACGCCATCCAAGAATCATGGGGCCTTCTAAAATGGACATGATAGCATCCTGCTACCAGCATGAGTCGCTGGAAAGCCAACTACCCCACCTGACACCACGGTGAAGAAGTGACCAGCATGGTCGCTCTGGAAAATGAGCTTGAAAATCACCTGGGTAGTTTCAAAGGCAGTTGGTGGATGATTCTAGCGCATTAATACATGGAGATAGTATATCCAAAGTATCCAATACATTGGGAAACATCATAATCCATCATGATCCATTCTTGGAATCAGCAACCATTCGAACATCCGAGCTTCGAGAAGAGAAGAAGTGTCGCATGTGCTATGGTCAAAACATCGGATTGGAGCTAATCATCTGACCACCATTGTGGGGATTTGGCTTGTTGGGTACATGAACCCTATTGTTCATTGGTTCGCTTCATACAAAAGACATGGAGATGCCATCCAACAATGGAACAGCACAGCGTGTCCTTGCGTGACCTTCCCGTTGTGGGTCGTGCATCATTCACCAAATTGATGGATATTTATGGCCTATGGGTCCATGATCCATGATGCCTTAGCCGAGTTGCTGGACCATCGTACCTTGGTGGCAGTTGCTGAAAGCTCGTTGGGTCTGGAAAGAGCCAGGAGGCTGTCTAGGTCAACGAGCTTGCTGAGTTCACACATCATAGCAGACCATATGTGGTTTTTCTGTTACTATCTGTTACTTACATTCAATTGTCCGGAGCTGATACATTGCAGAGAAAGTCTGTGTCCCCATTTCTTGGGCTTTACCTCCTCCATCATGCTCCATCATCCACTGTCTGGTGATCAAGCCTGGCAGCCAGGAAAATCCCCGGTACAGTTTGATTGTTTCCTGGCTAAAACATCCTGCAACACATCCTATGGCTAGTTCGGGGATTTCCCAGCATAGTCATGTTGATTTCCGAAGGGTATACCTATTCTATCTCCATTATACCCCTGTTATATCCCATTGAATCACATGTTTGTTGGTTACATTACCATTCTTGTTGGTTAAATCACCATTTCAATTGCCACCTTGTCCGTCGTGCCTAAGTTTTCTGGTGCCAGGTGGCATGAAGGCGTTCATCCCACAGATCTGACCCAGCAGTTGAATGACCAGTCCGATGCGAAGGAGCTTACCTTGGCTTGAGCCGCGTGGGTCAAGCCGTCTAGCAGCCAGGCTTGGTTTGGGTGCAAAAATCTTCAGGAAACCTTCAGGAAACCTTGATTCCTTAGATTCCTTTAAATCGTCATCTGAGCCTCTGGAAATGATCGAAAATTGCGATGTGAATGGTTCTACCCCTGGCAATCTAGATGGCCAGTTGGAAAAAATGAGAACCTCATAGATGGTAGGTTTTCCTGCACAATGCATAGCTCAAATATTGGCATAAATATGTGCAAATTATAACATAGAGTACTTTAGCATTTTCGTGCTCACCACTAATACATCCGCTAAAAATCTTGGGATCTTCGTCGCGGGACCCGAACATTGAGTGGTTTGCGGCTCTTCAAGCGGCCGTTGTCTCCGGTGAGAAATTCGCGCCAGGAGGCTTCCGTGGAAGATGCCTCGACACTGCGAATGTGGGAAACCCATCAATAAACCTACCATGACCGGGGATAGTTTATACACATAAAAACGGTAAACTTGAGGATGGTGTATTTCTGTCTTTACTAACATTATATATTATATAAATTATATATCATTATACCTCATCTTTGGGGATCTGTTTGAAATCTGTAATTTGGGGGTTCAATTTCGGCCAGGACATGCAGGATCGCCCTTTCATAGGTCTGTACATGGCGACCGGGCGACCCAAAGTGGGCAATTTTGGGTCTAAGTCCTCTTACAATCCAACGAGTCCCATTGAAATCTTGGATGGAGGGCGGGCAAGTCTGAATAGTCTTGGCTTGAACCCTCAAGGATTAGTATTGAGGGCATTGTCTTGGAATTCGAGAACACACTCGCTCCCCCGGACTTTGTTATTTTGAGAAAACACATATCTGATCTATCACCAACGTATTTTCCGATATCAGTTTTTTGTGTCTACAGTGGTTTGAAATTTGTTGAAAGTCCACATATCTGAGAAAACTCGTGCATACAGACTGCTATTTGTTGATTTGATATATTTGAGGCACCTAAGGATGGAATGTAAGCTGGTGTGCAGTGGCTCCGAAAATGACCCAGGCAATGCACCAGAATGGAGGTGCCTGCAACCCTATGGCCGCAAAACGGTATACCCCAACCGCTTGGTGCAAAGTTGATCGTCCGATTCTTGCACGTTTGGAGACATTTGGCGGTGTTATCCAGACACAACCAGGGAAAACTGTGTAAGTATACATGGGTAAAATGGTCCATTTCCCCTCGTATCTATGTTTCACCCATAATAGAATGGAGCAACCCGGTCAGTATATACCTATTATACAGCCATTCTAGCCAGTAAATATGGTTATACATAAAATACATGTCCAATTAAATCTCTCTATATATATATATGTATACATCTATATATATATATACATATATATATATATATATCCATAGTATATATCCATAGTATATATATGTATATATATTCATTGTATCCCCATGATGGTTGGGCAATCCTGGTTGGAATCGCAAGGTCGAAGTCCCAGCCTCGTGTTCCAGATAGATTTGAGCCAGTTCCAGGCTAACATCCTGTCGCCGTGACTGAAGAGGGACAATTTACGGCCCATCAATGGCAAGTCGAATGGGGAAAATGACGATAAACCAGGTACCGGCGCTGATAGCGGACCCGGTGTTTTTAATTAATGATTTTTATTTAAACCATTCTTCATTGATTTGTTTAAAACTGTGGCGACGCAACGTTGTTTTGCCTTGAATTAGAAATGGTGTTTTCGTCCCACGTTACGCTAGGATTTTATTCGTTGATCATTGAATTCTATTGGGCTAAATAATTTGCAAATGTGGATTTGGAAAGCGGAATGAAAAACGGCGTTTCGTCCTCTTCTTTTTCTCTCTGCATGGGTTCAGCGTCTGCGTTTGTTAACCTGAAAATAGAAACACAAGAGAAATGTTACAGCGTAGCATCAAAAGCGTGTGGCAAGTGACCAGAGACATGTTAGCGTTTGCAGCGTTCTTCAGTTTAGCGTTTGCTTCACTGAGCTCTTTCCTCAAGTTCAAAATTTCCTGTTCGGCTACTGCACGAGACATCATGTACCCGGTTAGTTCTGATGCGATCTGCTCCTGTCGGGCGTCAGCTTCTGCGCGTTGTTGGGCGGGTTCATTTCAACACATCTGCTCAACATTCAGACTACGATTTTCATAATCCTGACACCGTTGCTGAACCAGTTGCTCATCCCTACTGGCAGCCATGAGAAACGTGAGGGGCCCCTCTCCATACATTTTCTTGAAATTTGAAACGCAATAGCATGTCCGCAACTGCTGTCACCGCTGCAGCAGGAAACTTTTTGCAAACCCGATTCTCTGGCTTTGGTGGCCACAGCAGGCCTCGGCCGCACAAACATAGCCCTGAACATGGCTTGGGACTATGCGAACACCATCAAAACAATTTCCAAAAGTGTTTTTTTTGCTGCGTGTGTCATGGAAAAACACCGGGCTTATGTCATGGGAATAAACGAGATATCGTACAAGATCACATACAAGATATATTGGGAATGCTATTTGCGAGGTTTTTGACATTTTTGCGCAAAGCCGTCAAGCCTAGGCAACGGGCAAAAACATTGTAAAAACCCATGTTTCTGCCCAACAAAAACGACAAAAACCATCCCCCAATGGTTGGAGGATGATCTTCAGATATTTTCAGATTCATGTGCAATTCATTTAAGAGGCTTCAACCCTGCCGAATCTTTATCCCTTATTAAGATGAATTGATGTTACTACCCGAATCAACATATTTGCCAGAGGAGGTGCCCGGATTTTATCCCTTATTGAGATAAGTTGATCTTACTACCCCAATCAACATATGTCCCAGAGAGGTTGCCGGGTGTTTATCCCTTTTTACGATAAGTTGATGTTACTACCCCAATCAACAAATTTGCCAGAGAGGGTTTTTGAGATAAGTTGATGTTACTACCCCAATCAGCATATTTTCCTGTACATGTATACAACAAATAAAAAGCTCATAATTATTATAGGTGTATATTATATGTGTTTTCAAGGACCATTACATATCTAAATCTATTATCTATTATCATATACTATATAAACTATCTATATAATTCTATACGTCTGATGACTGGGTTACCCCATTCTATCTGGCCATAATGGGGATCTATCTATATAATTCTATATCATGACGATTGGTATATCATTGGTAGGTCTCCCATCTGCCTGTGTGCCAAGCGCTGCATGGCTTCCACCGCACAGCTGTACCGTTCCAAGGCCAGCTCCAGGCCTCGAGCGGCGCAGTGAGAGGGCGAGGGGTTTTAAAAAAGGCTGGTGCCGGATTTTTATTCCTTAATCAGATGAGCGAACTGTGCCATGTTGGGTGTGGATCAACGTCCTGGTTGGGGCGAATAATTTGAAAACAAAAAATCTTGCAAACTAGAGGACTTTCTGCTGCTACCGGACAAGGTATGAGTACATGTCTAATTACTAAGTGTATATATGCATATCAAACATCACCATATATCCATACGCCATACATGGTCGCTTCAGGCCAGAAACAAACCAATAAGCAAGTGCATCAGGTTGAGATCCATGAGCGTGCCCTGCCTGTACAGTATACCCCATGGCATAGTAGTTCATTGCAAACCTGCGGCAGTTGATCATTCCATGGGAAGCAAAAAAAACAACTAGACGAAGCTGAAATCTGTAGCGAAACACATGGAATGTACCTATAAGATTTAGAGAATTCTCTCCTTACTGTCCTGCAATGAGATATTCTTAGATATCTGGTATGCCTGCATAGAATCATGGTGGCTTTGGAATGGTTTGGAAGTGAGTCACAATTGAGTTCTCAATCTGAACCGAAAAAAAATCCCAAGATTGATTTGTCATTGCATGAGTCAGAATTGAATGCTAATGGTGTCTTGTGAGCAACCCTTGTCACCCCCAAGGCATCCACAGAATCTGACTTTGCAGCTTCCAACGTTCAAGGGCTGGCCGCCCAAGGCGAAACATCTGGCCACAAGTTTCCCAGCACCCATGGCGTACCAGCACGCCAGCGAAGAGCACCTCACTTCACACAAACGCTGCATGTCACAGAGGCGATGTTTGGAGCTATACTTGGGGGATCTTGGGGGTAAAGCTCGAGTCAGGCACTTTCAAGTTCCGAATCGCATCCCTTATGTGCCGTGGTTATGATCTTTGTTATTGTGTGTGTGTTTTGTTAGGTGAATTTTTCAATAAAAATTCGGCATCTTTCAAAATTGTTAGAGGTCTTGTTTCTTTCTCATCAGCTTCTGCCCCCAGTCTGCTGAATTTGAAATTGCAGGGCTGCCCCTGACCCAGAAGTCATGCCAGACAGCGGTTCTGCTACACAAAACGTAGTTCCGATACCTTCTTGAAACATATGAACACTCAACTTGAAGAAATATACTATATATATATATATATATATACACATGTATATATGTATAATCTCTAAAATTCACAGAGAACCATGTCTGGACGGCAAGAAAAAACATATTGCACCACTTAAGCTGGTGCCAGATTTGCCCCTGCAGGGTTTGCCCAAAAAGCTTTGCTTCATGTGCGCTCGTACCGAGCGCACTGCAGGGTTTGCCCAAAAAGCTTTGCTACATTAAGACCTCAATCGTCAACTTCAATGGGGAGGGCCTTCGGTGCTTCCTTGTTCACAATGCCCAGGAAACGCCGGAATGCCTTCGAGCCATCCTTCCTGTTCGGCGCAATCTCCTTGAATTTCTTCCAAACTGCTGTGCTTTGCTGGTCGTGGCTCAGCTTCTGCGAGAACTTCTCATGGGAGAATTGGTATGCAAAGTACAGAGGCGCTCTGCATTTCAATTCCTCCCAGTTGTGGACGCCAAGCGGCTTCCCCTCCATCTTTTCACACAGCCGCTTCAAGACCTCCATGTAGGAGCAAATGGCATCGCGCCCGCCCTTTGTGGGGGGGAATGAATAGAGAGTAAACACGGCTTGCGACGGGGTGCTCGCAGGCACTGCCGCCCCAGCCATCTTTAGCATCGCATTCCGAGCTTCTGCAGACACATCCACCAGGAGATAGTTTTCGGTTTCATGGAAAGTGAGTTGGCTTCGTGGGATTTCCTAGCTTGCGTAATGGCGTGATGTTTTGAAAACGACTACCCCAAAAAGCTGGCTGAATCTGGCGGACTCTTCCTGGTTGCCAAGATCCATCTGCGTTTGTCTGAACCTAGAGTACCTCAAATCTAGTAAATCATCATCATCTTCCCCCAAGAACAAATGGAACAAAATCTGACATATCTTGGGGGGCTGGCAACCAATTTCCAGACACACACACACATGTGTGTGTGTTGTGTGTGTGTCTAATGTGTTGTGATCACAACATATGCTTTATGGTGATCCCATACCGGGAATCATTTCAATATGCTTTCGAGTTAAAAATTAAAGACATTGGGGACCACAAATGTCAGTCTATTTCTTGTGTTAACATCATTAACTACCCAAATTTGACCCAGAACCATATAAGATCATACAAGTACATATAAGTACCGCATTCAATATACGTTAAATCCCAATACGTTGGATTGGTTCAAGGGAAAATCCACAGGAAAGCATTGTTTTTTCCAATGAAGCATGTGGCTTTCACGCAAATATTCCTCCAATCCAAGGATAATCACAATTATTACCATTATTAACTCCCCAATGTTGACCCAGAACCATATAAATATTATCCATCCTATTTTTGTCCCTATTGAAGTGTATCAAATGGGAAATCTATGGTTGCTTCAAATACACATTAAAACCCACATTCAATAGACATTAGATCCCAGTGACAATGGATTGAAAAGCTATTCCCCAAGGACCAGTTGCCTCAAGGGCGGAGCCCCCAGCTTCACGTCGCTCAGGCGCAAGGGCCGCGGCAACCTGCCGAGGATTGCAGGGCGGCGACTTCACGGGAAAAACCGAGGGATTGAAGAAACATATGAAACATGAAGAAACAGAAATTGGACCTCAACATACTTCAAATGATTCTGACCCAACAAAATTTCCGGATCTGATTTGATGGGATCCTAGCAAGAACATTATCAGAGGCTGATCAAACCGAGGAAAGATAGTGAATTTAGCCTCTAAGCAATCTACAAATTGAACATTTAAGCAAGAAACGCTGGGTCTTGAACAGCTAATGGCAGTTGAAGGGATGCCCCCCCCCAAAATGAAAGAACCTAGCAATACCAATGGCATTGAACAAACAAAGGGAGGATTGAATCAACCAAAATAGCATGTCGAAGCCAACAAACTCTGGAGAGTTGCCCGCGTGTACCGAGGAAATACGCAGAATATGAAGGAAGTGAAGTTGGGATCTCACATGATTTCACCAAAACTGTTCGGATAGGTTTTGTTTTCAGAACATGCATACAGTAACTTAGACTCCGGAGAAGAAGCAAGCGACATGGAAAGGTGATGATGATGGTTCTCAGACACTGCACCCCAACTCCGAACAAATGAAGTGTTTCCTGAAAATCAGGTACCCCCAGCCATCATCGTAATTTGAATGGGATTTTCCCTCATACACCATCCAGCTATGGAGGTACCCCCATGACTATGGAAAGCCCCAAATGAGCGTCCGTGAGTAGGACTGCACCTGCCGGTGATCCTGAGATTGCGTTCGGCTTCCTGCCCGGAGATGGCCCAAGGTTTTTCATGGGTTTTCCTGATATATCCAACTGAGAAGTTGGTTTTATCTAAGAAAAAAATGGCAGAACCCTTTTATGCCCTGAAATCCAAGATGGAATGGTGAAAAGAAAAACCTGAGGACTGTTTAGACATGATCAACCTCTATTTCCTAATTGGCATGCACATCCACGTTTCCGGACCCTGGAGAGGGCTACTATCCCCAAATTGCAATAACCCCTAATTCGGCACAAAACCCAGACCAGTCATCAGTGGCAAAGGCCCCTTAGCCTTAGATGTCACAGGGGCAGCTTCATCAAACTCAACACTGCACCATCGCCTCCTCTGCTTTGCTCAACCGGATTTCTTAAGAAGCTGATGATGAGACCTAGAATAAGATTGTGAGCCGAACTGTTTGTATAGACCTATCTAGCAAGCACCCCTAATTCTAAAATGTTATAGAACTATGTTCGATCCTGATTTTTGAATGGCATTTTGCGAGAGAAGACCCCATGTGGCCTTGCTTCATCTTTGCCTCCCCTCATCTCCGGTAATCTGCAAATATCATCAACAATTATGCTTTAAAACCTGGAAAACATCCGTTGACACCCACGGATGTTCTTGGGATGAATGTCCACAGCATTCCACAGCCATGCGATTTTTGGGATTCCACTTGGCAGAGTTGTCGTGCTCATATCTCATCGCCTCTTCAGGGCCGTCTTTTTAAGCGGCTCTTCCGTTGATTGCTAGTGGGAAATGACTCACCCAAAAGCTTTTGGCAACCCCAAAAATCAACAAATTTACTGATGTTGGGTTCCAAAGTGGACACTGTGAAAGAATACAATTGAAAATATGGGCAATCGCCCCAGCAAGCACCTGTGTTGTTTGGTTCTATCACAAAGGAAGGAATCTGTGAGCCCCACCACTGCCATTTTTTACCTCGCTTGTTCGACTCAAGTGCAGTGTATGCCTGCATAAGGTATGAGCCTATAAGTCTATATGGAGGTTTCCTAAAATGGGAAACTCCAAGTCATCCAACATTGGACCACTTTACTATTATTGTTGAAACCCATGGTTTTGGGGATCTCCCATTTGAAGAAACACCCAAATATGAGCGCCACCAACTTACAAATATGTTCAGTCTGGACATGTTTGAACGGTTGGTCATCATCTCCTAAAGAGATAATTTCTTTGAACCCTGGATTTTGAGAAACACCAAACCATGACTGGGCTTGGCACTCCGTCTCCGTGGGGCCATGGGCGTCCTTGCAGGAATCCAAAGCACAGAAAGAGATTGAGTAGACATGACCATTCCGAAAGCTCGACTTAGAACACATGTTCATCTTGGGAGATTGCCACGAAGATTGCCCACCGGCTTTTTCTCCGCTGCTGCATTCGTTCATCTTCCTTCAGTTGCAGATGTATCCCGGAGTCATCCACTGCCTCGGCACCAGGGGTTTATCCTGGTCACTTCACCGAAAAAATTCTCTATATAACTCATCGGTGTGCATCGGATATGCATCAGCAAGGACAATAGAAAAACCGGACCCCGGAACTGTTAGCGACCCCACCGGTTTTGCACATCGTCAAAAGCGAGGTCTTGTCCAAATTTGGTAGAATCTAAGTTTTTGCGTTTTTCAACTTGGTGCCTTACTATGCAGATGTGTGTTTCTACCACGCCTGCCAGAGAAATATTGCCATGTCAGCGTGCTTATAGACAGTTCAATGATGACATCCATACAGCAGCAGCATGGTGTACTCACGGCCGTGATGATAACACACGACGTTACTTACTCCCCCTCACTGCATGATCTACACTCCCCACATCTCCCCACCCCACCCCACCCGACCCCAATTGTTGAGCGTGATGATAACATAGGACGACATTACTTCCTCGCCATCACTGCATCAAATTCATGACAGAAATCATATGAAATCACCACCGCACAATCCGCACTACAGCGTGCATAACGCAAAAACAGGCTAAAAAACTACGGTGTTGTTAACAGCAGCCGGTAACAAAAAAACTGACGCAGACTTCCTCTACATCCAGAATCTGAATATACTGCACGCCCTGCCCCCCCACCCAGGGACCCACGGCACCCTGCCAGTCTCTTCGTTGCCAACTGGAAGCGCTCCAGGAATTCCAGCTGCTCGAGCCCCACTGCCACCATGAATCTGCTGAGCGTGGTGACTGCGCTGGATCGGCATGGACTCTGCTCCTTCGAAGGGGAGGAGAGAAGGAGGAGGTAGAAGAGGAGGAGGAGGACACCGATAACTTAAAATCTAACGACCTTCACCTGACCAGTTGCAGAAAAAAAACCTGCAAACGAAAACAACCTGGGAATAGCCTCTCTAAGGTCAGCAAGCATTTTTGATAGTATTTCAATGAAATGCTCAATGTTCTCGCATGTAAGGAGTCACCTACAGGCATCTACCATGAAAACCACGATCATACCACATCTCTTGCCCCCATGGACAGCACAGCGAGCAGAGATCATCCTTGAAGGAATCTTGAAAGATCTTGAAGGCAACAATCGAACATTTCAGGTTTTGATCCAGAAAATAAATTTCTGTAAATTTCTAGGAAAATTGGATTGTCTTTGATTTGGTATTCCATCGCCCACCATACCAGCAGAACCTCGGAACGTCCATAGCTGTGTACCCCTCGCCAGTGGCCACTCCTGCACAATAAGCACAAGGCAGCAAAATGAAGGAAACCTGTAGTATTATATCATATCTTTCCGGTGTTGAGTTCGACAACTGTCACTGTAGTGGCATGGATCAATGATGGTCTCAGTGAATTCCGTACCAAGCCTTGGTTGTGCAGCGCAGCTCTGTGCCGCTGCTGGTGGCGTTTGTTAGCCTGCTGCTCGCTGTAGCCATTCTGTAAGTCCTGGGCATACTTCTGTTGCAGGCTCTGACCGTCCAGGTCTCTTGGCACGCGCCAGCCACGCTCTTGGGCCTCTCTTGCCCGTTGCTTCATCAACTCAAAGGCTTGATCGGCCCTCAGCATGATCAAGGGGTCATGAGTAGTAGATGTATAATCTAACCCACATTCCAGCTAGCTAGATGGAGTGGCTCAGACAAGCCTTGTTCATAAGCACCATCAGTGTCAAAAGCTGTATGCTACGTTGTTGCGGCCTCAAGTTTTTCACAGACATCCACACCCTTGGGGAAGAATAGACATGTACACAATGTACAAGATTTGCATAGTAGCCATAAATTTCAATTATCGTCCATTTCAGCCTCACTTTCCAATGATCCTTCATCAAGCTTGTGAAGCATGCTCACATCATGGAAAGCTGAGGTGCATCCTCAATGGATGATCAGTGTTCTACTATTCAGAACTCCAACATGCAGCAACCAAGCTTTCCATGGTCCATGCTTCCAAGGCTCGTCCAGGTGCTCCTCGTGCGCCACGCAGCGCCGCCAGCAGCTGCACTCGAGGAAGCTGCCGACTGGCAGAGGACCTTGATTGAATATGGCTTGGAATGGTTTCGAGTGATTTCCGAATGGTTTGTTGACACAATATGAACAGGTTTTGAACAAATTCTTTATAGCTGTTAATTTCCCATCAAATACTCAAAACTTGGCTGGTGAGGCCACAAACAAATTGATCGTCATTCACTCACAGCAAATCTCAGCAAGACATCGCATATACGGTGGCAATTGACGACATATCATGGATTATCATGGCTTCATCATGTCCAGAGAATTGTCCAGGTATACCCTCATTTGTCCAAGGAATGGTGCGACGCGATCAGCTGATCTGGCAGATTGCCTTACGGTATCGAATGGTTTTGAATGGTATCCATTAGTTTGATCTAGATATGAATAGACTGTAAGGGCATGGTTCACAGATGTTGAAACAAAAACCAAGGCCCCAAACAAACATATGTTTGTGTCATCGTGTCCAGGTTCGGGTTTTTCAGGCATCGACCCGCTCCATCCAAGGAACCGTGCGACGCAACCAGTCGTGAAGGCCGCTGCCGTATCGGCAGATTGCCTTGATTGCGTATGGTTTTGGATGGTTTTCAATGGTTTCCAAAAAGTCTGACATAGATATGAACGGATTTGACAGCTGTGTCTATAGCTTCTGAAGAATTTCTGGGCTGAAAGAAATTGAAACAAATACCCAGGCCCCAAACACATTGATCGTCATCCACTCAAGCAAAAACGTTAAAACAAATGGCATATAATGGCTTGTAATGATGGCGTGTGATGGCGTCATCATGCCCGGGATTGTCGAGGTATTGCCTCGCTTCGTCCGAGGAACGGTGAGGCACGACTAGCTGCAGGACCAGTGACTCCAGTTGTGGAAGCCGCTGCCGTATCGGCAGATTGCCTTGGTTGAGCATGATTGTTAATGGTCGCGAACAGGTTCCAAATAGTTTGACAAACATGTGATAACATGTGAACACATGCGGTTTCCAATGGAATATTATGATTTGGCTTGAATTGGGAGGGGCTCTGGAAGCACTAGTTTCTCATGATGATCGATGTGACCCTTGTTTTTTCCTGGGCCGTTCCGCTTATTTTATCAAGCATCATCTCAAAAAAAACCTATCTAGTTTTTGGAGGACCCCCTACCTCGTAACCAAGCTAAGGATAAAATCTGAGCATTCTCTGCAAATCCTAATCAATCCTACCTAACGCCCATGACTACTTTTCATCATCCCAAAGGAATGCAGTTGTTCAATGTTGTCAGTTCATATATCCAGCAAAGACTGAAGAAAACGTGTAACACATTGTGCGCAAGATGGCAGATGATGGCAAATGGCGTTATCCAAGGCTCTGCGCGCCGCCGCCAGTTGACGCAGCTGGTGCGGCTGGAGGTGAAGTCGGATGCATCTCTTCATTGACCCTGATGAAGTCCGGACATGTCTATACATGTCTGGGTAACACTTGATTTCATGGTTGATGCATACTCAAATTGTTGTGGTATATATGATATTTCAAATACCCCTCATAGACCCGATAAAATATGTAACCATATCTTCCTTCGTAACCTTAGCAGGACCAAAACGCAGAACGCAAAACGTGCGTTCCGGAACGCGTGTTCCGAACGCAGGGGGGTTGATAGTTGCTTTAAACCCTTCAGAACCCTGCCGATCCTTTTTTTGCCCCCTGGAAAAAGAATTCGCTAATTACACCACAAAGGTGTTTTTAACAATTTCCTGGTGGCTTCATCCACCATTTGAGCCTGTAGGAGTTCTCAATCCTTTTTTTTTGGCCAAAAAAAGGTTTCAGACCCAACCTCATCTGTGAGAAAGAAGTCTCACCTAAAGCCATCGGAAAGACGCCTCGAAAGTGCATAGCTAAACTGGGATCCAATGTCTCATATGCTCGGAGGGTTGAGTCATGTTTGGATGGTTGGATAATAAGCCAGAAGCCAGACCAACCTGGAAGCCTTGCTGAAGTGTCATGATGGGTGAATTTGATGAACCATGGGTTATTGGAAAAAAGGATCCGTCAGAACGCCGTTCCGGAACGCAAGTTTTTAAAACGCGCGTTCCGCACGCCAGAGCGTACCGAAGGAACATGCTAAGTTCGTAACTTCATTTGGGCTAAGTCAAAAATACCAACTATTTTAGGATGGGCCATCGCCCATGGTCTCATCACCCTCTCAATCAACATTGCTGAGAATAAACCTTCCCAAGCTGTTCCAAACAAGCTGCTTGGTCGCCGTCGAAGATACTGATTCGGATGACGATGTCCGTACCCATGCTGGTGTGGTTGGTTGCGGCCTCTGCCCGGCTGCATCGTGTGGCTGATGCTTGATTTCATGGTTGATGCATACCTTACGGAATATTGGATGTCAAATTCATTGTCAATTTCACCCAATAGACACACCATGACCCACCCCTCTAGACAAGACGTATCCAACGTAACATGAAGTGTGTGCAACGAAGTAGAGAAGACGTATCCAACGTAACATGAAGTGTGTGCAACGAAGTAGAGAAGACGTATCCAAGGTAACATGAAGTGTGTGTGCAACGAAGTAGAAAAACCGATCAGAACGAAGGTCGTGAAGGACGAAGAAGAAGGACGTTAATAACCCCACACCACTCCCCCACCCCCCTCCCCACCACGAAATAATCCAAAAGCAAAAAAAACGCAAAAACGCTGGGCCGGCTTTCGGGCCGTAAGCAAATACTAAGTAATTTGGCAGGAATTGGTGTTGTCTCTAGGGGCTGTAATTTCTCATCATATTCGAAATGCATGACACTGCATGACCCTGGTTTCATGAGTCCCGAACAGCTAGGAACCGGGTTCTAGGTGAATACCAGTTGCTTTCTATCCAAAACCTCCTCGGCTGGAATAAGATTCAGCTGGAAAAGGAACAGGCGCTATAGCTTCTGCAAAACTTCTGGGTATTGAAAAATTATGAAAGATGTTGAAGCAAATACCAAGGCATACCGAGGACCGAAGCAACTTGATCGTCATTCCCAAAGTAACCGCCCCGCTTCTTCCAAGGAACGATGTGATGCCACCAGTTGCATCTCCAGTGACTCCAGCCGCGGAAGCAGCGGCTGCCGCATCGGCAGTGGACCTTGATTGATTTTGACTTCGAATGGTTTGAATGGTTCCAATACTGTTTGACATATAGATTTGAAGAGATTCTGTTGCTGTTTCCCGCTTCTGCAAGACTTCTGGGTATGGTTGCAAGATGTTGTTGAAACAAGCACAGAGGCATAGCGAAACCCCAAGCAAGTTGATCGTCAGTCACTCAGTCACAAAGTCACAAATCGTAAAACAGATGCCATACAATGGCAAAAAAGATAGCGTCATCATGGCCAGGATATGCCATGCTTTTTCAAGTATCACCCCGCTTCTTCCGAGGAACGGTGCGATGCCACCAGTTGAATCTACCGTGGCTCCAGCAGTGAAAGCAGCTGCTGCCGTATCGGCAGTGGTATCGGCAGTGGACCTTGATTGATTTTGTCTTCGAATGGTTTCAAATATTTTCAAACGGTTACAAGCGGTTTCCCATATAGTTTGACATACATATGAAGAGATTCTGTTGCTCTACATTTCCGGCTTCTGCAACACTTCTGGGCATGGTTGCAAGATGATCTCCGCTCTTGTCGCCGTTTGCGGCACCATCATCAGCTTGTAGAACGCCATGGCTGCCAGCGAGGCACGGTTGGTGCTGTAGTTGAGCTGCTGCTGTTGCTGTTGCTGTTGCTGTTGCTGGTGTTGTTGTTGTTGCTGTTGCTGTTGCTGTTGCTGTTGTTGTTGTGGTGTTGTTGTTGTTGTCATCGTGTCATCGTGTCATCGTGTCATCGTGTCATCGTGTCATCGTGTCATCGTGTCATCGTGTCATCGTGTCCAGGTTCGCGACGGCCTTGATTGCGTATGGTTTTGGATGGTTTTCAATGGTTTCCAAAAAGTCTGACATAGATATGAACGGATTCGACAGTCGTTTCATGTTTTCATCGTGCCGGTCAGCCCCGAGGCCATCAGTTTCATCTCGACATTCATCATGCAACATGTTTCAATCCCTTTTCCAACATATGGAGGTTTCCTGACATGGGGGTGCACCTAAATCATCCATGTTCAAAAGATATTCCATTATAAACCATACAGTTTTTTTGGGGTATCTCCAATTATGGAAACACCCATATCATATCTTTCCCAGTTGGATAGGGTCCCCGGTCCTGAACGGCGCTGGGAAAAGATCCGACACTTCCAAAGAGGTCCGCCTTGGCTCTTTTTGGCTGGGAGAAAATCGTGGCTTTCTGGGACCCCAAACAGAGAAAGACCCAATGGCTGAACTGATTAGTGGATTTTCCTTCTTCAACACTCTTTAATGTACTTGAAACATCCCAAGCTGGGGCTTACTATCTATCTGTAGATCCATCGCCCATCTGCAATCCACTGGGATGCAAGTGTCCAAGGGTTCATTGATGTTCATTGTACTGCGCTTGTTTGCGCACTTCTTCAAGCTCTTCTTCTTTTTCCTCCCACGCCAGTGCGGATCGAACATGCTGTTTCTATAGCTTCTGCAGAATTTCAGAATTTCTGGGCTGAAAGAAATTGAAACAAATACCCAGGCCCCAAACAAATTTCCGCCCTCAGCCCTTCCGCAGTCCGACTGGGGACCCCACGGGTGGAGTCGCCCCGCCCAAAATCACCCCACCTTTTTGAGTCCCAACGGCCACGGAGCCGATGAATGTTCATCGGAAAACTTATGATTCTACATCTATTGAAAGTAGAATAGACCAAGGTTGGGGAGGAAGAAGTGTTGAAACGCCAAACACACACATGTATATATATATATATATGTATAGCCTAATGGCGCCTAATGTATTGACAGGGGGGCCTCCTCCCCTCCGATATTCATTCTTGGATGGTAGGGATAGTTGCTCCATGATCTGGCTATGCCTTTCTTCGGCTTCAGTCTAAACAAGTCGATGTTCCCCTCATTGATGTAAGTGGGATTGTTCTGCACAGGCTGATAGAAAATTCCGTCATCTACAGTCATAGGCGTGGGGTTTGTCCCAGCCGGGTTTGTTGCCGGGACACCAGTTGTGGGAACCGTGGAACTTGTTGCAGGGACCATTGCACCACCAGAACCAGAACCATCCCTGGTTGGTCTCTCCATGGCTTTAGAGACTACGGCTGATAACCTGTATTTCAAGTTTCAGCTGGGCTAATCACTATTATCCCAAATAGACTGATACTTCGAAACAATGCCGGTAAGCTAGCGACTCACTCTTTTTCACTGAGCCGCAACGCTGTAGCGTACACACTATATTACATGGCGTTTTATGGGCATGTGCAGTTACAACAACTTCTAACTGACGGACTGACGGGCAATGCGACAGCAAAAAAAAGCAAAACCTGCGGGTCCGTTAACAGCGCCGGTAACATAAAGCAATGCCAACCATAGGGAATTTCAATTTGTGGGGTGGTTTTCCATTGTTTTCAGACAAAGCCATATCTTGGGATTGGTTCCGCAATGGGGATGATGACCCTCGAATCCCCTAGTTTTGACACCTTCAGCTGGTAGTTGATCATGCATGTTCATCCCCAAAATCAACCGATGGGAAAACCGTGCCCAATCCCCACATGATTCTGGAGGTGATAGTTGCAACTGGCCGAGCTTGGGAGGCCTCCTTTCGCAACTTCCGCAGCGTTTGCAACGCTTCTTTAGTCCTCAATGGTCAAGTGGCTGTGTGTCAAGGCATTGAGGGCCCGAAAAATGAGATGGAATTCCTGCCCAAAAAAGAAGCATGCAGCTAATTTCTGAGTTGGAAGGTTTGAAATTGTTGGAGCCATAATTGCCATATCCAGCCGCCCCAGGATACTCAGGTGGAAAAGGGGGGATCGCTTCACAGAAGAGAACTGTTAAGAACAAGACAACAAAAGAACAACACGAACAAGAAAGAAGAAGAAGAAGTGCCAGGCTTCCGTTTTGGTGCTCAAAGCATACTCGCCCCAAAAACCTACGACCCCTTGCCTGTGACTGTAGAGCCCAACAATAGCTGATTAGGTTGAGCAGTCCTGAAAATGCAAAAATGATTAGAAATGGTTCCTCGCAACACTCCCATTGTTGGTTGATATCCACAGTTGTTTGGTTGGCCAAATCCGTTTCTTCCTGGTCATCTATCCCAATTTTGCTGGGTGAGCAACTCTCAGCATTGTTCCAGTGCACCAATTCTACAAGGTGGTGCCCCCTTGTAAGTTGCTTTTGATTGTTTGACCAACCCAACTATAGCTCTGATCACCATAAACCCCAGTCAAGTAGCCAACCTTCGCCAACTGGGCACCGCCTTGTGATACCTCCATTGGTTCTCGCTTCCCCCGGCCTCGCCAAGGAACTTCCCCTGTGCCACCATTTGCCGTGGGGAGCCAGGCATGAAAGCACCACCCATCACCAGCAGGCAGCCGGGGACCATCCTTGGTGTTTTCCAGTTTTTCCAGGCTTTAAACCGTGAGTTGGGGGATGGTAGCACCTATGAATCAGGGATTTGGCTTAAATAAATCCAGGGCAATTGTTGACTGAAGTTTTAAACCATGAGAATTTCAGATGAATAACTGCTTAGGCTTTGTGGGGATTGGAGCTTCAACCTGCCCCATCACATGGTTCAATTTTGGTTGGATCCACTCAATTACTAGAGTTGATATCATTTGGTTACAGACATCTTCCACACTCGTACCAAAGCATGAATACTTGCATACGATGCCACGGACTCCTGCAAAGTGTTTCAATCCCGTGGGAATACAGATGTTCCAGCTTTGAAGATTGAATGATCCATAGTATATGCATGTATATGCTATAGTGACTGCTAGTGACTTAAGTCTTAAGTTTATCTTCCATATATCATCATCGAAGTGGGATGACTTCCGCAACCCAAGGCTCACCGACGCTTATTTCATGATCCCTGGTCTCAACACAACAAAAATGATTGTTGATAGAAGGTGGCCCCAGAAAAACAGTGTCTTACCCTTTCTGTGGGGACGCATTTCATGCAGGAAATGTCAGAAGTTGGTTGGTTTCCCTCGAAGAATCCAGAACATGCGAAAAGAAGATCTGATTTAAAATTGTGGCTGCCAATTTCAAGTTACCCTCTGGGAATCAAACATGGCGTGCTGGAAAATTCACCATTCACGTCGATTTCCCAGCTAGAAACCTCCATGTCCAATTGCCATTTGGAGGTGTCTTAAAATGGTGGATCCCCAAGTCACCATGGGTTTCAATACTAAAATGGTAAAACCATGTAAGACCTTTGGGTGATTTGGGTCACCCCTCCAAGTTAGGAAACCTCCATTTATCGATTAGCAACCTTTGGTCGGTCACCGGCAAGGCTCTGAGCGGCAATGACCCAGCGCCATCCACTGACGGGGTCCTCCACATCCTCCAAAACCAGGGCTAAAAGAAAGGCCACCATGATGCCTACCTGAGCTGCCAGTGACCTGATGGAATTATTCTATAGCCGACACAAAATATCTATGGGAAATATCTATGCCAGTGATCTATTTCAACCTATTCTGATCAGAAAATAAGGAAAATTGATGGGTTGCAGCACAGCAAGCAAAAGAGAGAAAAGAGGATGGTTCGACCGGCCCATATGTGGCCAGAGGAATCAAAATGAAATAACCATTTTCAGACACATCTACCCCTGAAGCATTCACTTTGACAGAAGCCATAGCCTTGTATCGGCAGCCCACCCCCCAGGTAAAATGGATGGCAATCATCTGCAGAATCAAAGAGGATAGAATGAAGCCAGCCCAATGAGAAACCCGTTTTTGCATGTTTTTGTCAGTTTCTTTTTACGTTAATAGAAAGCTCACCCAAATGGATCCAAACTGTGGGTGTAACTATGCAGCACTTGACGGCATTAGGCTTTGTGGCATTCGTCGAGGGGATCTACACACAGCAGGATCATCTCCAGCTGCATCCCAGTTTCGGTCACTGCGAATTGGAACCCCGTGACCAGCGCACCGCGCAACGCAGGGGGCGCGATCTCGCTAGTGTATACCGGGGCGTTGCCCGACAGCAGACCCACTGAGAAGCCGGCAACGATGCGACCCAACAGCATCATCGCCATGTTGGTGGCCTTAGCAAAACAATACCATCGTCCCTAAGAAAGCCAAGGAGTTGCTGGGCAAGCTGCAGATGTGAATCATCCGTTGGACGGCATTGGAGACTTCATCTGCCCAAAATTCGGCTGGAATAGCTGGTTGAAATCACATCTCAAACTTACTGGGGGAATGATCCATAATAACTATTAACCATCATCCCACTCCCTATTCCCTACGTTTAGCACTAGTAAGAAAATCTCCATATGTGTGATCACAATCTCCAAATCAAAAGGTCCATACTTCTTCCAGTGGTTGGTTCACATAGGGACTTACCATTGATGTTAAAAAACATAAACATTAATTAAACATGATTCAACATCAATATAAAAATAATGAACATATAAAACATCAATATACATCATATAATCATAATATAAATTAACATAATATAACATACTCTACACCTAAGAGTCTAACCCCCCACCATCACCTCACCTGCTGCTCAGCTGCTACGCACTGCAGCCCCGAGCCCAGACAAAAAATCAATCCACCCGCGACCACAGCGCCCTTCCGCCCCAAACAGCTGACGCCTCGACAAAGCGTGGTGCCAAAATCTGGATCTTACCAGAAAAATGAAATGATATGGGGTTTACGCAGAAAAACATGATCTGATTTATCAGCCAAATATGTTTTTTTCAAAGCATACAAGGGTTTCAACCGCAAAACAAGGAACACCGCATCTTAAACATCATTAAAGGGAATGTCCCAAGCAAAATTGTTGCCAGTCGGGACTCAAAAGAACTGGTTACCACCTCCTAAGCGGTATCGATGTTCAATTATGTTGTATCTTTGTATGATAGCATGTATGTGTATATAAAATACAAAGCATATGGTGTGCATCTATATGTACATAATTATATACGTCTAATATTGCGTACGTCGTATCATAAAATATAGGTTTACTATCATATGCATATATATATAATATATACCATCATCTGGTGTGTAATACCATAAATTGTATATAAATATATATATATATACATATGCATGCATACATCAAGGATAAAAACCCAGTACCCCCACCCCTCTTCACAAGACTTCCGGCACAGGCTTGCATCACCGGAGGAAAAGCTGCCAGGGCCGCGCCCAGGCCGAAGATCATGGTGATGACGCTGTCCTGGAGAATGGCTCGTATGATATTTTCGCAGATCATGGGAATATCCTGAGAATAAGGAGAATAAGCTAATATTTCAGAATGGAAATCTATGTATTTATAATGGTGGACAGAAAGGAAATGACATAGATTGGTTTCCGTGTATAAATAAATAAATATATATATATATATACGTATATATACTGTACATATGCAACCAAAATGGTAGAAGAATAAAGTCTTACTAAACAAGATGCAGCCCACGAACCCGAATGCTCACACGTATGTTAATGGTACAGATGTCGAAACACATGGATATAGAGTCACACAGAACACTCTTCTGGAATAGTTTATTTGAACAGTCCTGTTACCAGTCTGCAGTGTGGAGTGTAAAGTGTAGAGTGTGGAGTGGAAAGTGTAGAGTGTGGAGTGTGGAGTGTAAAGTAAGGAGTGTAAAGTGTGGAGTGGGGAGTGTAGTGTGGAGTGTGGAGTGTAGTGTGTAAAGTGTAGAGTGTAAAGTGTAGAGTAGGGAGTGTGGAGTGTAAAGTGTGGAGTGTGGAGTGTGAAATGAGGAGTGTGGTGTGTGTAGAGTGTAGAGTGTGGTGGAGTGTGGAGGGTGGAGTGTAATGTGTGGAGTGTGGACTGAGGAGTGTGGAGTGTAAAGTGTGGAGTGTGCAGTGGGTAAAGTGTGGAGTGTGGAGTGTAAAGTGTGGAGTGTAAAGTGTGGAGTGAGGAGTGTAAAGTGGAAAGCGTGGAGTGTGAAGTGTAAAGTGTGGAGTGTAGAGTGTAGAGTGTGGAGTGTAGAGTGTTCAGTGTAGAGTGTTAAGTGTAGAGTGTGGAGTGTGGAGTGTAGAGTGTGGAGTGTGCAGTGTAGAGTGTAGAGTGTGGAGTGAGGAGTGTAGAGTGTGGAGTGAGGAGTGTAGAGTGTAAAGTGTAAAGTGTAGAGCGTAAAGTGTAGAGTGTGGAGTGTAGAGTGTAAAGTGTGGAGTGTAAAGTGTACAGTGTAAAGTGTAAAGTGTAGAGTGTCGAGTGTGGAGTGGGAAGTGTGGAGTGTAAAGTGTGGAGTGAGGAGTGTAGAGTGTGTAAAGTGTAGAGTGTGGAGTGTGGAGTGTAGAGTGTAGAGTGTAGAGTGTAGTGTAAAGTGGAGAGTGTGGAGTGTAAAGTGTAGAGTGTGGAGTGTGGAGTGGAAAGTGTAGAGGGTGAAGTGTGGAGTGTGGAGTGGAAAATGTAGAGTGTAAAGTGTAGTGTGTAGAGTGGGGAGTGTAGATTGTGTAAAGTGTATAGTGTGGAGTTTGGAGTGTGGAGTGTAGAGTTTGAAGTTTAGAGTGTAAAGTGTAAAGTGTAGAGTGTAGAGTGTGGAGTGTGGAGTGGCAAGTGTGGAGTGTGGAGTGTAAAGTGTGGAGTGAGGAGTGTAGAGTGTGGAGTGTAAAGTGTAGAGTGTGGAGTCTAAAGTGTGGAATGTGAAGTGTAAAGTGTGGAGTGTAAAGTGTGGAGTGAGGACTGCACAGTGCAAAGTGTAAAGTGTGGAGTGTAAAGTGTAGAGTGTGGAGTGAGGAGTGTAAAGTGTAAAGTGTGGAGTGTAAAGTGTGGAGTGTAAAGTGTAGAGTGTGGAGTGAGGAGTATGGAGTGTGTAGAGAGTAGAGTGTGGTGGAGTGTGGAGTGTAAAGTGTCGAGTGCGGAGTGTGGAGTGTAAAGTGTGGAGTGAGGACTGTAAAGCGCACAGTGTAAAGTGTGGAGTGTAAAGTGTAGAGTGTGGAGTGGAAAGTGTAGAGTGTGGAGTGTGGAGTCTGGAGTGTAAAGTGAGGAGTGTGGAGTGTAAAGTGTGGAGTGAGGAGTGTAGAGTGTGTAAAGTGTAGAGTGTGGTGTGTGGAGTGTAAAGTGTAGAGCGTAGAGTGTAGAGTGGAAAGTGTAGAGTGTGGAGTGTGGAGTGTGGAGTGTGGAGTGGAAAGTGTAGAGTCTGGAGTGTGGAGTGTAAAGTGAGGAGTGTGGAGTGTAAAGCGTGGAGGGAGGAGAGTGGAGTGTGTAAAGTGTAGAGTGTGGTGGAGTGTGGAGTGTAGAGTGTGGAGTGTAGAGTGTGGAGTGTAAAGTGTAGTGTAAAGTGTGGAGTGCATTGTTTTCGCCAGCCACACAAAAGAACTTTCGACACGGTATAAAACAGGTTGGGATGTCACACAGTGCCACGCCTGCCACGCAAAACGACATGAGAACCTGCTTGGAAACCTTCGAAAAGGAGAGGTGTTGCAGCTTCCCCCATAGACATGGCGACGCCACAGGAAAACCAGAGACTCGAGACGAGACACGTGGGCGCAGAAAAACGACCATTTCGCGCGAGACTTCTCCAATTTTGACACTTTCGACATGGTATAAAACAGGTTGGAATGTCACAAAATGCCGCGCCTGCCACAAAATCGATGTTTCGTGCGAGGCTTCCGTCAATTTTTATCACATCTCACAAAATGCCACGCGTGCCACGGAATTTGCACCTTGTCGACACCTGACACAGCCCTGCCAATGCGATTTGTAGAAAAACACGCCACACGACACGTCTAAAGCGCTGCACCTGCCGCGCAAAATGATGATGGACACGTCCAAAGTGCTGCGCCTGCCACGAAAACTGCAACGCATCTTCTGTGAAAAGGTCGCAAAAGTATTGCTCCTGCCACACAAAACGACTTTGGACACGTTACAAAACAGGTCTGAATGTCACGAAGTGCCACACCTGCCACGCGAAATGAAGCAACACGACGTTTGAAACCTCCAAAAAGCACCCCTTCTGCAGAACTTACCATAGGCACGGCCATATGGTCCTCACACGGACGGTTGCGGACGGTTGCAGACGGTTGCAGACGATTGCAGACGGTTGCGGACGGTTGCGAACGGTTGCGAACTTAAACGCAACGTCAAGCGAACACACCCTCAGCCCCCAGACCCCCAGAGTGAAACGGGAACCCTTGCTACGCATTCGGGAAAAATTGTAAGGTACGTTTCTATCTTTTTGGCCGTTGCTACAAAAGCCTTGGACATCTTGGAGATTGATTGGAAGATGATTCAAGGTTACCTTTGCAAGTATAATCCCTTCCCCCTAGTATTAAATGCCCCCCAGAAACAATGGTTTAGTATGGTTAAGTAGGGTTTAGCAGGGTTTAGTAGGGTTTAGTAGGGATTTTACACATATCTGGAACCATCTAGGTGGTGTTTAATATCAGCTGGATCGGATTCATTCCCCAGCTAAATGTGATGTTCAACTTTACAAAATGGGCCAACCCACATGACTGGCTAGGAAGGGGAGTGCCCTCAAAAGGTGGGGCAAGTCCCTGACGGCCTGATTGGGAGGCTTCAAGTAGCAAAATACCAAAGTTAACTATATATAATTATAGTTGTTGAACTCACTTGTTATAGTTGTTAAACTCAGTTGTTATGTTCTTAAACTCAGTTGTTATAGTTGTTAAACTCAGTTGTTATAGTTGTTAAACTCAGTTGATTTTAGTTGTTAAACTCAGTTGTTATAGTTGTTAAACTCAGTTGCTATAGTTGTTAAATTCAGCTGTTATAGTTGTTAAACTCAGTTGTTATAGTTATTAAACTCAGATATTAGAGTTGTTAAAATCGGTTGTTATAATTTTTAAACTCAGTAGTTATAGCTGTTAAACTCAGATGTTTTAGTTGTTAAACTCAGTTTTTAAAAATGTTAAACTCAGTTGTTATAGTTGTTAAACTCAGTTGTTAGAGTTGTTAAATTCAGATATTAGAGTTGTTAAAACCAGTTGTTATAGTTGTTAAACTCAGTTGTTATAGTTGCTAAACTCAGTTGTTATAGTGGTTAAACTCAGCTGTTATAGTTGTTAAATTGAGTTGTTGTTGTTGTTGTTGTTGTTGTTGTTGTTGTTGTTGTTGTTGTTGTTGTTGTTGTTGTTGTTGTTGTTGTTGTTGTTTTTGTTGTTTTTGTTGTTTTTGTTGTTTTTGTTGTTTTTGTTGTTTTTGTTGTTTTTGTTGTTTTTGTTGTTTTTGTTGTTTTTGTTGTTGGTGTTGTTGGTGTTGTTGGTGTTGTTGGTGTTGTTGGTGTTGTTGGTGTTGTTGGTGTTGTTGTTGTTGTTAAACTCATTTGCTATAGTTGTTAACCTCGGTTGTTATAGTTGTTAAGCTCAGTTGGTATAGTGGTTAAACTCAGTTGTTATAGTTGTTAAACTCAGTTGTTATAGTTAAAGTCAGCTGCTATAGTTCTTAAACTCAGTTGCTATAGTTGTTAAACTCAGTTGGTATACAACACCAGGACAAAAGTTTTTTCTCTTGACTAGCTGCTGCAACCCACTCCCCTTAGACTCCTGACAGGTCTCATATGAATCACATGGGGGATCGTGGATCAGCTGGCTTGCTTTAAAAGAATTTTAACTTGTTCCGGCTTGAAATACGATCCGCCACGCAGGCCACGCGAAATGAGGATAATTGATCCGCAGCTGAGGATCATGATGTTTATAAGACGCTAAGCGGGAAAAAACTTTCTTCCTCCTGATGAGCATTTTCCACTAAACATTTTTTAATGAACATTTTCAACTAGAAAGAGTTGTGTCCTCACGAGCATGTTCAGCTTAACCCAGTGCTTCAACTTGTCGTGCTCTACAGTGAGCGCGATTTCAGGTCTTCTCTTCTAGGCAATGCCGCAGGTGTAAAATAACGCAACACCAGGACAAAAGTCTTTCCTCTTGACTAGCTGCTGCAACTCTCTCCCCTTAGACTCCTGACAGGTCTCATATGAATCACATCGTGGATCGCGGATCAGCTGGTTTGCTTTATATAAAAGAATTGTAATTTATTCCGACTTGAAATACGATCCGACACGCAGGCCATGCGAAATGAGGATAGTTGATCCGCGGCTGAGGATCATGATATATATAAGACGCTAAGCGGGAAAAAACTTTCCTCCTCCTGATGTAGTTGTTAAACTCAGCTGTTATAGTTGTTAAACTCAGTTGTTATACTAGTAGTTGTTAAACTCAGTTGTTATGGTTGTTAAAATCAGTTGTTATAATTGTTAAACTCAGTTGTTATAGCTGTTAAACTGACTTGTTATAGTTGTTAAACTCAGATATTAGAGTTGTTAAAATCGGCTGTTATAGTTGTTAAACTCAGTAGTTATAGTTGTAAAACTCAGTTGTTTTAGTTGTTAAACTCAGTTGTTATAGTTGCTAAACTCAGTTGGTATAGTTGTCAAAGTCAGTTGGCATAGTTGTTATTATAAGCTGTTATAGTTGTTAATCTCAGTTGGTATAGATGTTAAACTCAGTTGGTATAGTTGTTAAACTCAGTTGATATAGTTGTTCAATTCAGTTGTTGTTGTTGTTGTTGTTAAACTCAGTTGCTATAGTTGTTAGCCTCAGTTGTTATAGTTGTTAAGCTCAGTTGGTATAGTGGTAAAACTCAGTTGGTGTAGTTGTTAAACATCCCCGTGTGGTGCTGTGGGGGGTGGAACCCCAAAAGACATAACATAAAATGCAGGGGCCTAAGAACAAAATGTAAATAAAATGATAGGGCATAAGGTAAGATAGGATAATCCAAGCAAAACACACTGGACAAACACAAAGAGAATATGGCGTCGGGCCCCCCCCCCACCTGGCAACTGTTGGAGTGGACGTCAGGCCCCGGCAATTCTTGTTCGTTATATTGATTGTTATCTTTCCTTAGATCGTTGACAGACATTTGTCCAGTATGATATACATAATCATTACAGTTTCAGAACTTAATTCATCTCTAGCATTGTTGTTATACATTAGGATTACCGTTCTTACTCACGATCATTTCATCTTTATTTGTCATTTTGTTTCATATTTATTTTGTTCAAAAGATTGTTTCCTTTTTGTTATAAAGCATCTTATAACACTTTTTGTCTTGTAAAGTTTCGGTTGTTTAGTCTGGTGATTTTGCTGAATTGTTGATGAGATAGATTACAATATCATATGAGATAGATTACAAGTGATTCCAAATCTCTGGAATGTTTGCAGAATGATCAGACCGTTGACAGCTATGCATCTTTGCTATTATGCTATCTCTGTCAGTTAAGTTGATGGGTTGGGGCCCTCAAAAAATAAAATGCAACCTGCAAAATAAAATGCTGGGGTCTGACCCCATGATATTTCAGATGTGATCGATGTTTTTTATTTTTTAAGGGGCTCCAGCCCCCGCATTCCCTTGGGGTACACCATAGGAGGATGCTAATCTCAGTTCGTATAGTTGTTGAACTCAGTTGGTATAGTTGTTAAACTCAGTTGTTATAGCTGTGAAACTCAGTTGGTATAGTTGTTAAACTCAGTTGTTATAGCTGTTAAATTCAGCTGGTATAGTTGTTAAACTCAGTTTTTTTAGTTGTTAAACTCAATTGTTATAGCTGTTAAACTCAGTTGGTATAGTTGTTAAACTCAGTTGTTATAGTTGTTAAACTCAGTTGTTATAGCTGTTAAATTCAGCTGTTATAGTTGTTAAACTCAGTTGTTATACTAGTAGTTGTTAAACTCAGTTGTTATGGCTGTTAAACTCAGTTGTTATAATTGTTAAACTCAGTTGGTATAGTTGTTGGTCTCAGTTGTTATAGTTGTTGAACTCAAATGTTATAGTTGTTAAACTCAGTTGTTATAGCTGTTAAACTGACTTGTTATATTTGTTAAACTCAGATATTAGAGTTGTTAAAATCGGCTGTTATAGTTGTTAAACTCAGTAGTTATAGTTGTAAAACTCAGTTGTTTTAGTTGTTAAACTCAGTTGTTATAGTTGCTAAACTCAGTTGGTATAGTTGTCAAAGTCAGTTGGCATAGTTGTTATTATAAGCTGTTATAGTTGTTAATCTCAGTTGGTATAGATGTTAAACTCAGTTGGTATAGTTGTTAAACTCAGTTGATATAGTTGTTCAATTCAGTTGTTGTTGTTGTTGTTGTTGTTAAACTCAGTTGCTATAGTTGTTAGCCTCAGTTGTTATAGTTGTTAAGCTCAGTTGGTATAGTGGTAAAACTCAGTTGGTGTAGTTGTTAAACATCCCCGTGTGGTGCTGTGGGGGGTGGAACCCCAAAAGACATAACATAAGATGCAGGGGCCTAAGAACAAAATGTAAATAAAATGATATGGCATAAGGTAAGATAGGATAATCCAAGCAAAACACACTGGACAAACACAAAGAGAATATGGCGTCGGGCCCCCCCCCCACCTGGCAACTGTTGGAGTGGACGTCAGGCCCCGGCAATTCTTGTTCGTTATATTGATTGTTATCTTTCCTTAGATCGTTGACAGACATTTGTCCAGTATGATATACATAATCATTACAGTTTCAGAACTTAATTCATCTCTAGCATTGTTGTTATACATTAGGATTATCGTTCTTACTCACGATCATTTCATCTTTATTTGTCATTTTGTTTCATATTTATTTTGTTCAAAAGATTGTTTCCTTTTTGTTATAAAGCATCTTATAACACTTTTTGTCTTGTAAAGTTTCGGTTGTTTAGTCTGGTGATTTTGCTGAATTGTTGATGAGATAGATTACAATATCATATGAGATAGATTACAAGTGATTCCAAATCTCTGGAATGTTTTGCAGAATGATCAGACCGTTGACAGCTATGCATCTTTGCTATTATGCTATCTCTGTCAGTTAAGTTGATGGGTTGGGGCCCTCAAAAAATAAAATGCAACCTGCAAAATAAAATGCTGGGGTCTGACCCCATGATATTTCAGATGTGATCGATGTTTTTTATTTTTTAAGGGGCTCCAGCCCCCGCATTCTCTTGGGGTACACCATAGGAGGATGCTAATCTCAGTTCGTATAGTTGTTAAACTCAGTTGTTTTAGTTGTTAAACTCAGTTGTTATAGCTGTTAAACTCAGTTGGTATAGTTGTTAAACTCAGTTGTTATAGTTGTTAAACTCAGTTGTTATAGTTGTTAAACTCAGTTGTTATAGTTGCTAAACTCAGTTGGTATAGTTGTTAAAGTCAGTTGGCATAGTTGTTAAACTCAGTTGTTATAGTTGTTAATCTCAGTTGGTATAGTTGTTAAACTCAGTTGGTATAGTTGTTAAACTCAGTTGATATAGTTGTAAAACACAGTTGTTATAGTCGTTAGACTCAGTTCATATACTAGTAGTTGTTAAACTCAGCTGTTATGCTTGTTAAACTCAGTTGTTATAGTTGTTGAACTCAGTTGGTGTAGTTGTTAAACTCAGTTGGTATAGCTATTAATCTCAGATGTTATATTTTTTAAACTAAGTTGTTATAGTTGTTAAACTCAGTTGTTGTTATAAGCTGCTATAAGTTGTTATAATTGTTATTATAATTTGTTATAGTTGTTAAACTCAGTTGTTTTAGTTGTTAAACTCAGTTGTTATAGTTGTTAAACTCAGTTGTTATAGTTGTTAAACTCAGTTGTTATAGTTGTGAAACTCAGTTGGTATAGTTGTGAAACTCAGTTATCATATGTTTGTATATGTAAAATATATTCATATTATTATAGTTGTTGAACTCGGGGACTTAATATAATTATAGTTCACTACTACATTTCAAATCAACCCAGGGTTAACTATCTTTTATTACTCCAGGGCTGATATTAGAGTTTGTTATTATTTTGGGAATTTGATCCACATGCAGAATTATTGTACTAGCGGGAGTACGACTGGTGGATGGTCGTTCCAAGAATCTATATGTAAAACGCTGTGGATTCCTGAAGAAGGAAATCGTATATGGAATAGCTAGATTAGACATACAAGAGCCCTCTGAAATGAACTACAAATGATGGATGTTCCATATCTATTGTTCGTTTACTTCAGAGTATTAATAATGACCATCAGCTAATTTAACATAGCTATTGAAAATGTTCATTTATCGCTGATGTACCTATTGATGTTCCATAGCTATGCTGAATTACCAGAGGGTACGTATATATAACAAAAAAAGTGGTTGGTTTTACAAATACCCTCTGGTAAACTAACATAGCTATGGAAATCACCATTTTTAATGGGTAAATCATCTGTAAATGGTCCATTTTCCATAGCAAACTGTTCATTTATATACTTCATTTACTGGAGGATAAATTCACATGATATCCCATTAATCCCCATCAAAATCACCTGATAAGTTTGGTCAAAGTTAAGTCCTATGAAATCACCAGTTTGTTACCATCTGGTTATTTAACAGAGCCATGGAAAATCACCATTTTTAATAGGTAAACTCAGGTAAACCATCTATTTCTATGGGCCATTTTCCATGGCTATGTCAGTCATATCCAGAGGGTAAATCAACATGAAATCCCCGGAGATCCTCGAGCCCCATCAAGTCATCCCGCTGCAGCAAGTCTTGGGAGAAGGACTTCATCGTCCTCGGTTCCAAGCCCTGCCAGGGAGAAAAACGGTCAATCTGTTTGATATATATATATCTGGTTGGTGGTATACTTACCCCTCTGAAAAATATGAGTGCGTCAGTTGGGATGATGACATTCCCAATATATGGAAACATAAAAAAAAATGTTCCAAACCACCAACCAAATATAATATATATATAATAATCATTAGCCATATGACTAATAATAATCCAATGGGTTATTTAAAGAAACATCGATTATATCCCATGGGGTTACACTAGTCTCATGGGTCATAATTTATGATATTATGGCGGGTTATACCTTTTAAATGCTATCGCTAATAAGAATCCCATGGGGTATAACTCATCCAAAACCATCTATGATATCCATCATCACAAATCTCTGGAATTAAAACAATTCACAAAAATCTGAAATGTGATAATTAGCCCTACTAGTATGTTGATAATCACCATTGGTTCCTTCTCTTGATAAAATATCATGAGGCCATTTACCATATATCATTATCATAGTCATAGTTACTAATATCTGATCATCACCATTGGTTACTTCTGAAATGGTACCAATATCTATGAATAATCTTAGTTACAGTACCCCTACTACTAATGATTATTCCAGGCTTCGGTGAAGTCATCAGATAGTGACAAATACCGATGCCTAAATCATACAGTAGTTGTTTAGTGATCCTGGGTTAACACTGTACTTACAGTGTATATATATATATACACATATAGATTTAGATAATGGCTCCAAAATTTGATGATTCATCGCCAGTTTCCCTCTTACGAAGTTGGCCAGTATAATTGGGCTGTACCATTTTCAGGCACACCCAAATATCAAAAACATAATATTGCTCGTTGGTTAAACCATTGATATCCCAAGAAACGCATCCAACTATCTCCAATTCCATCCCATTTGATGGTTGCGTTTAAAAACTCAATGTCCAACTGTGGCTTGCTCCCAACAGCACCCCAGGGACCGTGTTTTACGGCCAGTCGTGTCGCTTCACCCCGGCGATGTAGCCAATGTCCAGGCCCATCAACAGGCCGGCGAGGGAGGAGAAGCTGGCCACTGCAATGACCACCTGAGCAGAAATCACTCAATGAGTGACTAAAGGCTATGTTAAAGAGGATATAGCCCAAAAATACATGTATTAGTATATAACTATAAGTGTACCTATTTTATATTATATATATAGAGTACTGTAACAATTAGTAACTGTTAGCAACTATTAGTAACGATTACACATCACAAACCTCTAATCTTGGATGGTTTATCTATAGCGTTATTTCTGGTAAGGAGTTGAGAGTGTGCGCTTTACCCCATTGATGCAGTCAACCATGGTAATAACGACATACAGTAGCCCAAAAAAACGTAGAAAAGTCATTTGTCACCATTTTAGTGGTTTTACTTGTCTATATTTCTGTGGAAAAAAAACAGGAAACATCCGGACTCCATGCTTTTGACCATTAAATAAGAAGTTCCCTGTAAATTGTCCCTTAAACCAAGTCTGGGATTTGGGGGTTAGTCAGCATATGCTTCCATGTCTTCCGTATGAAGGATCAAGAAAAACTGAACAACCCTTGATGTGAACGAAAACACCCAGCCACGCCAATACCGCCCTGGCCCTTGAAGCTTTCAGCATCCTTCTCCTAGACACGCCAGTATTGGCGTCGGCAAATTGGGTACCCCACCCCGAAATCTGTGTTTACTCTGAAGACAACCAGTATGTTTGTAACCCGATTTTCGGACACCAAATAAGATGCTATTCCGCTGTTCCCTAGACGTTCTCCTTCACGGGCAAAGACTTTACAAGCATGGCTCATGGTGGCTATCTTGCCATGGGGCCATGGGGGAATGAAATGGGTCCAAGCTAAGACGGGGCAAGAACGGATTGCCCTGAACAGTAAGTGAAGTTGGTTTTCAGCTAGGACCCCTTGGATTTATGAGGGATATATAATATATACCCGCAGTTGGATGGAATATATTCTGAACACCACCCTGCCAAGGCTACAGGATTTCGGGTTTTCACCCATTGGTTAATGATGACCGGCGCTAATGCACTGTAGATATTTGCGTACTTACCCAAACTCCAACTCATTCAAATATCCAAACATCACGAATATTGGGTAGAGAAAGCAAAAGCAAAAACATGTGTGAGATGCCAACGATGCATCGTATACCCACCCAGATCTTCCATCAAAATCCCCTGCAATCCCCTGCGCTGTCCTCCAAATCTGCTCTCTTCAGAATTTCCTTTACCTCGAAGCTTGAGAGGAAGACAACCCCCCGGGTGGACGCTAACCCCCCTGGGTGTTTCAAGTGTTTCTCAAGATCCGAACTCTGCATCCGCGGCATGAGAAATGATGAGATCAGGGGTGGGGTTTGCAGATCTTTAGATGCATATACCCTCTGGTTATTTAACAGAGCCATGGAAAAACACCATTTTTAATGGGTAAACCCAGGTAAACCATCTATTTCTATGGGCCATTTTCCATGGCTATGTTAGTCATATCCAGAGGGTATATAGGAAATGGCTGGAACAAGAATAACCAACCATCCAGTCACATCTAACCTGGTCCCACATGGTCCGAGATGGTCCACTGGTCGCAGCCCCAGCGGCATGGGAAACTCAACCTTCTGACGGCTGAAGTCACTTCAATTCATCATATCAGCGATATCCGATATTCATCATCCAAATAGATCTGGGAAGAACAAACATGTCAAACCCACCATGATGAGAATGTCCTTGTTCATTTCATCCCTTTTCACTGCCAAAAGGTGTACATCCTCAACCCATCATGTGCGGCCTCGCTGTCGGACAAGCTCTCCTCGTGCTTCTCTACAACGACACCAGGTGCCATGGCAACACACGAGTCCCCGCTGCTGCACCCCACGAAGGCCCCCTTGAGCAACTTGAGTGATCGGAGTGGAGCCCTTTTCACACCCATGACCCCAGTGGGCATCATGGATTGAACTTATGGTTACTTATGCAGTGTCTGGTGGTTTGAAAATCCCAAACACATCAAAACACAATATCAATCAGAGCTTGGGTGGGCTCGTGGTTCCTAGCAGACCTCTTTTTGGTGTGGCATGGTCAAAACTGGGATACCCGCCACGTGTGCCTGAGGCAGCTGTGAGCGTGGATTCATCCGCATGCTGCGCGTCAAAACTGGGATCGTATACCCATATTGGGGGATGGTCTTCAATCATCATCAATCCATAATATAATACGGATTTATATGCCATTATATATAATATATATATATTCCAATTGTATCCAATTGTAAGTTGTACGGATTCCCCTTATGGGCTGGATGACCGTAAACCATGTACAGGTACCGTCTTTTTGACAATGGCATATGTATGCTTTGGGGACCAGACTCTAAATGTGGTTTCCAAAACTCCCAAAATTGAGTTCCGAAACTCCCATGTATTGCCCTCCTTACCCAACCCTGTGTTTTGTGATGCTCTCTTGGCAAATCCAAAAGCGGTCTTGGGGAGAGTCCCGCAAGGACAGGCGTCCCCAGCCCCGCCGTGCCGGCAGCCGCTTCACCCTTGTGCGCTTGCCCCCCACACAAGCGTCCAATACTCCCACCTGGAACCAAACAATGAATCGTTTGTTGCAAGCAGGAATGGTATGAAACAGCCTTTCTCCAGGTCCAATCCTTTCAGAAAGCAAGTTGAAACAATCCATGGTCATTGTCTGGATCCAGTTGCGGGAGTCGATTAGAAATCACGAAAAACTCTTGAAACTTGAAACCTGAAACAAGAATTGAAATCACTGCACCTGTTAAGTACTAGTCAGGCGCTTCTACCATGCAACAACCAAGCCCATTCAGAAGGCCGGCTGCCAAAAGCTTGCAAGTCGCCAGAATCTAAGAGCGGGTTAGGGCCTGTGTCAAGCAGCTACTCCTCGATTTCCAATTCCATCTGTAGTTTCTAGTTGGCGTTTTTGTTCCAAAAGTACAAGATTAAACTAAACCATATTCAATCATATCAAAGTTCAAACAAACAACCACCCAGGTTGCAATAGTCGTGGTGGAGCCCGGCCGAAGGATGTTTAGAAGTCAAACTTCCGACAGTATGGGCAGCGCAGAGATGGGAAGAGTCAGAGAAGAGAAAAAAAGAAGATCAAAGAAGAGAAAGTCTCAGAAGAAAAAAGATCCAGGTGCGCGAAAAGGTAGGAAAGTCGCGAAACACTGTGTTTTTCCAATGATTTGTGGCTCTGGAGGGTGGAAAAGTAGGCTCGCTAAAGCGGCGGGTGCGGAGCCATCTGGCCAGATGAGAGATGAAAAGTTGCGCGCCATTGTGGCGCGAAGCACATTTCCAAGTCAAAATGTACAAAACACCTCAGCCGCGGAGCACTTTTAGAAGCTGAGATGTCGAAAAAATGCGCGCCGCTGTGGCGCGAAGCACATTTCCAAGTCAAAATGTACAAAACACCTCAGCCGCGGAGCACTTTTAGAAGCTGAGATGTCGAAGAAATGCGCGCCGGTGTGGCGCGAAGCACATTTCCAAGTCAATATGTCGGAGCACTTTTGGAAGTTGAGATGTCGAAAAAGTGCACGCCCTTGTGGCGCAAAGCACATTTCGAAGTCAAAATGCACAAAACACACCATGTTCGGACCACTTTTGTTGAGATGTCGAAAAAGCGCACGCCGTTGTGGTGCGAAGCACGTTTCGAAGTCAAAATGTACAAAACACGCCATGCTCGGACCACTTTTGGAAGTTGACATGTCGAAAAAGTGCACGCCGTTGTGGCGCGGAGCACATTTCCAAGTCAAAAGTGGAAAAAACAGAGGGGTACGGAGCACTTTTGGACGTTCAGATGTCGTTTTCCGTGGCAGGCGCAGGGGATTGTGCACCTTGTCAAAAGTGAGTAAAACGTGAGGGTTTTGTAGCACTTTCAAAGACGATGGCAGGCTTGGGACATTGGAAAGATGCATTTCGCATGGCAAGCGCAGTACAAGAGACATGTTCATCAGAGATGTCGGGAGGTCAGGGCGGAGATTTCCTGAGAGGGGTTGCATTTTGGAGCATGAGTTCAGGTTTGGGAAGATGATTTTGCGTGACAGGTGCAGCACTTTGTATGACCTGGCTTCACTTTTTCCGGGCAGGCGCAATACTTTAGAGACACAACTGGAAAAATCGCAAAACACATTGGTACGAGGCCATCAGCTCTGCTCTGCACTCAACTTTCCATTTTTCAAGGATGTCTCGCAGAATTGCTTCGTTTTTGATGTTGTCAAGTTTAAAAATTGAGGAAGTCTCGCAGAATTGCTTCGTTTTGGATGTTGTCAAGTTCAAAAATTGAAGAAGTCTCGCAGAATAGCTTCATTTTCAAGCTTGCAGGTAGACAGACAGACAGACAGACAGACAGACAGATAGATAGACAATTACAACTACCACTACACTACACTACACTACACCACCGCTACAACTACAAATGCAAATAAACTACGCTAAATTACACTACACTACACTACACTAATTACATCTAATTACACTACACTACGCCAATTACACTACAACAACAACTACAACAACAACTACTAATAATAATAACACAACAACGACTACAGTTACAACTACACTACGCTACACTAATTACACTGCAGCACACTACAACTACAAATACAACTACAACTACAACCACACTACATTACACAACACTACACTATACCACACTACACTACACAACACTACACGACATTACACTGCACTACGCTACACTAATTACACCACATCACGACTACAACTGCAACTGCACTTGCAACTACACTGATTACACTATATTACAACTACAACTCCACTACACTACACAACACTACAACTACAGCTACAACTGCAACTACAACTACAACTGCACTACACCACACTACATCCAGCAGTTGTGGTAAGGTGACCACTGCAACCATTGCAACCATTCCAAAAAACACAACTCCAACCACCTGTCGGTCCACCAGTGGATTCGCTCTGCCATCCGTGATTCACAACAACCAACCTCTTCTATAGGTTTCCTATTTTTGAAACTTCCCCCACCGCCTTGTGCGGTACTACTGGTACCAAACAAGCGGCTGCCTGCGTTCTGGGCACTCAGCCCACTTGGGATATAAATCGAATTTCAATACTTCGGGCTAAAACAATCCCTGTTCTCAAAGGCTCCATTCTATAAATTTGTGGGCCTTCCGATGGGTACCATTGCAACCTCACTATGGAATCCAACGGCCACATACTAGGTTTCCTGCATCGGAAGCATAGGGATGACAGTAAACTTCAGTAAACTTCATGAAAGAATCACTTGATGAATAAATGGTGCTGGTCGCCACTTTCTGGAAACAGTGAGTCATGAGCATATTATTTTGTCTATCTTTCTGAAGCATGTGTTGTGGTGATAGTGACACACACCCATCTCAAAGACCGGCCCAGCTGTATACAGGATATTCCCAAGACATGTTCATCGAGCTGGTCGCAGGGCGAGAAGATAGGGCTCTGCAAAAATTGTGTCAAATCCTGCAGGAAGACTTGCAAAAGTCCTCAAAATAGCTTGGGTCCATCATTTTCTATCCTTTGCCATCATTTCAAGCCACATCAACAACGTCCTCCTGTACAATGCAACCAACGTCGCCTCAAAAATGTGCTGAGTTTTACACATTTGAGCGCAGTTTTCAGCAGCTCGGTCTACGGATGCACCGAATCCACGTTGGCGTCTTCGGTGGCCTTGCACTCGCCTGGCACGGAGGATACACCAACAAATGGGGGCACTGAAGTCAGGGTCGAACGGTCAAACAGAACTTTGAATGCTTACTGTATTATTGGTTATTACAAATGTTGAAAAGTACATTGTCAGATATTATTGGTGATTGTTATATACGTATGCGGGTTTATAGTTTGAAGTGGAATCTGATGAATTCTTGCAAATACAATAATAATTATATATATAATACAAAATATATGATGAGAAAATGTGGTGAGAGATCGGTACAAATCAAAAAAACTTGGTGCGGGACTTTTTGGATAAAAATAGTACTTGATGCATAATTATAAACTATTCCAAAAGAACGCATTTCTGGAGTCACCATAGGAGCATTTCCCCGTGTGAAGGTGACGACTCTGACTGTTTTATTCTTGAGGATCAAACAAGTTTGAAGATGGTTGGAGTTTGAGATACCCTCTGGTAATTCAACCAATGGAGAATCCCTAAACTATCCCATGTATCAGTGATTTTGCCATCAACCTCCCAATTTTGTGGGACATAGGCGCCCCCGAGATGTCTCTCTTGGGTCAGGATCGCTTAGGCCAGTACGAAAAGATCACTTACTGTAGGGGTGGTTACTTTTTTACCTGAATGATTAAGACCTTTGGATTCCTTTGGGGTTGTGGGTTAGGGTGGGACATGGGGGAGCGGCAGACCAGGGAGCATGGGAACCTTTAGGGTGGGACGTGGGGACATTCGATGCCATGACTTGAAACTACAGTCCACATTTGAGCGCTTGGTTCATCTCTCTCTCTCTCTATGATGCCCAATCATAGATACACTTCAAAGAAAAAAAATAGCTGGTTGGTCTCTATCTATATATATATATATATGTGTGTGTGTGTTCTTCTGAGCTGTTCTGGATTGTTGAAGCTGCAAGCTGTTCTGCATCGTTTTGCTACTCTTGGGGGTTAGCCCTATGGCCTCCCTGCCCCCCCGATTTAAGCCTACTTCAAACGTTGTCATGAGGGGGTATCCAAAAAAATGATCCAAGTCCATCTGCCGATAGCACAAAGGGATAGTACATTTATTGACTCCCCCTACTTATTTATATATATATATATATATGTATTTGTATATATATATATATATAATTATATAATTATATACATAATTATATATAGTGATATAGTGTATATGTAGTGAATATGTAGGGTGTAGCTATACGTTGGAATTGGGTTATTGTACTCTACATTTTTGGTGTCTCCCGGGTCCCTTGGCTTCAACCTGGGTGGAACCAGTGGTTGAACATCGAGGTAATCTCCTCTAAGCTCTTGTCCTGTGCCGCGTGGGAAAAATGGATCTGGGATGCAACTAGGCAACAAAACCGTGGATTTGGGGTGTACCTGCATGAGGAATACACCCCGGCCACATATTCATGGGGGAAATGATAGTACTATAGGCTTTCATTAAGCCAATACATTTAGGGAGGTGCCAAATTTTCAGACACAGCCACACTTTGTGCGATGCTCAGAAACGGATAGGAATGCAGGATTTACCCAGCGAATTTGTGGGGATTTAAGCCTCAGAAATAGGGAAAAAATAAACTCCAATGAGCAATGGATATGGGTTCGCCTCAAAATGAGGGAGATCCAGAAATTGGCATTCAAACATGAGGAAAGTATGGGAAGATGATCAAATTAAGTGTGATCTACCTGTGGAGTTCCTGGCCGGCCAATCATTTAAACAGCCGGAAGTACATATTTCAGGATCTGATAATCTGATACACTGTACACATTTAAACAGTCGGAAAAATATGAAATAAGCTTCCGTGGTATCCCCAACAGCCGCAATGATTTATCCTTACAAATCTTTCTGAAGCATGCTGCGAAGCCAAGCGCTGGAAACACCTGAGCGTGCTCCAAAGCCTCCCAGACCTTCTCCGGAACCTTTTCCTCAACTCTGTTGAACCTGACCTGGCTCTGCACCAAAGCCTCCCGGAACCTTCTCCGGAACCTTCTCCGGACCTGGCTCTGCACCAAAGCCTCCCAGACCTTCTCCGGAACCGTCTCCGGAACCCTGTTCAACCTAACCGGGCTCTGCACCAAAGCCTCCCAGACCTTCTCCGGAACCTTCTTCGGAACCCTGTTGAACCTAACCGGGCTCTGCACCAAAGCCTCCCAGACCTTCTCCGGAACCTTCTTCGGAACCCTGTTGAACCTGACCTGGCTCTGCGCCAAAGCGTCCCAGACCTTCTCCGGAACCTTCGGAACTTTTTCCGGAACCTCGTTGAACCTGACCCGGCGCCTGCACCAGTGCACACCGGAGCTAATTCTGGGCTGAAGACCCCATTAGCTTACGCTGTTCGGGAGGTGATCCCGGTACAATTAAAATGTTGTCACTATCACCGTAGGTTTTGGGCTCCCAAAAGAAGACCATGATCAGTCCCCAGTTGACATTGGAAGAAGTATACCAAAACGATGAAAATCCCATCCCCCTTTTATACGGTTAGGAACGTTTACACCCCCCTGAAAGCATGGTGGTAACAAAATGTAACAAAGGGGAAGGGTGTTGAATATGAACAGGGGATGGGATGAAATGAGCAAACAACGTTTTGGAATCTTCCAAACGTTTGGCCCAATCTTGGTGCTCTGCCGCACCTTGGTCTCTGGCAAAGACATGGCGCAGAAGAGGCAGAGACAGTTGGTGCCAACGAAGACCCAAAACGTGTTGAAGCCCCAGGTGTCAAACATCAACGGTGGCAGGAAGGCAATCAAAATGTTGCCCACCTGAGGAACCACATCGCGGTTGTGGCGGGAACTTGAACAAAATGAATAAAGCACACTACTCATACCATGTGGTGATTTAACATAGCTATGGAACATGGTTCATTTAATGATGATTAACATGATGATTTACCGAACTTAAAAGGTGATTGTCCAGTGCGCAAACCGTTAAATAACAAGAGGGTACAACTCCTGAATGGATGTTCTGCAGCTGATGTGTCACTTCTATGTCGGCAGGCGATTCAAAAGCACGTTCAAGTGCAACTAGATGGTGTTTAAGCTAAAGATCCCAGTGAAATCTGTTTCACGCAAAGCTTTTCTTTCATCAATCGGACTCAAGTCGGTGCAATTTCTGTATCAAATGCTATGCCCATGACAGAACAAAGGGGCTCACAATGTCAAGCCAGCTTGGGTCGTGCGACAACATGAGTTTCTGGGCATGCAGAGACTGGAAAGATGACATCCGATGAGAAGGATCAAGAAGTCTTCATAGTCACAGGGATGACGGAAATGACATGGCTGACCATAGATGTTGCCAAGACATGAAGCTCTCAACCTGTGAGAACCTCATCTTCCCGTGATATCACCAAGTCTAGGAACTAGCGGCTGGCAACTAGTGAAAATATCACTCTGAAGGCCACTCAAATATTACCGTTCTTCAGGAATGGGTCGTGTAAATCACCATTCTTCAGGAATCTGATTTTTCCCGCAAGCTTCAAAAGATAGAAAATGTAATTCATCCAGATAGCCTACAATGTGGGCCTCCCCAGTTATAAGTTGGTTTATAAGCCCCAGTAACTATAGTACAACAACATAGTATAACTATAGTTATCGAAGGAAGTTTAGAAGTCAAACTTCCGACAATATGGAGAGATGAAAAGCAGAGCAGGGAAGAGGCATAGAGAAGAGAAAGATTAGAAGAAAGAAGAGTAGAAGAGAAAGAGTAAGAAGACAGAAGATGCAGATGCGCGAAAAGGTAGGAAAGTCGCGAAACACTGTGTTTTTCCAATGATTTGTGGCTCCGGAGGGTCGAAAAGTAGGCTCGCTAAAGCGGCGGGTGCGGAGCCAGCTGGCCAGATGAGAGATGAAAATTTGCACGCCATTGTGGCGCGAAGCACATTTCCAAGTCAAAATGTACAAAACACCTCAGCCGCGGAGCACTTTTAGAAGCTGAGATGTCGAAAAAATGCGCGCCGCTGTGGCGCGAAGCACATTTCGAAGTCAAAATGTACAAAACACACCATTCTCGGACCACTTTTGGAAGTTGCGATGTCGAAAAAGTGCACGCCGTTGTGGCGCGAAGCACATTTCGAAGTCAAAAGTGTTAAAAACTGGCGGTCTCGGACCACTTTTGGAAGTTGAGATGTCGAAAAAGTGCACGCCGTTGTGGCGCGAAGCACATTTCGAAGTCAAAATGTCGAAAACTAGTGCACGCCGTTGTGGCGCGAAGCACATTTCGAAGTCAAAATGTACAAACCCCACATGTTCGCGCCACTTTTGGAGGTTCGGATGTGGAAAAAGTGCACGCCGTTGTGGCGCGAAGCACATTTCCAAGTCAAAATGCACAAAACACTAGGGGTTCGGACCACTTTTGGGGGCTCAGATGTCGTTTCGCTTCACTACACTACACTACATTACACCACACTACACAACACTACAACCACAACTACACAACTACACTCCACTACACAACTACACAACTACACTCCACTACACTCCACTACACTCCACTACACTAAATTACACTCCACTACACTAAATTACACTCCACTACACTACACTACCTTCCACTACACTTCACTACATTACATTACACTACACTCCACTACAAATACAACTACACAACTACACTCCACTACACTCCACTACACTAAATTACACTACACTACACTACACTACATTACACTACACTCCACTACACTACATTACACTACACTACTTTCCACTACACTTCGCTACATGACACTAAACTACATTCCACTACACTACAACTACAACTACAACAACACTCCACTACACTCCACTACAGTAAATTACACTACACTACACTACATTACACTACACTACACTACATTACACTACACTACACTACATTCCACTACACTCCACTACACTACATTGCACTACACTACATTACACTGAATGACACTGCACCACAGATAGACAGGTAGACAGATAGACAGACAGACAGACAGATAGATAGATAGATAGATAGACAGACAGGTAGACAGCTAGACAGATGAGAGAGAGAGAGAGAGATAGATAGATAGATAGATAGATAGATAGATATAGAGAAAGATGGGTAGGTAGATAGGTAAGTAGGTGGGTAGGTAGGTAGATAGTCAGAGAAAGAGAGAGAAATAGTGAGAGAGATCAATCACCTTTCGCTCCAGCAGTGGCTTCGCTCTGCCATCCCTGATTCACAACAACCAACCTCTCCTATAGGTTTCCTATTTTTGAAACTTCCGCCACCGCCTTGTGCGGTACTACTGGTAAGGACCATAAACCATAGTTATTGGAGTTATTTGCACCAGCTTAGCTATCGTTTGGGGGCCCACTTTGTATCTTGGTCGAATTTTGTTTTTCACCGCCCAGGTACCCAGTTGGCATCGGTGGTGGCCGCCACCCCCTGGCCAGATGCCGATTTCACCGGTGATTTCACAGGAATGGGAAGAAAAAAGGGATGGAATATATCATGGGTATATCATGGGTATATCATGGGTATATGGTGGATAGAACATATCATTGGCACATGGATGTAGAAAAGGTGTATATGGTGTATGAACATATCATTGGTTTTGTCGGGAAAATCTACACCGGGAACCATCGATTTTCCCATGAAAAATATGGGGCGTTCCGGCTAAAATTGTCCCTTAAACCAATCCATTGATAAATGGGATACTGGAATATCTCATGGATATATGGTGTATGGTCATCCATCCCATAATGGGAATCCAAACATCATGGGCATGTGACTCTCTCTATTGATGGATTGATGACCATCCTAAAACATTGCTATCTAGTCTAGTCCAAGTTTAGACCATGGTTTCTGGGGGGTGTTTAATATTGGGGGGATGGGATTATAAATGCCTGAAATTCGTGAAAAAAATGTCCCTAGTTGTTGACCATCATTTTGATATGGCCCAACATGTATATACATTGTTTTCGGGACTGTACACACGGCTATTATATACATCCTTGTATATCCTTGTCATGGATGCCAACAAAAAATCCACTGACTGCATGAAAAAGGTGGAAGGGGAGTCTCCTTCCCAAGATCTTTGGCTAGATGCTGAACCAAATTTATGAGCAAAAACCGATGCTTAAACCCATCAAACTGTGGACTCCCATTGCATCCCATGGTTTGGAAAACAATGAACATCATGTTCAGAATTGGGGCCCAATTCTAACAGTCTCACAAAGCCATTTTTGGTTCATCCGTTCAACATAGCCACTCTGCAGGAATGTCTGAGGCGGTAATTTGATGGTTTGGAACCTCATTTTTCTCTTTAAAATTGCCATGTAAGGTGGGAGTACATATCCCATGGGCAAACCCAAGTTTCAGATCAAAAGTCAAATAGGTGAAGTATTTCCTATCAAATACCTTCTTTTCCAGGTCATAGCCCTTCAAATCCATTCTCAGTTTGGCAAATTTCCCATATTGTGTGTTTAAACACCGTGTTAAATCTTCAAGGTGTTATGAACCCACAATATGGGAAATAGGTGAATTCCTATATTGGCAAATTTTATATTGGCAGATTTCACCAATATTGGAACGAAAATAGGGAGATTCCCATATTGTTTTTATTGGTGAATCTCCCTATTTTCGTTCCAATTCCTCCCCGAAATCACCGCTCCGAACACCATGCGGAATCGGCACACCTTGGTCCGGTGCTTCTGCGGAAACATCTCGGCACAGTAGACCCATGCCATGCCGCCCCAGCCTCAGGATGTGTGTCCAATAAGTGGACAATGATAACATAGTAAAAGTACTGGCAAAACTTATTGATAGTACCTAAATTAACACTGATAGTGATGAGGAAGATGGTGACGATGATCGTGATGGTGGTGATCGTGATGATGGATAATGATGATCATGATCATGATCATGATAATGATGGTGATGATGATGATGATGACCCTGCCCTACTCCGACTCCTGCTCCTGCCTCCCCCTTTCATTGTCCAGCAGCCGTATGCAAAGTTCAGAATGAAACCGCAAATGGCCAGCGTGGCTGTCCTTGTACCAGTGATGTTCGCGATTTTCGGACCAACTTGTCACAAAACTGTGGAGCCGATACATATATATATATATGTATATATATATTATAATATATATATATATATTATATATATATATATATTATATATATATATTATATATATATAAATTAATATGGGATCCCATATACCACTTTACCTCCACAGAACGTGGCCAGCACTCAGGGGGAGGTAAAGTTTGCAACCATAAATTCTGGCGTCTGGAGAAATTATTTGAATTTATTTGCACCATCTGTTTGCGCAACAATGTTCTACTCTGTTTTTATCATCGCAGTAGTAAGTCAACAACTGTTCCAGATATGTAACAATAATCATGAGCATGTATCATGATTCTGAATCATGATAAATGCTCTACTAAGACGACGAAATATGACACGCAAAATAAGTTTTTTCGAATCTGGCGGAGCCATGGGGCCATGGATTTTCATCATTTTCCTTCCTGTTTTTCTGTGTCCGAGAAACCAGCAAACTCATAGGGAGACCATGGGAATTCATGGGATATACTGGAAGATAATATGATGTAGTTGGATATACAATCGACAAAATCTTCACTATGACATTTGGAGATATCTACTGGGATTGCCCAGCCCGGTGTCATCATTGCAGCCGCTGGAAGTTATTCCCAGCCGAACGGCTGCCATGGAGGAATTGTGATGGCTGCTGACAATGATCATCCCAAGAAAGGTTGGCTTAAGATTTTTAATAGTCTACCCACAATTTTAATGTTACCCTCTGGTAAACGTTTACATAACTATGGAAAATCACCATGCTATTAATGGGTAAATCCACTATAAATGGCCATTTTCAATAGCTATGTTAAATAACCAGAGGGTATACATTGATGAGTTAGTTGATTGAGTGCTCATTGATCCTTAAAAAGACCAAACAAAAACATGGGTCCAGCGGTACCCAAGACTCAAAATGTCCCATTCCCATAGTTTCATGATGGCCATATCCCCATATTTTGGTCAGTTCTCCCATTCCTCACCCTGCCAAATTAGAAATAAACGCTAGCAAAGAGCTTTCATTTTTTGCATTCGATGTTCTAGTACTGGGGCATGATGGAATCTTTGGGCGACAAAAGCAACTACATGGTCTCAAATCTGACCCCATACCTTGAAATTACATGTCTGTGAGCAAAATTTCAAGACTTCTAGACGAACTGTTTGGCTGGTCACTGCCATGTCAAAATGAGTGCTCAAACACCCCATATGTTCTTCATATGATATGAATCATGGCTGTGTTGTCTTGCCCTCTCCATAGATTTCTGGTCCAAGATTTATGGTCGTCCAATCCATTTTCTAGGGTTTTGGGCCAGCCCCGTGCCAGCGCCTGATTCTCCAGACATATTTTCTTCAACACGAGGTCCCGTTTTTCTCCACGAGGTCCCATGAAATTTCCATGAAATCCCCATGAAGTTCCAATAAGTCCCATTAAACCACCATTAAGCCACCATTAAACCATCAATTAAACCACCATTTTTCCCATCTTTTTGGCTGTCAAGGATCCACTTGGCCCAAGGACCACAAGTTCCGATGTCGTCCTCTTGCCGTGTACGAGTAGCTTCCAATGGCCACTGGTGGATTCACCCAATGCCATTGGTCCAACTACCATTTGGGGATGGTTTTTACCATTTCGAGCTCAGGGATAAAAACAGGTCAAGTCAAGTCAAGTGCACCTGCACTTGACATGTTGTGGGCGCGATTTTTTATAACGTGCGAACCGGTGGACTCATTTTTTTTGCGGACAAAGTTATGAAACACTGACGGGCACATGTATTCACAAGCTCACGGACATATTGACGTGAATTGGAGTAAGTACTGGTGTATATACATATATATATATATATATTATGTATATATATATATTGTATATTGTATATTGCATAATATGTGTTGTATACTGAGACTGACATGTGTCTGTCATCTTGACATGCAATTGTACTGACACATAGCCAGACATTAGACTGCCAGATGTAGTCATACATATATATATATATATAAATATAAATCTGTATTTTATATATATATAAGCTCTATATATATATATATATCCACAATATATTTCTTGACATTTGTCTGACATATAGACAAACATCTGTGTACTTGTCTTGTGTTTTTGGTGTGTACTGATTGATGCAGACCTCGAAGCACAGGTCTCCAATGGACGCAAGGACACCGGAGCAAAACATCATTCCTTGGTCGCCGGAAAGTTTCGGACAGGTGACACAACCGGTGTCCCATGGTTGAAAGCGAAGCTGGAAAACCTATCTGCAACCCGTGAAAACCCATGATTTTCCTGGCATGAAAGTGAACATCAACTCAGCGATGTTGATGTTTACGATCGTCGGGATCTCGATCGATATCAGATCTGGAATCGGCGTACCAAAATTGATCCTGAAGACAGCAAGTTTAGCATCGACGGGTCCCAAAAATCAAACTTTGGGAAAACCAGATTATCCTCGGGCCAAGATGACCGTCATAATGGACAAAACAAGAGGCTCTTCAGCATCAGTCATGTGTTTCGCACTGGGTACTAAGCCATTGGTTTATTGTGAAATTATTTTGAGATGAGCCATACCCAGCTTTCAACAAGTCCACCATGTTTTTCAGGATCACATGTACTGACCATTGGGGATTTTTTTTAAACCATAGGTCTGGGTGAGACCCGGTGGCACCACTACAGCAGCTGTTCGTCCTATAGGTGAAAAAAGAATGTCAAAAAGGATCTTCTCGGTTGAGAGCCCATGTTTTTATTTGTTCACGGTGTTCCCTGTTCTGTATTTGAAATGGTATATTGTGAAATTGTCTGCGCCAGCAATCTTTCATTGTTTCATACGTCCACGCCGCTCTAGGGCGACCCACCCTTCTGTGTTTAACTTGTTGTGGCAAAAGATTTCTTGTAGCGAAAGTGGCTTGATGTTGTGGGTGATCTCTTGGTCTTCTGATTATATGCCCCAATGCTTTTCTTCGCTTTTCCTGTAGAACATAATTTTGGCTGGTTGATGGTTGGTCCTCATGGAAAAATCCCTATACAAGCACCGTACTTAAGTCACATCAGGCGGGAAAAGTCACATCATCCCCATGGCACGGCGGCGATACTGAGAAGTCACATCAGGTAGTGGAAAGTCACATCAGGGAAGAAGAATCACCATGGTACAGCCTGTTTCATCCATACTTGGAGATGTAGTTAAAAGTAGCCGAAGCATTGCGCACAGCGATGATTTTGAAGGGCACAAGTTAATACAAACAAATTCTCGGCAGCTAATCCTATTGGATTTGAATATACTATATTGATGTCCTGCGTCGCGTGACCAAATCAAACCCCTATTGGTACAGCCTCAAATTTCTTGCAATGCAAGTGGGTTAGCTGTAGCAAATCCTATTGGCAGGGCTATGATCTAGGATGATATAAGGACATGGGGTCCCTTGTTTTCCGCAACCAAATCAATGGCTGGCGCGATGTGCATCAATGTCGTGGACAGCTCTCAAGAAGTTTGTTGTCCTATCCACCCAGGAATTACGAATTGGAAAAAACCTTCATTCCATTGCGGGCGGAAAGCGTGGTAGGTTTAGGAGCAGCAAGGAGCAAGCAGCAGCAAGCAGAAGCAGCAGCAAGGAGCAGCAAGGAGCAGCAAGGAGCAGCAAGGAGCAGCAAGGAGCAGCAACAACAGGCAAGCAGTAGGTGAGCGGCAGGTGAGCAGCAGGTGAGCAGCAGGTGAGCAGCAGGTGAGCAGCAGGTGAGCAGCAGGTGAGCAGCAACAGGTAAGCAGCAACAGGTAAGCAGCAACAGGTAAGCAGCAGCAAGTAGCAGGCAAGCAGCAAGCAGCAGGCAAGCAGCAGGTGAGCAGCAGGTGAGCAGCAACAGGTAAGCAGCAACAGGTAAGCAGCAGCAAGCAGCAGCAAGTAGCAGGCAAGCAGCAGGGAAGCAGCAGGCAAGCAGCAGCAGGCAAGAGCGGGCAAGCAGCAGGCAAGCAGCAGGCAAGCAGCAGGCAAGCAGCAGGCAAGCAGCAGGCAAGCAGCAGGCAAGCAGCAGGCAAGCAGCAACCAGCGTTTGCCCCCTTGAAAGAATGATCAAATATATTTTTAAAAAATCAACGCAATAAAAAAAAATGAACTTTTTCCAGGCGCACGGCCCCAAAACGAAGAAATCGTTCAATTACTAAAAGTTGTGGTGATGCCAAAATTGAACTTTTTCCAGGCGCACGGCCTCCCGATACGACTTTTACGAGCTGATACGACTTAACGCTAGCGTTAGTACTTTCACCAGGTACTCACCCACTATTTCATACTATTTCTCAATCAAAAAATACCCCCCAAAACCAGGATGGCTGTTGAGAATGGCCGTCTCCATCAGATTTGGCCTTGGAAAGCCGTCGCCACAAAACAAGACCACAGTCAACCCAAAAATTTCCACCGTGGCACCAACGGCGGACCACTTCATCAACACCGTTCGGCCGCACTTGTCCACCAAGAAAAGTCCAGGGATGGTGGCGAAGATGTTGACCACACCTGCTGGGGAATTATCTTGGGGGTTTCACCTGGTAACCAGCAAAAAAGGAGAAACCAAAATCTACCAGGAACATCTGAAATTTGGATTGAATCAAGATTCGATTCCTCATTTTTGCTGGTTCAATCCACCAGTGTTTGGTGCTGAAATATTTCCATGGCCACCATGTGGACGCTACATTTAGAAGCGCTATATTTGATGCATTGAAGGTATTATTTCCCGCTCCTTAAAGTGCGCATTTAGTAAAGTTCCTTGTTCCTTTTGAACGCCTACGAGTTCCTTCACAAAGGACCATCTTGACGCGTCTAACGGCCTGAGACTAGGGTAAAAAGGCGCCCAGCGTGTTCATTGCCGAAGATTTTGTCGAAGATCAAAGGGCCGTCGTACATGAAGGCGTTTCTAAAGGGCTGCTTCAGGCATCAAATCCATCAGTTGCTGGTGGATTTGGGCTACAGGGCTTCCAGGCCACAATTGTTCAAACAGGCACCAAATTATCTGTTGGAAAACCGCGCATTGACTGCTAAGCATCTCTAAACCAAAGGTGTACCTATAGAGTATAGTATGAGTATAGAGGTTGTGCGACAAAATCTTGACAGATGCAACACCATCAAGAGAGACTTTGAAACATAAACAATGATTCAAAGTTAAGTAGATTGTGACAAACTGTTTCATACTGTCTGTCTCTTTCTTTTTGCATACCTCTTGATGTGGTCTCCTGGCTTTGGAAAATGTTTACCCCGTGTCGTAAACCCAATTAAAACACAAAAACAAATAGAGGTTTGTGAATTGGGAAAATGGATATACATCACTCACATATTTCATGTCCCAGTCATAGCTTGGGATGGTTAACAACGGGTTTCCGATGGCTAAACACCATACACTACCCATATCTACCCATCAGCCAATGTCACACATTATCCTCGAGCCGAGGCTCATGCCACAGAGTTGCTGTAAGAGTTGGATGCTGACGCCAATGCCCAGCAGTTTCACTGGGCGAGAGCTCGAGGCAAAAGGCCAAAATGCTGGAAGAAAATCTCAGGCTTTGGAAGTGACTTAAGCATCAAAAATCGTGATTGAAAACCAGGAGAAATGGTAATTTAACCAACCAAACAGCTGATTTCATGGGAAATCATAGGGATATCATGGAGATTTTTCATGGGGATATGGAAAAATCATCGGGATTATCACGTGGCAAACGTTGGGAAATCCCCGAACCAAACGGGGATTCTTCCATTTCCAGGCTTGATTATCAGATGCTATGGGTTTATCTGAAAATAGAATGCCTTTTTTTCTCCCATGGATCAACTCATCATTTTCCCCATTTTCCCCATTATTGAAACTATGACTTATGATACCCATGCTATAACCATTGCTTTGCGACTTGGATCTAAGCGGTTTTTTTCATCCGATGAAAATCATGGGATCTTCATCCTCGACCGTGTCATTTTAGCGTCCGCGTTTGTGGATCAGTGAAGTACGACTGAGTATGGATACATAAGTAGTTTCAAGTTTCCAAGTTGAAACGACCATGTAAAACATTATACCATCATTTGAAATCATATAAAAGGGATAAAAGGGTTATTGGATCATATAAACTCAAATAAAGTCATATAGTACAACATAGATTCATGTTACATATGAAATCACATAAAATCATATAAATCAATGACCCAGGCGCCGACCCGCTTTTTTCACCAAGGCGCAGTTGTCGCCGGAGCAAAACTCGACCCAGGTGCCCTTCGTGGTCGAGTCCATCTCATGCTCTTGGCAAATCTCCGCCAGCTCTTCACGCACATCCTGCTGGAGCTGCTGGAGCGCTGGAGCTGCTGGAGCTGCTGGGTCTGGGACATAGTTCATAATAAATGTAGATGGTACTGATGGTACATGTTTGGAAAACCATCTATGATCATCTATATACATAAAATATATGATATATGAAATGATATATGACATGATATCATATAGAACTGGGAGGGGTCTGACATATCAACATGTACCAAAGAAATGTATACAAATGTGGTGTTGTTTCTCCAGGAAAAGGGAGGCGTCAGGCTTACCAAGGGTCAGGTTTCTCCAGAAGCATCCTCCATAGATGTGTGTTTCAACATGGGTGGAAGTTTAAGACCCATTGAGAAGCATTGAGTTGACGAAATGGAAACTACTTCATTCATAGTTCATCTTGTTTATTTCAAAAATATTGTTTTTCCCGTATATATATATACATACGTGTATACATGTATATATATATATATGTAAATGTGTATATTTATGTTTATATATATATATATACATATATATATATACATATATATGTATATACGTATATATATATATATATGTATATGTATATATGTATAGATATATGTATATATGTATATATGTATATATATATGTATATATATATATATGTATATATGTATATATATGTAAATGTATATATGTATATACATGTATATATATGTATATATGTATATGTATATATGTATATGTATATATGTATATGTATATATGTATATATATATATGTATATATATATATGTATATGTATATACATATATACATATATATATAATACATATATACATATATATATATGTATATATGTATATATATATAAACATAAATATATATATATATGTACATATATATATATATATGTGTGTGTGTTTCCCATTTCTCACTTGACCCACCATGTTCCCATTTCTTTCGCCATTCTTCCACGTGTTTCCCGGAAAATTTGCCCGGCCTCGCTGCGCAGCAACAACAAACACCTCAGCGCCTGCCGAGGCTTGCCTGAGGCTTGCCGTTGCACAGCTGGGGCTGTGGAGATCCTTCTGAATCAATGTGATTTAACATGATTTTGAGCATGAAAAATATTGGATTTCACCATGAATATAGGTGTTCTTCATTAAACTTGAGATGTTCCAAAGGAGTTGCCCTTTGAGTATTGCAAATCAAACAGGACATAGGAAGATCCCCAAAAGATCCCAAAAGGACTTTGTCCATTGTCAGGAGAGATACCCTCCAGAAAACCATGTGTATATATATATACGTGTATACATATGTATATATATATATATTATATATACATATGTATAATGCATGTATGTATGTACAGTGTATATAATATATTCTACATATACAAATATATATATATAGCATAGATACGGAAAACGCACCACTGGTGATGCGTACATCATTTTATTTGGGCAACATCGGGCAACCATGGCTGTTCCCATCAGATCCGACCCAATTTTTCTAGGGCAACAACGGAGCCTCGGATCGTTTCCGGTTTTTTATGGTCAAGTTACGTGGGATAGTTTCGTAAAACGATGCAATGACCAGACGACATCGTTTCGTTTTTAAAAAAAAGTCAGATGGGGATGGGTCAAAAAACCTTGTACCCCTGGTGAACCTCCAAATAGCTGGGATTTATGGATGTTCATCCCACTAAAAATGGTATTAATAGGTATTGATCCATAGCCAGATCTGAAACTGTGGTACCCCAAATCCAATGGTGTTTCCAATCATTTTGCCATGAAGAGAATGGTGGTTCATCTTCATTTTTCCATCAGTGCCAGACTGCCGGATTTTGGGATATACTCATCGATTAGTAGGACAACCCCTGGGGATGCAACCTGTACTTTTTCCATGATTGGTTGGTCCTGTCCTGGATCACATTAAAATCTGTGGGTTAAAAAAAACCATGTTTGATGGTTAGATCATCTCAAATCCCCTTTTTGGGGTTATATATAATAAATCAATGTAAATCATGAAAAAACAATATGTGTTGATGCTTCAACCCTCATTTCTTGATGGTTAAGTCCCATTTCTTGATGGTCCACGAAACAACACCAGCCCCCGCCTAGCCCCAGGCCAGGTGCCTTGTTGTACCAAATAGCGAGGCGAGCCAGGCATGAAGAGGCCGCCAATCACCAGCATGATGCCAGGGACGATCCTAGGATCTGAACCATGGCAGATACCATCAGTAGGGTTAGAACCAGAACCTGGTTATAACTCAGATTATGACAGATTATGGTTAGATCCATTAATGATGTTAATATGATTAAAAAAAAGTTTTGAACTCAGATTATGGTTACATATTTATACAACCATCAGTTCTAGATGGGGAGGTTCAGAACCACAACTCACTTATAGATGGAATCTGTGGTTCAGAACTATCATCGGATTGTGCTTCAGGAATGGGATCTGTGGTTTTGAGGGTGCATCACTTATAGAGGGGGAGTAAAAGAAAAAAACCTTAAGCCACAAGATAGCCACAAGTAACTACAGCAACTAGTCATTTGGGGATCGGTTCCCTCCTTGGGGGTATTTGAGGTATATTTCAAGATAGGGGATGAGATTAATACGATACTCCAAATTGTCCCGATTAGTGGGGAGCGATTGTAAAGCAAGGGTCACAGTGCTTAAGGCAGTGATAGATCCCTTGCTTGGATGTATGTATGTATGTATATATATAATTATATATAGGGGGTTCCATAAATGGGGGTACCCCTATTTCAGGAAACCTCCATATACACATTATATACTGAACACATAATTGCCACCTATATGCATACAATAGGAATCAAGAAAGGATTGGAGATTTGAATGGTTGATTTGGGGAGAAGTAAAAAAAACATCGCTAAAGATTGAGCTCCTAATGGACCCTTGAAAATCTGCTGCATCACCCGTGCTTCCTCTTGATATCTCTTGATTAAATCCGCAGCAGGCCACATTCAAAGGACAAATGATACATACTGTATATTATGTGTTGAACCGACGGAAGTGATTTGAGGTTACTGCACAAGGCAAGGCGGATCCTACTTCATTTTCCATTCCCTGACCCTTTTCCATGAATGACCTGGTTTTCAAACGCTGCGCTGAGTTCTTGCCTTTTCTGCATGTCAATCTTATCTACTTCGTTTTTTATGCGAACCCACCTCATTTTGCAGCTAGTTTGGGGGGTAGAAAGTATTTCCCGAAGACTATTGTTGTGCACAAAGTATCAGTAGAAAAGCAGTTGCTCTTTTTAATATATCACTGCAGGCAGTGCAGGTGGACTCGGTCTACAGTGAAGCTGGTAAGCCATCCATCCCGCTCCAACCACCAGTCAAGCCGTAGTCCAACCGTAGTGCTACAAATTCATTGAAGATCTGGCTGGTGGTTCAAACCCACCAAGCTCGGCATCAACGCACCTCAACCTGTGCCATCTCCCGTCATTTTTCTTGGTTATTATCACACATGGCGAAAAAATTGGGACTTGAAAATGACAATCATCAATCATCATCTGGGGAAAATGACATAAATTGACCATCATCTGGGACTCAATTTTTGACTCTCGACCCATTTTTCGGAATGTTTTCCCCAATTCAAAAAACGCGGGGCTTTCGAAGAACTCCGCCCTTCACCCGGTCTTCTGAACTCGGCCCATCTGCTGTGCCGCGATGACCCATCGCCATCCGCCATAGGGTTTCTCGACATCTTCCAAGACCAAGGCTAGGAGAAAGGCGATCATGATACCCACCTGGGTATATCAAACGCCGTTCAAAATGGCACCCGGTCTTCTTCTAGGAACTCGGCCCAGCTGATTTGCCGCAGGATATTACCCATCTATTCATCCAATTCTATGTTGAATGATGCAAAGTCCTTGTATCAGAGAGTGCTTTGGTGACTGAAATGATGAAGATGATGAAGACTCCAAGTTGGCAGGCTACCTGCTAAGCTACCTATTCCACTTCATCACCAGATTTCACCACTGCCATTGCAGTGATTCTAGAAAAACATGTTTAATCATGGTTCATCGCATCTCACTATTAAATGAAATACAAGGTGCTGCCAGCTAAGTTGGGACTAGGACTGGGTTCATAAACCAACAACATCACTGGAGGGGTCACCCATATATGCCCAATGAGGTCCACCCAGTGCTGAACAAATAATGGCGAACTGGAACCCCGTGACCAGCGCGCCGCGCAGCGCAGGGGGTGCGATCTCGCTGGTGTAGACCGGGGCGTTGCCCGACAGCACTGCGATGATTACAATGGTAATTGCCGGATATTGCTATTAAACAGGAGATATATTTACTATACCAATTCCATATTATAAATGGTCTCTGAATTATACAGATTTTGCCGTACCTATATTATACAGTCGGGTTATAAACTGACAATTTGGAGGCACTTCCTGTATGTGTACCAGGATGAAAGGAGGGTTTCGCCTACCATTTTTTTTGGTGCATCACCTGGCCCATTCGGAATCGTCTCCAATGACCATCTTTTGTGAGTTGGATATGTGTGTATATATATATATATGTTGAATGATGCAAAGTCCTTGTATCAGAGAGTGCTTTGGTGTAAAACACTGAAATGATGAAGATGATGAAGACTCCAAGTTGGCAGGCTACCTGCTAAGCCCTGCTACCTATTCCACTTCATCACCAGATTTCACCACTGCCATTGCAGTGATTCTAGAAAAACATGTTTAATCATGGTTCATCGCATCTCACTATTAAATGCCCAGAAATACAAGGTGCTGCCAGCTAAGTTGGTTTATAACTCTAATGACTAGGACTTACTTATGGTAGATATATATTATATATACATATATATATATATATAGTATGGGTATGGGTTCATAAACCAACAAACATCACTGGAGGGGTCACCCATATATGCCCAATGAGGTCCACCCAGTGCTGAACAGATACCGTGATGGCGAACTGGAACCCCGTGACCAGCGCGCCGCGCAACGCAGGGGGTGCGATCTCGCTGGTGTAGACCGGGGCGTTGCCCGACAGCAAACCCACTGAGAAGCCGGCGATGATGCGACCCAACAGCATCATTGCCATGTTGATGGCCTTAGCAAAACATGGGGTGGGCATGTGACTCTCCCCCCATGATTTGGCCCATCTGTGCAGATTTTCCGCTACCAACCCAGTGATAGAAACAAAAAAGACAGCAGGGGTTCACAGACAGTTCGTTCAACCAGTTTCGGAAATATACAGACTAAGCTGCTGGTTGACTTGAACATCTGTGGAAACAGTGGCGTTACAGTCATGCACTGTCATATGTTCTGTCAATTGGGAAATCTCCACAGCTGCATCAAAAAATGGCTGTCCAACCGGGATATTGGTCAGAACATGTTGCACATTCTTCCCTTTTCTAGCCATCTCCAATCCATCTCCTAGTTTTCGACCCATTTTTCCAACCTTCGGATCCTTCGGATCCTTCGGCTGAGGCGCTAAAGCCTGCAGTGCAGCCCCTAGGCAGAAGACGAGGCCTCCGAAGATCACGGCGCCCTTCCGGCCCAGCTTCGAGACGCAGCAATCCATGACCGGTGGAAAGGCCGCCACTGCGGCACCCACTCCGAAGATCATGGTGATCAAACTGTCCTGGATCTGGATGTCTTCTGCATGTCCGGGGGAGAAAGGTCTTTTGGACCTTTTTTTTGGATCGGAAAAGTTCATGGCATCGTTTTTTGAGAAATGAGAGAGATTGGCGAGGGGAACTCTAGGACTCTAGGGATGAAACATGTTGAAACATGCTGAAACCAAGAATGAATATGGCTGAGTCCAAGATCAAGTCAGGGAACCAGTGAAAATTGGGACAAACATGCGCCAACAACAGAAAATATGGAATGCCTTGAATAGGAGATATGTGCTTCTTTGCTGCATGTAAAAAGAGATCTGCAACTGAGATCTGAATCTCGTTTGATTCAAGATGGCTGAGGGCCGTTTTGGGGTGGCCATCTATGTGGTAGCCCCTTGTTTGGGGCAGAGAAGAGATGAAAGGATTCACTGCCCTTTTTTATCTGTTTTCCATGATTACAACAACACGCTTGACTCGAAAATACTCGAAGTATGTTTAAGAGCCATTGACAACATGACTGCATGGTTGATGGCTCATGGACCTATTCCCTCATTCCAAAAATACCTGTTGGAACCTGCTCGTCTTTCAAGCCCTGGCTTGGTTTATGGGAAATATGCACAGGAAGCCGTGAGTTTGACCGAAAAATATCGGGGCGTCCTGCGGATTTGCCCTTGAACCAATTCTGTAATCTGGATGGATCTGGAATGATCTGGATATATCTCAGCCCAAAGGGATGTTTCTTTGTTTTTTTTCCGGTGCTCCTGGGTGTCTTTGATCTTCTCCTCATGAAGCAAACCCTCAGAGAAGGAATCCATGGTCCTCAGCTGAAAATCAGGGATGACATCTGGTTGAAATGAGGCTTTCCTCCATTGTAATAGGATGTTCAATTATAAACCATCCATTTTGGGGTACCTCAGGTACCTCCATTTATGGAAACCCCCAAATCTGTTGAAACATTCGACCACTCGACGTATCTGAAGAGGGCGGTGGGACTTCTGCAGCGTACCACTTCTTGGAGAAAGCAGAGGGTCAGAAATTCCGCTTCCAGGCTCTGCAATTTGCCGCTTCCAGATTTGTCATGGTTTGTCTAGGCAATTATCCTAAGGTCACTTCCCCTTTCAAGTTTATCTATCCACAATATATCCATATTCTTAGCGCTTGCAGCCGTAAGGTTGTTAGGCGAGCCACTTGACTCCCGCGATGTATCCGATATCCAAACCCATCAGCAAACCTGCCTAAGTCGGGCCAGCATGTTGCAATTCCACCTAGGTTGTAGATAGAAAATCGATTAAAGAAATTCGCTAATCGCAGATGGTTGGTTGCAAAAAGGGCCCACAAAAGAAGCATCGTCCTTCTTCGTTTGCAAAATCGCCTAATGCGCCTGCACGACCAGTCTTTCTTGAGAGGGGACCATATGCTCATATGCTCCAATCAAAAGTATACAAAAGTCGTTTGGACACATGATTTTTCGTTGCAAGATTTGTTTACTAGCAGGTTCTTACTGGTGCTTAGTAGGGAACGAGGGAATGATCCACAATAACGATCAAGAATCATCCCAGCAACCCCCATTCCCATCCATTCCCTGCTAAGCACCAGTAAGGGCTCCCAGGGCCCCATGGGATCAGTTGCCAGAGATGAGAAGACTGCAACTGCCACCACCATGGAGATACCGCCACGACCGTGAAAGGCATCCGGAGAGTTCTCCTGGAAGTTAGGCTCCCCGGCTCCCCGGCGATTTCAGCAGAAACTGGATCGATACAGATCGAGTTTCAAGCATATTTACATCAAAATTGCCTTGTAACATAACTAAATAAGACTAAATATAGTATCAAAAAAATATGTATATCATATTATATATATATACCGCAAAAATAAAAAGTCATTTACATTCATTGACCACTTTCCACCGAGAATCAGATTATATATATATATATAATGTTGCTAATACATATATATATATATACATAATTATATAAATTACGTATAAGTATTTACGAAGTTTATTATAGAACATCTTTATCTTCATCCATAAGTCTCCTTTTTGACGTCACCCCCTCAGCTCAGTTCCATCAGCTCCTCGATCCCTGCTTGCTTCAAAATCACCTCGACCTCCCCTTGAGATAAAGATGGCCTAGCGATGGTGAAAATATGGAGGTTTCCTACGTCAAGGGGGTGCCCTTATAGCTGCATGGTTTATGATGGAAAAGTCGAAAATAAAATGGATGATTTGGGGATCCTCCCATTTTAGGAAACCTCCATATTGTAGGAATAGAATGGGAACATGTTAGGTGGGATATACCATCTTCAACCGACATCCATCCCCATTTTCATAGGAATCGAATGGATTAATCTATGAAGGACTGGCAATACCATAGGAAGAAAATCAGGGATGAACCTTTACAGAGTAGAAAATATGATTGGGATTGATTGGGTACATAGCCAATATGTACCAATAAAACTGGTGATCCCCTGGCCCCTGAAAATCGGAAAGTCAATGGGGATAGCCTATTTGTCGGACCAACAATCATACAGGACCATATGATTTTTTGTTTTTCTTTATTGGCAATAAACTGGGAAAATTGACATTTATGACATGAAAATTGACATAACACCATAATAAATTAATAAATGTCATTGATAATTTATCACCAACAACTTGACAACCTGGTTCTGAAATTTCTGGGAAAATCCCATGGCCATAATATCGAGGGCATCCCGGATGGCAATTTCTAGACCAGTAGGCCCACAAAGAGCTGATCACTGTTAGTATCATGGGCATCAGGTGGGGTTGAACATGTTGAGCATGGTGATCCCCAAGGTTCTGACACGGTCCATGTTGATTTTTAGCATCCCAAAAAGACGTCAACCGCTAATCCAAAAAAGACACAAAATTGGATCCATCCAATCAAATTTGGATCTTTAGCACACACAAAAACCGAAGTGCTGCATCACCTGCCTTGAAGACTTGTCAACCACTGCAACTGGCGCCATGGCGTAGGCGATAGGATGCCCGAGAACACGTGAGGGAAATCGCGAACTGAAAAAGGCTTCAGGCACAGGCCAAGGGGTACATCTGAAAAAGCGAACTTAGTGGTTAGTTGGTGGTTGAGTGCAGAAGCGGAAGCTCTGATGGTAGGGAGTTGTACTGATAAGAACAGATACTACACTCACCAGTCAATAGCCGCAAGGCTCACGCACTATTTTCCATCGCACCGCTTCGAATGATTTCAGCCACGAAGTGGCTCAAAGGGCCCCTCAACCATAACGGCATCAGATATGTATACAAGGTTGGACATGTGACCAAGCTGGAAGGTTGGAACCAACATGGGAAAATTCACGCCCTCTGCCGGCGATGATTGAGGGTTCATACTTTCGGATAGTGCATAGGGAAGCCTACTACGTCATCCTATTTCTTAAATCTTCGGTGGAAGGAAGTGGCGGACTCGGTTCCCGTCCATCCAATCCTTTGCAAGAACCTGGCTAGATCCTTACCCGGTGTCATCTTATCAGATGGGTGATCTTTTCCTTGAACATAGCCAAAACGGCCCTTGATCCACGAAAGATACTGCCTGCAGTCTGAATCGGTCTTGGCCTTGAACACAAGCTCATAGTAGCTCAGCCCGGCCGTCTGGTACTTCTCTATTTCACAGATGCATTCTCCCCATTTGTGGACACTGGCAATGTCGGAAGGGATGGGAATCTTCACATCTTCCTGGATTTCTTTCATCACCTGAAGCAATGGATTGCTTCCATCAGTCCACGGCGGAGGAATGTTCACCGTCTCAGGCATCGATGCAATGTAAGATGTATCGCTCAGGCTCTCACCATTCTCAGTCACATTCTCCCAAGACAAGGTGTCATCAGGGACTCGACGCTTCGAGGCATCATTCATGGACGTAGATGGCATAGACATTGGATCCTGATATCCTGAGGGACGGGCTGCATCCATCACATGATAGCACCCAGCCCAAAACGGCTTGGCTCCAGGAGCTTCTTTGATAAAACCAAGGACATGCTGCGCCTGACCATGCTTCACGGCACGGAGGAGCAACGATGCAGCTCGAGGAATCTCATCAGCGTTCAACGGCTGATCACCGAATGTCTCCTTTTGAGGCATCTTGCTGTCAGACATGGCACAAGTAGAATGCGGAGGCAAGTCACAATCCTATATGGGAAAATCGGCCAAAACACAAGTCAAGCTTGGAAGCGGCTGCACTGGTGGTCAGACGTCCGCTCTGGCAAAACTGTTGACTCATGTGGTGACTGTGCGACACATGTCTATACACTATTTAATTAAAAACAGACTACACTGGGTACCCCAGCGAGTCAGACAATTTTGGATTACTCAGGAGGCCTAATGCATCACTTAGTGAGTTATCTTATACATCCTAAGGTAACCCAACATGGTGTCATGTTGATGTCTTTTGCATCTTTGTGGCATGCATGGCTGGACTCCTGGTCACGGTGGCTGACCGCTGGCTTCTTGGTTTTTCCGCGCTGTTTCCTTGCGTCTTGATTCAAGACAAACCTTGATTTGATACGTGCCTCCTTCAAGTATTTCGAAAAGAGGTCTCACATCTCCCTTGAGTTTGGTCAGGACGCTGCTGCCATCCTGAGGTTGTTGACCCAAAAGGCTATGATGTGTTGTTTTTCCATGGTCTCTCGTGCAATGGCGTAATCAATCATCAAGCGTCTTTCAACAGACATGGAAGAAGAGCAACAGCTACGGGTTACAGCGTCATAGAAACCCTTGCTATCAACCACAAGGCATGATGGAACTTTTGGTGTGGTTTTTCGGAATTCGGCTGGTGACATTCCATACAGTGTTTCACTTAGCAAAGCTTGAAACGATTCGATGGCATCAAGACCGTTTTGACTGGACAGTGTCTCAGCGGCTACTGAGCTTCTCACCATTCTTTTTAGTTTCTTACTGGCCCAACCTACAATCCAACATGGTGCCCTTTTACGCTCCAAGATATCTTTATGTGCTAAGCATAGGATATACCCTCCTTGACTCTCCCCACTGCTGCGTGTTCCCCATCCTGCATCAGCTATGCAAATTATGCGCCATTTGTCAATTGGGACATTGCTTGGAAAACGCAAACAGACCTTACGTTCCTTCATTTCCCTCAAGGCTTTATTGTATTGTTGAACGTGGGAAACACAACCCTTGTCCTGAACTCCTTGGAGATATGAGGAAAGAAAACTTTGATCGGGTCTGGTGGCTGTACTAACCCAAGCAAGTTGACCAGCACACGTACGCAAGATTCCAGGGTCTTGCAAACTCGTTCCAGCTGACCCAAGATGTTTTGTGGCAACAGGCTCCAGTGCATCTATGTAGGACCCTTGGCCTATCTCGATACTGAAGTTTTCGGGGTTTTGTCGGATCTCTATCCCTGTATATCTTATGGTGAACGTCCTATAATCCCCAAATGGCAACTTTTTGCGGAGTTTCTGCAAGACTTCATCCATTTCGGGTTCCCCTCCTCCCAGCAAGTCATCTACGTGAACACCACAAATCCCCTTTAGTTCCCCATTTCTTCGAAGGGTGAATAAACAAGGATCGAGGCTTGACCGGACTAAACCTGCTTCTGTCATTTCGCGGGACAGACGGAGAAACCAGGCTCTGGGGGCCTCAGCTAACCCATAGGCTGCTTTTTCTAGTCTATACAAATCCTCATCACTTAGGGACATCCACTGCTGAATTTCCTTTGGGGGTTTAAAGTACAACTCTCTAGTTGAGGCATCACCGCTAAGAAAGGCTGTTTTGATATCAGCGCCCCATAGTTTCCACTTTTTGGATGAACAAATGGATAACACCAAACTCTTTGATTCCTTTCTAAGTGTTGGGGAATCTGTGGCTATCTTACCCAACATTGGATCCTGCCAACCAACAAGAACAAGGCGTGCTTTTGGGGTCTTAGTTCTGTCATCGGGATCACTGCTTTTCTTCCAAACTAGTACCCATCTCGCTTTTATCACCTTGGCTGGATCTATCCCCCTACTTTTCACTAGGGACATCACCTTATTTTCAACCCATGATTGCCATTCTTTTTGCATGGCTTTTTCAAACAGCTTTTTGTCTGGTTCGCTAAGTTTTCGCATGGAAACTTCTACCCTACGTTTTTGTGCTTTTGTGGGGGCTGCAACCAAACATTCATCTAAAACTGTCCATAAACACAAGGGATTTTCGGTGATATCTTCGGGGTGAATATCCAGTGATACTTCTAGCACATCAAGTGTTGGTACTTTTACATTCCCATGTTCAGCTATCAACCCTTCGTCATCGCTTTCGATGTGTGGTGGTGGACCATTTTCTTCGGCTGCTGGTCCTGCTGCTGTTTCTGGTGCTGGTGACACATTATCTTCTTGGGGTTGATCGGGATTAGGACTAATTTCAGGTGGATTATCTTCAGGGTCTAAAGATTCATGGGGGATTACTTGGCTGTCGGCACTGGGATCTGCTGGCAGTGCCTGGTCTGGCATTTCATCATCCAGTACGGATGGTGCTATGGACGGCTCATAAGAAACACTCGCGGCTCTCTCCTCTTGAGGCTGCTCTGGCACTGTCTTGAGACGCTTGGATGATGGCTGCTCAAGCGAAACCAGTGGTGGGGCATCACCTTCATGAAGTGTTCCTAATGGTGGCATGCCGGATGCACGTTTCTGCCAGTAACTGGATGACCTAGTAATCCTCATTTGGACCCTTCTGATCTGATCTTCGCCCTCTATGCTACGCTTCTCTCCTTTTCTTTGGGGGTTCCTGTCATCATCATCTAGATCTGATTGAAGTTCCATGTCATCCTCAGTGGGTTTTTCATCAATCATATCTTTATAACTCCCCGCATAACCGGAAACAGATTGCTCAGCTTTGATCACATCAGGGTGCAATCTCCCCTCAGCTAAATCTTTAGCTAATTCCCGGAATTCAGCTTCATCATCAGGAACAGGGCGAAGTGCTTCAGGGGAATACCGGTAAATGAAACCATTGTAAACAATCCAAACAACTCGAGGAATGAAATGGTTGGTGGAACTTTCAACTCCAACTATTCTACCCGGACCATGCCATACCCCATAACGAGTCTTGAAACTACCACGGCCATGTTTGCGGAACATGTAAACAAGTTGACCTACCTGGTATGGACCTCTCAGTGGACGGTTCCTACCGGTACATGCTCTTCTCCATGATTCCTTGGCATGTTCAGCAATAAATGCCCGAGCAGCTTCTATCTTTGCAGCAAACGATGGATCACTCAAAACCTGAGATTGGACCGGATAATTCTGTTGCTCGGAGACATCGCCTAGCCAACCTGCTATCTTCGGATCATGACCTAGGAACCATTGACTTGGGGAATATCCACATTTTCTCAACAGTTGATTTCTCATGGACGAACAAGCTTCAATGATCTCCTTTGGCGGTCTTGACGATGATCTCCAAACGCGCTGAGCCATTCCACGTAAAACTCTATTCGCAACTTCAAGTCTTCCTAGCTGCCAATGGGACTCGGCTGCACAGTGCAACAGCTGGATGTTGTGGTGGTTTAAGTAAGCTTGAAAGTCCTTAGAGAGTGTCATATAAGCTGGATCCATGTACACGGTTTCGGGTGCACCATATGGTCTAATCCAGGCTTCATGGAAGGCTTGAGACAAGGCACCGGCTCCTTCAGGAATGACCACTTGCTGACAAAAATCAGTGGCCATGCAAACACAGGTCAAAACGTTGAACTTCTGCTCCTCCTGCTCTCCGTTCTCATCATCACGAATCAATTCTACTTGGACAAAATCAAGACCTACCACTTTGTTGGGTTGTTCAACATGTGGCATGGTGACCTTCCGGTTTATGGCAGGAGGTCTCAACTCATCACAAACGGAGCACTTGAAGTTCTTTATGGCCTGCTTCACTTGCTCGGATGCAGCACAACGATTGGCGAGGCGCATCATCTGGCCATTGGTTGAATGACCGGTATTTACATGCAGTTTGGCAACTATGGCTTTTGCTCTATCGGCTCGGAGGATGTTTTTGGCATCTAGTGGAGAACCCCTTGACCCATTAGGCTTATCCCCATGATCATCATCATCATCATCATCATCATTCAACTCTTCTAGGTCAGGTGCTTCAACTCGGCTTTCGGACTCGGCTGCAAACAGTTCTTCAAACCATGGTTGATCGGCTGGAACGCTGGCTTCACGATGCATTGCCGCTGCAACAACTCTGCAAAACTTTTTGGGATATGTCTCGGCCCATGCCGATAGGTTTTTCCCCTTATACTCCAAATGACCATGGTCGTGATTACGGTCACATCTATATTTTTGGAGTTCTCTGGCAAGTTCAGGGGAGGTGGTGACTATTCGGGTTGGTTTATACACAGGCTTATTAGTCTTGGGACATCTAAGACCTAATGCACATTGATCAATTCGGATGTCATACACCTCACCTACCAAATGGAGTTCTTTCCAGGCATCAGAGCTGAGTGGATTCTCACAGTGATTGTAACCCTTCAACAGGTTTTGCAGATTCCATGCTTCAGCAACAACATGAAGGTGTCTCAAGTTCTGAGACCTTCGGCTCATGATTTCCGAGCGCATTTGGTCGCTTCGGGCCATGTTGAATCGGCTCCAAGGACCCCAGTCGCTGCAAGGCCAACTGTACCAGACATGTTTGGGTCTGGTCCATGCAATCAAGCACAACAAAAGCTGACGATCCCTCAAACGGTTCAAATCATGTCCATGGGCTTGGCCAATTCGGATGGCTTCATGCTTAGACAACAATTCATCAGTTTTACTCAAGGGAGCAACATCGGTGAAAACTTCTATCAAGTCAACCCTTTTTGACAACTCTATGTGCTTGAGGACCTAGCCACTGTTTCAAATCATGTTCCACTGCATCCGGTTCACTGAGAACACGAGAGAGGAGCATTTGTACGCTGGTTTTCTTCAAGGATTGGATGCATGACCTGATGAGATTGGCGCTTTCTGGGTTTATCTTATTGGTGTCAGGCTCTACCCAGTCTACTTCTTCATATAGGGCTTCTATGCTTATCCCATCAAATTTATTAGGGTTATCCCCGCCCTCCAAATCACAGTCATTGCAACGCCAGCATAAATGTTCCTCAGTGGGTTTTGGAACATGGTCGGCGGCTGGATTCCTGTAGGCAAACAAGGCTAGATTGGTCGGTGTGACTCCTTTGCGTTCAGGATCGGATTCGCGCAGGGCCCATGGGCTTTGATGGAATTGGCCATCATTGGAAAGGGTCACAATTGCTCTTAACCAAGTTTCAGTGGCTGCACTATAGGGAATTCTCTCTAAACGGGGTTTATATGCAACATAAGCATGTTTGATCTCATGGCTATCTTCTCCAAAGATTATCTTGAGGCTATCCTTCATTCCTATGAGGTCAACCATACCCTTTTTGGTGTTCTTGGCTATGTGTTGCAAGGCACTACGTTTGTCATTTCTAGTAGGCCGTTTATCCCCATTACCCCTCTTATTCTTAGGACTTATCCCAGCTCCACTTTGGGGGTGATCAACATGTTTGGTCGCCGCACAGTCCTTGACATCGCAGTGACGCTGCTCATTGCGGGGCTTTGCAGTGGCATCGCCGGCATTGCGCTCATTGTCGTGGTAAATCAGGTCTTCATTGGGGACCATTGTACCATTAGAAAATGCAGGCATAGATTCCTCTAATTGAACTTCGGGTTCCCAATCATCAGGTAAATTCCAGAGAGGCATCAACAAATGACCATTGGAGGCTTGACGCAACATCATCTCGCTCAACCCATGCTTTTTGGAGGTCAATGTTTTTCTCCCCAGATTCAATTGGGCTTCCATACCTTCCAGAACTCTTCGGGATAACAAAAATGCAGTTCTTCCGGGAACGACATATGTTGTAATTGTACCCCATAGTTTCCCCACTTGTACGTGCCAAACCAAACCCTCAGTTGTAGTTGTGGCTTCACCAGAAAAACCCTTGAGCTCCACTGGAGGCAGTTGTTTCCGTTCCGGCAGAGGCATCTGATGTTCCTGCAAAAACTTCATCAAACGATCCGCACAATCTTGACCAATAACTGATGTTGTACAACCAGTGTCTATGATGGCATAGCCGTTGGGAATACTTGCTAACAGAATCTCTTCACTCATCACTTCAGTTCCGTTTTCCCCAGATGCTGAAACCATATAGTTGAAGGAAGTTTGCAACACAGTTTCGGTAAGATTTGCTTCTTCTTTTCGATACTTTGTGGATGACTCTGGTTTCCTCTTTCCAGAACCCTTGGCAGAACTTGAACTCTTCTTGTCATACTTGAAGGGCTGCTTGAGAGGCACCTGTGTCGATGCGGCAGATTGGCTGTCACCTGCTGGCTGGTTCAATGCTACCACTGGATAGTATGATTGTTGCCTGCTCTTCTTGATCTCACGAACCTTCTTTTTGGTGTCCTTGTAGTTTCTGAAGGCCTTCTTGAACTTCTCTTTCGATTTCTTGTGCAGTTCAAGAATCTCCTGCGCCTCATCGTTTGAATCATCATCAGGCCCTTCGGCCTCCAGAATTGTGGTCAGAAGAGTTGCTTGTCACATCATCAGCGTCCATCAAATCAGAAGATTCATCATCATCAGCTACAAGAATTTGATGGCTGTCATGTTGCACCGCATAGGTCTCACGGCGCTGTGGCTTGTGCTGACTTTTGTCATGCTGTCTACGGTCTTCCAGCAGGTCAGAGGCTTTCATGATGCGCTCCACATCCAGAAATCGAGAAGATCCGTTGGTGGACCTGATGATCTGTGCTCGCTGTTCTCGCGACAATCCATACTTCCTCATATACAAGTGTCCCAGCACACTCTGTGGAAAAATAGGTGTTGGCTTTGTGTGTCCAACTTCCAGAGTACCCAACATTTGTTGCATCTTTTTCTGACTGTAGGCATGATCCTCCTTGAAGGAACCTCTGGCTGATGCCTTCGACTTCTTTGAACCACCTCCACGCAACGTCGATGGAGGCTTTGATCTCACCGGGTCTGTTGCAGCATGTCCAGGCATGGACGGTGGCCTGGCTTCGCTCTCAGGCTTTTCACTGGCCGTTTTCGGCTCCTCTGCAAACGGATCAAAGGCTTGTGGCTCACTAGAAGAGGCTCGTTCTGCTTCGGCCTGAGGATCATGTTCCTTAGGATCTATGTCTCGGTCAGTTTCTTCAAGGCTGCTTGGCTCATCATCAGGTGACGGAGGTCTTGATGACTTGCCATGTTTTCTCTTGCGCTTCTTCCTAGTTGCATCTCGTTCCTGTGCTATCAAAGTCTGAACCCTGTCAAGCTGTGTTTGGAACCTAGATGAAAAAGAAGTCGCACCCTCATTTGGTCGGCGCTTGAGCATGAAGAGGAACTCTTCGATCGCATCATGCAATTCAGTTTCTGGCAGATATTTGTAGTGGTCATCCAAGGCTCTGATGACCTTCAACCATGCATCAGACTGTCTGAGTGACCCAACGCTCAAATGTTCTGTTGCTCTCCAAGCTTCACCAGAGAGCCTGGACAAAAGACGTGGCCCAGCTAAATAGGCATGTTTGTCTTCCAACCCAGCTACACTCAGAATCACCTTTCGCCTGAAGTCACGATAACCTGATGGCTGCCCATTGAATTGTAACTCTCTGAAGGCGTCATTCTGGTCAAGCGCCATGCTCCACACTGAGACAAATGTCTCTCCGGTTGGGACCAATGTCCCCAGGACAGAAAGTCCTCACTGCTGCTTGGAACACAAATTGTTCCCACTGTAGGCACCTTGAGGTACCTCACGGATGCCGGCCCTTTCAGGGTTCCGGCTCCGCTACCATGCAGAAGCGGAAGCTCTGATGGTAGGGAGTTGTACTGATAAGAACAGATACTACACTCACCAGTCAATAGCCGCAAGGCTCACGCACTATTTTCCATCGCACCGCTTCGAATGATTTCAGCCACGAAGTGGCTCAAAGGGCCCCTCAACCATAACGGCATCAGATATGTATACAAGGTTGGACATGTGACCAAGCTGGAAGGTTGGAACCAACATGGGAAAATTCATTGAGCCACCCTCCCCAAAAAAAAACATGTATAATAGTAATAGCATGTAATAGCAACCCCCCCAAAAAAAGAAAGTAAATGATCACTTCGTCTACCAGCTGTCTTATGGCCATGCAATTTGGCCAACTGCTTCCGTCTTGTGCAAAGCATTCCGATACTCCAAGCCTAGTAAAAATGTGTTGGCTAATGTGGGATTCACCCTGGCTGCCATAAGCCTACCGTTTTGGGATGGTCTATCAAACATCCCCTGTCAGTGCAGTGGCAAATCAAACATGTACCCAAAGCATGTGCATGATACTCTGGGTGACAAGTGACGAGTACATAATAATTACCTAGTAGATTATATTTTAATACACGCTCCCAAGGGTCATCATCGCAAATCCGGAAGATTCTATAGAATCAGATTCTCATGAGACGTTCATTTTTTGCGCAAAAACTCGTGCGCTCTCTTGGCAAATCCAAAAGCGGTCTCGGGGAGAGTCGCTTCACCCTTGTGCGCTTGCCCCACACACAAGCGTCCAATACTCCCACCAAACAATGAATCGTTTGTTGCAAGCAGGAATGGTATGAAACAGCCTTTCTCCAGGTCCAATCCTTTCAGAAAGCAAGTTGAAACAATCCATGGTCATTGTCTGGATCCAGTTGCGGGAGTCGATTAGACAATCACGAAAAACTCTCGAAACTTGAAACCTGAAACAAGAATTGAAATCACTGCACCTGTTAAGTACTAGTCAGGCGCTCCTACCATGCAACAACCAAGCCCATTCAGAAGGCCGGCTGCCAAAAGCTTGCAAGTCGCCAGAATCTAAGAGCGGGTTAGGGCCTGTGTCAAGCAGCTACTCCTCGATTTCCAATTCCATCTGTAGTTTCTAGTTGGTGTTTTTGTTCCAAAAGTACAAGATTAAACTAAACCATATTCAATCATATCAAAGTTCAAACAAACAACCACCCAGGTTGCAATAGTCGTGATGGAGCCCGGCCGAAGGATGTTTAGAAGTCAAACTTCCGACAGCATGGGCAGATGAAACGCAGAGATGGGAAGAGTCAGAGAAGAGAAAAAAAAGAAGATCAAAGAAGAGAAAGTCTCAGAAGAAAAAAGATCCAGGTGCGCGAAAAGGTAGGAAAGTCGCGAAAAACTGCGTTTTTCCAATGATTTGTGGCTCTGGAGGGTGGAAAAGTAGGCTCGCAAAAGCGGCGGGTGCCGAGCCATCTGGCCAGATGAGAGATGAAAAGTTGCACGCCATTGTGGCGCGAAGCACATTTCCAAGTCAACATGTACAAAACACCTCAGCCGCGGAGCACTTTTAGAAGCTGAGATGTCAAAAAAGTGCGCGCCGCTGTGGCGCGAAACACATTTCCAAGTCAATATGTCGGAGCACTCTTGGAAGTTGTTGTGGCGCAAAGCACATTTCGAAGTCAAAATGCACAAAACACACCATGTTCGGACCACTTTTGTTGAGATGTCGAAAAAGTGCACGCCGTTGTGGCGCGAAGCACGTTTCGAAGTCAAAATGTACAAAACACGCCATGCTCGGACCACTTTTGGAAGTTGACATGTCGAAAAAGCGCACGCCGTTGTGGCGCGGAGCACATTTCCAAGTCAAAAGTGGAAAAAACAGAGGGGTACGGAGCACTTTTGGACGTTCAGATGTCGTTTTCCGTGGCAGGCGCAGGGGATTGTGCGCCTTGTCAAAAGTGAGCAAAACGTGAGGGTTTTGTAGCACTTTCAAAAACGATGGCAGGCGCGGGACACTGGAAAGATGCATTTCGCATGGCAAGCGCAATACAAGAGACATGTTCATGAGAGATGTTGGGAGGGCAGGGCGGAGATTTCCTGAGAGGGTTGCATTTTGGAGCATGAGTTCAGGTTTGGGAAGATGATTTTGCGCCACAGGTGGCGCACTTTGTATGACCTGGCTTCACTTTTTCCGGGCAGGCGCAATACTTTAGAGACACAACTGGAAAAATCGCAAAACGCATTGGTACGAGGCCATCAGCTCTGCACTCAACTTTCCATTTTTCAAGGATGTCTCGCAGAATTGCTTCGTTTTTGATGTTGTCAAGTTTAAAAATTGAGGAAGTCTCGCAGAATTGCTTCGTTTTGGATGTTGTCAAGTTCAAAAATTGAAGAAGTCTCGCAGAATAGCTTCATTTTCAAGTTTGCAGGTAGACAGACAGACCGACAGACAGACAGACAGACAGATAGATAGATAGATAGATAGACAATTTCAACTACAACTACCACTACACTACACTACACCACCGCTACAACTACAAAATGCAAATAAACTACGCTAAATACACTAATCACACTACACTACACTACACTATATACACTAATTACATCTAATTACACTACACTACACCAATTACACTACAGCAACAACTACAACAACTACTACTACTAATAATAATAATAGTAGTACTAATAACACAACAACGACTACAGTTACAACTATACTACACTACACTAATTACACTGCACTACACTACAACTACAACTGCACTAGCTTACACTACATTAGACTACACTACACTATACCACACTACACTACACAACACTACACGACATTACACTGCACTACACTACACTAATTACACCACATCACGACTACAACTGCAACTACACTTGCAACTACACTGATTACACTATATTACAACTACAACTCCACTACACTACACAACACTACAACTACAGCTACAACTGCAACTACAACTACAACTGCACTACACCACACTACATCCAGCAGTTGTGGTAAGGTGACCACTGCAACCATTGCAACCATTCCAAAAAACACAACTCCAACCACCTGTCGGTCCACCAGTGGATTCGCTCTGCCATCCGTGGTTCACAACAACCAACCTCTTCTATAGGTTTCCTATTTTTGAAACTTCCCCCACCGCCTTGTGCGGTACTACTGGTACTTTGTAATCCCAAACAAGCGGCTGCCTGCGTTCTGGGCACTCAGCCCACTTGGGATATAAATCGAATTTCAATACTTCGGGCTAAAACAATCCCTGTTGTCAAAGGCTCCATTCTATAAATTTGTGGGCCTTCCGATGGGTACCATTGCAACCTCACTATGGAATCCAACGGCCATATACTAGGTTTCCTGCATCGGAAGTATAGGGATGACAGTAAACTTCAGTAAACTTCATGAAAGAATCACTTGATGAATAAATGGTGCTGGTCGCCACTTTCTGGAAACAGTGAGTCATGTGCATATTATTTTGTCTATCTTTCTGAAGCATGTGTTGTGGTGATAGTGACACACACACCCATCTCAAAGACCGGCCCAGCTGTATACAGGATATTCCCAAGACATGTTCATCGAGCTGGTCGCAGGGCGAGAAGATAGGGCTCTGCAAAAATTGTGTCAAATCGTGCAGGACCTCAAAATAGCTTGGGTCCATCATTTTCTATCCTTTGCCATCATTTCAAGCCACATCAACAACGTCCTCCTGTACAATGCAACCAACGTCGCCTCAAAAATGTGCTGAGTTTTACACATTTGAGCGCAGTTTTCAGCAGCTCGGTCTACGCATCCACCGAATCCACGTCGGCGTCTTCGGTGGCCTTGCACTCGCCTGCCACGGAGGATACACCAACAAATGCGGGGCACTGAAGTCAGGGTCGAAAGGTCAAACAGAACTTTGAATGCTTACTGTATTATTGGTTATTACAAATGTTGAAAAGTACATTGTCATATATTATTGGTGATTGTTATATACGTATGCGGGTTTATAGTTTGAAGTGGAATCTGATGAATTCTTGCAAATACAATAATAATTATATAATACAAAATATATGATGAGAAAATGTGGCGAGAGATCGGTACAAATCAAAAAAACTTGGTGCGGGACTTTTTGGATAAAAATAGTACTTGATGCATAATTATAAACTATTCCAAAAGAACGCATTTCTGGAGTCACCATAGGAGCATTTCCCCGTGTGAAGGTGACGACTCTGACTGTTTTATTCTTGAGGATCAAACAAGTTCGAAGATGGGTGGAGTTTGAGATACCCTCTGGTAATTCAACCAATGGAAAATCCCTAAACTATCCCATGTATCAGTGATTTTGCCATCAACCTCCCAATTTTGTGGGACATAGGCGCCCCCGAGATGTCTCTCTTGGGTCAGGATCGCTTAGGCCAGTACGAAAAGATCACTTACTGTAGGGCTGGTTACTTTTTTACCTGAATGATTAAGACCTTTGGATTCCTTTGGGGTTGTGGGTTAGGGTGGGACATGGGGGAGCGGCAGACCAGGGAGCATGGGGACCTTTAGGGTGGGACGTGGGGACATTCGATGCCATGACTTGAAACTACAGTCCACATTTGAGCGCTTGGTTCATCTCTCTCTCTCTCTCTATGATGCCCAATCATAGATACACTTCAAAGAAAAAAATTAGCTGGTTGGTCTATATATATATATGTGTGTGTGTGTGTTCTTCTGAGCTGTTCTGGATTGTTGAAGCTGCAAGCTGTTCTGCATCGTTTTGCTACTCTTGGGGGTTACCCCTATGGCCTCCCTGCCCCCCCGGGTTTAAGCCTACTTCAAACGTTGTCATGAGGGGGTATCCAAAAAAATGATCCAAGTCCATCTGCCTATAGCACAAAGGGATAGTACGTTTATTGACTCCCCCTACTTATTTATATAATATATATATATATACATATATATATATATGTATTTGTATATATATAATTATATAATTATATACATAATTATATATAGTGATTGTAGTGAATATGTAGGGTGTAGCTATACGTTGGAATTGGGTTATTGTACTCTACATGTTTGGTGTCTCCCGGGTCCCTTGGCTTCAACCTGGGTGGAACCAGTGGTTGAACATCAAGGTAATCTCCTCTAAGCTCTTGTCCTGTGCCGCGTGGGAAAAATGGATCTGGGATGCAACTAGGCAACAAAACCGTGGATTTGGGGTGTACCTGCATGAGGAATATAGCCCGGCCACATATTCATGGGGGAAATGATAGTACTATAGGCTTTAATTAAGCCAATATATTTCGGGAGGTGCCAAATTTTCAGACACAGCCACACTTTGTGCGATGCTCAGAAACGGATAGGAATGCAGGATTTACCCAGCGAATTTGTGGGGATTTAAGCCTCAGAAATAGGGAAAAAATAAACTCCAATGAGCCATGGATATGGGTTCGCCTCAAAATGAGGGAGATCCAGAAATTGGCATTCAAACATGAGGAAAGTATGGGAAGATGATCAAATTAAGTGTGATCTACCTGTGGAGTTCCTGGCCGGCCAATCATTTCAACAGCCGGAAGTACATATTTCAGGATCTGATAATCTGATACACATTTAAACAGTCGGAAAAATATGAAATAAGCTTCGGTGGTATCCCCAACAGCCGCAACGGTTTATCCTTACAAATCTTTCTGAAGCATGTTGCGAAGCCAAGCGCTGGAAACACCTGAGCGTGCTCCAAAGCCTCCCAGACCTTCTCCGGAACCTTTTCCTCAACTCTGTTGAACCTGACCTGACTCTGCACCAAAGCCTCCCGGAACCTTCTCCGGAACCTTCTCCGGACCTGGCTCTGCACCAAAGCCTCCCAGACCTTCTGCGGCACTGTCTCCGGAACCCTGTTCAACCTAACCGGGCTCTGCACCAAGCCTCCCAGACCTTCTCCGGAACCTTCTTCGGAACCCGGTTGAACCTGACCTGGCTCTGCACCAAAGCGTCCCAGACCTTCTCCGGAACCTTCGGAACTTTTTCCGGAACCTCGTTGAACCTGACCCGGCGCCTGCACCAGTGCACACCGGAGCTAATTCTGGGCTGAAGACCCCATTAGCTTACGTTCTGGGCTGAAGACCCCATTAGCTTACGCTGTTCGGGAGGTGATCCCGGTACAATTTAAATGTTATCACTATCACCGTAGGTTTTGGGCTCCCAAATGAAGACCATGATCAGTCCCCAGTTGACATTGGAAGAAGTATACCAAAACGATGAAAATCCCATCCCCCTTTTATACGGTTAGGAACGTTTACACCCCCCTGAAAGCATGGTGGTAACAAAGGGGAAGGGTGTTGAATATGAACAGGGGATGGGATGAAATGAGCAAACAACGTTTTGGAACCTTCCAAACGTTTGGCCCAATCTTGGTGCTCTGCCGCACCTTGGTCTCTGGCAAAGACATGGCGCAGAAGAGGCAGAGACAGTTGGTGCCAACGAAGACCCAAAACGTGTTGAAGCCCCAGTTGGCAAACATCAACGGTGGCAGGAAGGCAATCAAAATGTTGCCCACCTGAGGAACCACATCGCGGTTGTGGCGGGAACTTGAACAAAATGAATAAAGCACACTATTCATACCATGTGGTGATTTAACATAGCTATGGAACATGGTTCATTTAATGATGATTAACATGATGATTTACCGAACTTAAAAGGTGATTGTCCAGTGCGCAAACCGTTAAATAACAAGAGGGTACAACTCCTGAATGGATGTTCTGCAGCTGATGTGTCACTTCTGTGTCGGCAGGCGATTCAAAAGCACGTTCAAGTGCAACCAGATGGTGTTTAAGCTAAAGATCCCAGTGAAATCTGTTTCACGCAAAGCTTTCCTTTCATCAATCGGACTCAAGTCGGTGAAATTTCTGTATCAAATGCTATGCCCATGACAGAACAAAGGGGCTCACAATGTCAAGCCAGCTTGGGTCGTGCGACAACATGAGTTGCTGGGCATGCAGAGACTGGAAAGATGACATCCGATGAGAAGGATGCAACGCCCCACAAGAAGTCTTCATAGTCACAGGGATGACGGAAATGACATGGCTGACCATAGATGTTGCCAAGACATGAAGCTCTCAACCTGTGAGAACCTCATCTTCCCATGATATCACCAAGTCTAGGAACTAGCGGCTGGCAACTAGTGAAAATATCACTCTGAAGGCCACTCAAATATTACCGTTCTTCAGGAATGGGTCGTGTAAATCACCATTCTTCAGGAATGAATTGTGTAAGATCCAAAATTGGTGGTAAAAAAAAATGTGGATCTGATTTTTCCCGCAAGCTTCAAAAGATAGAAAATGTAATTCATCCAGATAGCCTACAATGTGGGCCTCCCCAGTTATAAGTTGGTTTATAAGCCCCAGTAACTATAGTATAACATAGTATAACTATAGTTATAAGGACCATAAACCATAGTTATTGGAGTAATTTGCACCAACTTAGCTATCGTTTGGGGGCCCACTTTGTATCTTGGTCGAATTTTGTTTTTCACCGCCCAGGTACCCAGTTGGCATCGGTGGTGGCCGCCACCCCCTGGCCAGATGCCGATTTCACCGGTGATTTCACAGGAATGGGAAGAAAAAAGGGATGGAATATATCATGGGTATATCATGGGTATATCATGGGTATATGGTGGATAGAACATATCATTGGTACATGGATGTAGAAAAGGTGTATATGGTGTATGAACATATCATTGGTTTTGTCGGGAAAATCTACACCGGGAACCATCGATTTTCCCATGAAAAATATGGGGCGTTCCGGCTAAAATTGTCCCTTAAACCAATCCATTGATAAATGGGATACTGGAATATCTCATGGATATATGGTGTATGGTCATCCATCCCATAATGGGAATCCAAACATCATGGGCATGTGACTCTCTCTATTGATGGATTGATGACCATCCTAAAACATTGCTATCTAGTCTAGTCCAAGTTTAGACCATGGTTTCTGGGGGGTGTTTAATATTGGGGGGATGGGATTATAAATGCCTGAAATTCGTGAAAAAAATGTCCCTAGTTGTTGACCATCATTTTGATATGGCCCAACATGTATATACATTGTTTTCGGGACTGTACACACGGCTATTATATACATCCTTGTATATCCTTGTCATGCATGCCAACAAAAAATCCACTGACTGCATGAAAAAGGTGGAAGGGGAGTTTCCTTCCCAAGATCTTCGGCTAGATGCTGAACCAAATTTATGAGCAAAAACCGATGCTTAAACCCATCAAACTGTGGACTCCCATTGCATCCCATGGTTTGGAAAACAATGAACATCATGTTCAGAATTGGGGCCCAATTCTAACAGTCTCACAAAGCCATTTTTGGTTCATCCGTTCAACATAGCCACTCTGCAGGAATGTCTGAGGCGGTAATTTGATGGTTTGGAACCTCATTTTTCTCTTTAAAATTGCCATGTAAGGTGGGAGTACATATCCCATGGGCAAACCCAAGTTTCAGATCAAAAGTCAAATAGGTGAAGTATTTCCTATCAAATACCTTCTTTTCCAGGTCATAGCCCTTCAAATCCATTCTCAGTTTGGCAAATTTCCCATATTGTGTGTTTAAACACCGTGTTAAATCTTCAAGGTGTTATGAACCCACAATATGGGAAATAGGTGAATTCCTATATTGGCAAATTTTATATTGGCAGATTTCACCAATATTGGAACGAAAATAGGGAGATTCCCATCTTGTTTTTATTGGTGAATCTCCCTATTTTCGTTCCAATTCCTCCCCGAAATCACCGCTCCGAACACCATGCGGAATCGGCACACCTTGGTCCGGTGCTTCTGCGGAAACATCTCGGCACAGTAGACCCATGCCATGCCGCCCCAGCCTCAGGATGTGTGTCCAATAAGTGGACAATGATAACATAGTAAAAGTACTGGCAAAACTTATTGATAGTACCTAAATTAACACTGATAGTGATGAGGAAGATGGTGACGATGATCGTGATGGTGGTGATTGTGATGATGGATAATGATGATCATGATCATGATCATGATCATGATGATGATGATGATGATGATGATCCTAATCCTACTCCGACTCCTGCTCCTGCCTCCCCCTTTCATTGTCCAGCAGCCGTATGCAAAGTTCAGAATGAAGCCGCAAATGGCCAGCGTGGCTGTCCTTGTACCAGTGATGTTCGCGATTTTCGGACCAACTTGTCACAAAACTGTGGAGCCGATACATATATATATATATATGTATATATATATATATATTAATATGGGATCCCATATACCACTTTACCTCCACAGAACGTGGCCAGCACTCAGGGGCAGGTAAAGTTTGCAACCATAAATTCTGGTGTCTGGAGAAATTATTTGAATTTATTTGCACAATCTGTTTGCGCAACAATGTTCTACTCTGTTTTTATCATCGCAGTAGTAAGTCAACAACTGTTCCAGATATGTAACAATAATCATGAGCATGTATCATGATTCTGAATCATGATAAATGCTCTACTAAGACGACGAAATATGACACGCAAAATAAGTTTTTTTCGAATCTGGCGAAGCCATGGGGCCATGGATTTTCATCATTTTCCTTCCTGTTTTTCTGTGTCCGAGAAACCAGCAAACTCATAGGGAGACCATGAGAATTCATGGGATATACTGGAAGATAATATGATGTAGTTGGATATACAATCGACAAAATCTTCACTATGACATTTGGAGATATCTACTGGGATTGCCCAGCCCGGTGTCATCATTGCAGCCGCTGGAAGTTATTCCCAGCCGAACGGCTGCCATGGAGGAATTGTGATGGCTGCTGACAATGATCATCCTAAGAAAGGTGGATGGCTTAAGATTTTTAATAGTCTACCCACAATTTTAATGTTACCCTCTGGTAAACTAACATAACTATGGAAAATCACCATAGCTATGTTAAATAACCAGAGGGTATACATTGATGAGTTAGCTGATTGAGTGTTAGTTGATTGAGTGTTCATTGATCATTAAAAAGACAACAACAAAAAAACATGGGTCCAGCGGTAGCCAAGACTCAAAATGTCCCATTACCTAGCTTCATGATGGCCATATCCCCATATTTTGGTCAGTTCTACTCCCATTCCTCACCCTGCCAAATTAGAAATAAACGCTAGCAAAGAGCTTTCATTTTTTGCATTCGATGTTCTAGTACTGGGGCATGATGGAATCTTTAGGCGACAAAAGCAACTAAATGGTCTCAAATCTGACCCCATACCTTGAAATTACATGAAATTACATGTCTGTGAGCAAAATTTCAAGACTTCTAGACGAACTGTTTGGCTGGTCACTGCCATGTCAAAATGATTGCTCGGGCACACCCCATATATTCTTCATATGAATCATGGCTGTGTTGTGCCCTCTCCATAAATTTCTGGTCCAAGATTTATGGTCGTCCAACGCCTGATTCTCCAGACATATCTTCAACACGAGGTCCCGTTTTTCTCCACGTCCCATGAAATTCCCATGAAGAAGTTCCAATAAGTCCCATTAAACCACCATTAAGCCACCATTAAACCATCAATTAAACCACCATTTTTCCCATCTTTTTGGCTGTCAAGGATCCACTTGGCCCAAGGACCACAAGTTCCGATGTCGTCCTCTTGCCGTGTACGAGTAGCTTCCAATGGCCACTGATGGATTCACCCAATGCCATTGGTCCAACTACCATTTGGGGATGGTTTTTACCATTTCGAGCTCAGGGATTTACAGGTCAAGTCAAGTCAAGTGCACCTGCACTTGACATGTCAAGTGGACGCGATTTTTTATAACGTGCGAACCGGTGGACTCATTTTTTTTTGCGGACAAAGTTATGAAACACTGACGGGCACATGTATTCACAAGCTCACGGACATATTGACGTGAATTGGAGTAAGTACTGGTGTATATACATATATATATATATATATATTGTGTGTATATATTGTATATTGTATATTGTATATATATATATATATATATTGTATATTGCATAATATGTGTTTTATACTGAGACTGACATGTGTCTGTCATCTTGACATGCAATTGTACTGACACATAGCCAGACATTAGACTGCCAGATGTAGTCATACATATATATATATATAAATCTGTATTTTATATATATAAGCTCTATAATATATATATATATATATATCCACAATATATTTTGCTCACATGTTTAATGCTTCTGCCCAGTCAGCTATCGGTCTCCCCAAGACCCATGATGGATCACACACCAGTGAAGTGATAGCAGCTGTTGTCAAAAAGCAGGGCCAAGGTAAATTGCATGAAGCAGCGGATGGCTATGAAGAGACACCGTTGTTGAAAGCGCAGTGCACTGCAAAAGATTTCTCACAGGCACAGATGCCTTCAGAAAGCGACAAAAACAAAGTTCCTCCCAGTGGCTTCAGGGGGGGTTGTGGGAAAAGACAGTTTCTTGAGCCGTTGGTTACCAACGGGCAATGCTGTCACCTGAGCAATCAAGGTGTGAAACAGGTGAATTGCTCACATGTTTAATGCTTCTGCCCAGTCAGCTATCGGTCTCCCCAAGACCCATGATGGATCACACACCAGTGAAGTGATAGCAGCTTTTGTCAAAAAGCAGGGCCAAGGTAAATTGCATGAAACAGCGGATGGCTATGAAGAGACACCGTTGTTGAAAGCGCAGTGCACTGCAAAAGATTTCTCACAGGCACAGATGCCTTCAGAAAGCGACAAAAACAAAGTTCCTCCATAACTCTTTCCAAAAAACTTTGAAGTCTGCTGACAAAGAGATCACTTGAGATGCTGCAACAAGATCCGAGGAAGCTCCAGTGCAGCCTGTTTGGCAGCGCTCTGCTGCTTAGGGCTCAACAGATTCAGTTGCTTGGTCAAGCGTCCATGTTTGGCATAGCGTTTGACAGAATCGTATGAGGCCCAGCAGCCCCGTTGCTGTATATCTTGTAGTGTTCTCAACCCAGCAAGATAGTCATGAGAGGCCCCGCCATGTCGAAGACAGTGAGGGGTAAGTTTCAGGCTTTCAATCTGCAAATTCTTGACGCTGAGGGAAAACTGTTTCTCAAATTCGCCCAAGGTGATACCAAAAAGTGGAGTCTTGGGCCCACCAGTATGGGTTGCATAAATGCGACCCAGAACTTGTACAATCCAGTTACGGTCACTAGATCCTACTGTAAGGCTATCATTGAATTGCCCAACTTTGGAGGGTTCCCGCAGCTCTTGTGGATGAAGCAGCAAAGTCCATTGGTGGTACCGCTTGCTAACCCCTTTTGATGGGGGGACAACATTGCTAAAAACAAGTTCACAAACTTTCCCAGGTCGAAGATAAGTATCAAAGGCCATCACCACTGCTGCAGCACAGGAGACAAAGCCACGCATCAGCATGTCATAGGAGATCCACATCGCGACCTCAAATGGACAGGGATCGCGTGACATCCCTGGTTCAATATTGCACCATCCTTTCTTGGCTGACTTGGTCAATGAGTAGTTAGTCCGAGCTGAGGTAGGCCACTGAGGGTACTCAATATTGCAGTTCTGCAAAGCACAGGTGGTCGTGTATTTCGACTCCCCAGCTAAAAATTGATCCTCAGCAAACGCCTCCAGACTACGATCTAACTGTGTCATGCTCACAAACCGACAAGTGCTGCTACCAAGAAAACTGTGCTGTATGCAAAATTCTATGAACTTCTTCCACGCACCACGATAATTCTCGCGAGTGCTGTGCCTTCGCAGTCGTGCACGTCTCAAAAAACCTGGTTCAGTCTCTTGAACTTTCTTTAACCTTTCTTTCCTGACCTTCTCTTTTGGCTTCCGCTTCGGTTCCCCAGCTGTCGATTGCTTTTTCCCAGGGACACACGTAGCGTGTGGGGCACTTGCTGATCTCAATTCTTTCCGGCACCCCACCGCTAGTGACTTGCCGAATTTCATCTAGCCATAAAGGAAGAAAATCGGGTTCATGAAAGCATCTAATGCTCTCAGCTGGAGCCACTTGCCGCAGGAGCGACGACCAAAGATGACAAAGTTCCCCTGAGTATTCACCTGCTAAAGTTGTTTTCCAATACCACTCACTCTTGCCATTCGGGAGAGGAATCTTAACCCTACCTCGAAGTTGTTCATGGTTGTGTTGACACTGACATCGCCGACCAAGTTGTCTAAGGATGTTGAGGCTGCTGACAATAATAGTAGGCTTACGAAAGGGACATCCATATCTACAGCAGTCAAACTCAATGAACGACACGGTGTGATGTTGAAGAACTCGACAAAGTTTGGGGATCTTGAAAAGCTTTGAAGTCTTGGGATTCTCAAGGCTGAAAAAGATTCCAAGTGAAAGACATGTTTTGATCACCTTGATCGTGAACTCAACACACTTCATAGACATGACAAGTTTCACACCAGTCGCACTCTTCTTCTTGGCAATGCTGAAGATAGTACATGGAGTTCCTAAATGTATATACCAAATAAGCCCAGTATACAACCATCCCAGTATTAGCTCTTGTACATGTTTCTTGGTCAAGTCAAAGCCACTGCCAAAACGGGTATCGAAAGGTGCCGCTGTACGCAAACCATGACTCAGCATGCTTGACGTGAGGTGTGCAGTACCTGAAAACAACTCAAGAGCACTTTTACCCCTTTTTGGTTCTCTCTCCCCAGCCGCTGGTGCACGATCCACTCCTCCGCTGCTCCACATTTTCGCGCTCACTTCAAATGGTCGCATTGTGCTTCGGGAACAAGATGGTCGCAATTGACCATGTTGGAGACTTCCGCCCCCCGCCGAAGTGCAGCTTTGGACTGATCCGAGCATTGCCAGGTCATGACGCGCATGCAAGGAGTTCTCCCTGCCGCCGATCCTGCTTGTCTGCCTTTCCCCATGGGCACGCCCCGACAGCTCTCCCCGACCGTAGGATGCAGTCGGCTGACGCCGCTGCACTGACGTAGAAGAGCACGGCAAGGGAGAGGCTGCCGGTTCGCGCGATTGGGTACTTGGGCAGGACTGGCAGCCAGACGGCTTGGTTTGAGTGTCGCTCCGTCTCTGCTTCTCCTTCTCTTTGCCAAAAACCCTTGAGTCATGATCAGAAGGGTTTCTCTTGGTCTCAACGTACCTCAGGTGCCACCTAATCCCACATGCTATCTGGATGGCCGCGGCTCGGCGGCATAGTGCTAGCAGGCTGTAGTCTTTGGCCCTCCCTTTGCAAACACAGGACAAGTTGTCACAAAGCGTAAGGAGTCTCCTACCATGGCATGAAGTGTTCCTAGACTCCCGTCGGAGTGCCATAAGTGCGACACGCCCTTCTTTCATGTGAATCGCCTCTTTGTGTTTCCACCTCCTCTGCACCACAGTTCGCCAACGTTCTGGTTCAAGGAGCTCATCAGGCAGTCGGGGGACCATCCCAACTACCTCTATGACCTCAAACTTCCGGCGCTGATCTCGACTGTGAGGGCCTCTTGTCCCAGCTTCTAGCTCACCACTATTTGGCTCTGGAATGCCGAGCCTTTCGCACAGCCATCTGGTGTACGCAAGATTGGGCACCTCGAAGTCAGCTGACCACGACTGGTGCTGCCCAAGTGTTCGCCCAAGGTCGTGCTCAACCTCGACAAACCTCCAGCGCTCATGGAACTTGAACAGATTCCTCTGCTCAGCCACTGATGCCCTTGTTGTCTGAAAACAAAACCCATAAGAGCTGGAGTCGCCACAGTACACTATGTCTGAGTAAGGACTTCCTAGGTCTACTTCCACCAAAAAGATGAGGACAACTACAACACGGAGCTCTCTCTTCACGCAGTTCGGTATGGTGTGCCCCCTGCCATCCAAGCCCTGGTAGAGGAACTTGTACACATGGTGCAGACAGCTTAGGCCTGGTCGCATGATTGAAAAATAGTGGACTATGTGCCCCACCAGCACCCGAAGTGCTTCCGTTGGCATCCTCCTCAATTGAAGGACGTGCTTCAGAGCTAGGTACAGTCGCCAGCTCCGCTTCTTTGCATGCTTCAGCTTCATACTGTCCTGTGAATCACAATGCCAACATTGGTGATTTCCACTCCACCCTTCTCCAGTTCATGCAACACAAAACCAGCCTCCTCAAGCCTCTCGACTGTAGAGGAGAAGGTATCACCCACTACTTCTTCCACAAAGCCAAAGACCCCAATGTTGTCAACATACACGCTCCCAACAGGACCAGCAAGGAGGTCAGGAGCCGCCACCCCTTCTTTCACCATCTGCTTCGCAGGAAGTTGGCTTTTCATCCCATGTTCTACTGCAGCCTGGCACATATGAAGTGCCCACGTCCAGCCCTGCGGCATGCCAATGAACACTGGAAACAACATCTCATCTTCTGTCACTGGAACCTCACGCCCCAGCTCAGGGTCCCACACAGAGGTGACATCAAAGTCGCTCGCCTTGACTGGGTCGTCAAGACCAAACCATTCTGCTAGGTGTTCGACACTGAACTGGTAAAAGGCGTCGCTGACATCGCCCGTGGCTCCAAACAACTTCTGCGGCAACGAGACGCTGCCACCATATCCATGCTCTACAGCTGCCACCTCGTCCTCTTCAATGTAGGTGTCAAGTTCTGCCAAGGCAGAGGCACCCCCAAGCTTTGTCTTCGGGGGGCGCCGGTGGCAACCATTTGGCATCCTGCAGTCAACTATGAGACGGATCCCCTTTTTCCCACTCTTCCAGACGAAGAAGAGGCCGACCCGCGATTTGATCCTCCTCCGGAAGCCTAGCAGTGACTTCTCTGACAGCCTTCTGTACAGCTGATGTCTCGCTTCACGGTCAGTCCTCAGGGTCTCATCCCAATAAGGTTGGAAGCTCTCATTTTCTTCCATCCAACCCTGGATCTCATCCTCACTTCTCACAATGTACTTCTCAGGCTCAAGCAAGCACCTCGCCTCATGATCAGGAAGAAGCTGATGTGCCGGCTTTGGAACCGTGTTCGTCTTCATGACCTTGAGCAGTTCAGGGTCATATGGTGCCGTGCTGCTCTGATTCAAGGAGTACATATCACGACTCTTGCACACCTCCTCAAAACAGCTCTTCGGTGTCATTCCAGTTGGGCAGCAACCTCCATCACGGATTTGCCCAGCGATCTTCTGTAGGACCCCCTTTTGCGGCTTGGTCGGCTTGCCAACTGGATGATGCCCTCGAAAAGGAAAATTCGCCCGCTTGACCTCCTCAGCAGAAGACTGTGCCAGAGAGTTCAGGGATCGGACGGACTCAGAAATGCGCCCCAACATCCTCTCCCCTATCCTCCAATCCTTCTGGCCAAAGACATCATCAAGGCTGGCGGAGCTACGAACCCCACGCCTAGGAACCGGCAAGGGGAATAACTCGGAATGTTTGCCTCCACCAAAAGATGCTGAATTCTGGGGCATGCACTCCCGAGCACTTGATTCACCGCCCTCAGGAAGGCGGTCACCAGGGCGTCTCATGTCGCAGCGGCGCCACCAGCGGCGCCGCTAGGTTTTTTCTTCTTCTTGGTCTTCTCAGCCCCAGCCTCATCATCAGACTCCATCTTGTCGGTCTGATTCTTTGCAGCACGCCGTCGCTCAGTGGCCTGCTCTTCTCGCCACTCCCGTGTGCTCTTCAACGTCTTCGCCTCTTGCTTCTGCTGCTCTGCCATCCACTCAGCATAGCCAGGTGCCCTTGCCCCCCCAACCTCATCAACGCTTCCACGTGTGTTGTAGTCAAAAGCATCAAAGGTGGGGTGGCGTGGATTCCTACGCACAGCAACTTGAATCTCAAGGATCCTTCGTATGACTTGCTCAATGGATGCCAGGTTGGAGCAGTCAATCTGGTCATAGCTGATGGCGAACTTGAGCACGGAGAGCAAGTTCTTGTACTCATGTGCCGCTGCAGAGTTATCTGAGAGCCCACTCTTCCGCATGAAGGCTGCATGATAGGTTGCAATGCAAGGTCACCTCCATTCTCCAGCACGCTTTCCAAGAATTCTCGAGCGGCACGGGGCCCTCGATGTGGGAAATCCTCAAACTTCTTCTCGGACATCAGCTCCAGCGCCCTCTCCAAGGACATCTGTCTCTTCCCAGAGCTCAGCTTCACGCAGCCAAGAATCCGAAGGTCCCCGGCATCACCACCCGGAAGCCCAGGTCGCTTGCGCTCAGCCCACTCGTCAAAGTTCTTGACATACTCCAGGGTCATGATCTCCCCATCCTTGTGGTGAAGACGCTTCCGATGTTCACCAATCTCCAACATCACATTGGAACCACCGTCCATCAACTCATTGTTCGGTATGATTTCACCAAACTTCTTGGAGTCCACATCTGCAACGCGCCACTGCCCTGCTGTCTCATTGGTGCCCTCAGCAGCTGAAACCCCAGGTCTGTCCTGGCAGCCGCGTACCACAGAAAGCGCTTCAGCCTGCCGCTTCAAGTCCTGATAGTCGCGCATCAAGGCGTCATTGTCAGGGACATAGAGCTGCCCGGCATAAGCAGCCGGATACGGCGCATTCCGGGTGAGGGGAACCACAGTCACTCCAGCATAATCCTCCTCATACACATCCCCATCTGGGGTTGAAATGATCCACTCTGACCTTTCAACACGATACCAAAATATCCTATGATGGTAATCCAAATTGTTAGGGTCCCCTGGAAACTCAACCAACATCTGCATCTCAGGTATATCCAGGCTCCGCCGCACTGCAGCCATGTTGCTCAGGCCGCCACACCCCTTCGCACTCGCAAGGGCGACGGCTCGTTGGGTTGCGCAGCTTGGGCAATGGCCAAACACTCAGGCTCCTTTCTGAACTTCTTATTCCAGAAATTCCCAGCTACTACACCGCTTGCGAATACAACCACAAGCAGCAAAACCCACAACCAGCTAAGATCCCAGGTGTGTCGCAATGGACGATTAGTGGTGGTTGTGGTTATAGATGAGGTAGTGCCAGTTTCCAAACAGTATGCAAACAGCTCTTTCACCAATGCAGCACAGGTGGCGCCAATGCCTTGCTCGGTCTCAGGGCACTGGCAATCGCACACCACAGGCCGATTAGGCGTCGCCCACCAGAGGAGCTGCGCGGCACTATTGAGCAGCTGCAGATATATGGCAACTGGATCGCCCATCTATCTGATACCTCAAAAGACAGTTTCTTGAGCCGTTGGTTACCAACGGGCAATGCTGTCACCTGAGCAATCAAGGTGTGAAACAGGTGAATCTTGACATTTGTCTGACATATAGACAAACATCTGTGTACTTGTCTTGTGTTTTTGGTGTGTACTGATTGATGCAGACCTCGAAGCACAGGTCTCCAATGGACGCACCAATGGACGCAAGGACACCGGAGCAAAACATCATTCCTTGGTCGCCGGAAAGTTTCGGACAGGTGACACAAACGGTGTCCCATGGTTGAAAGCGAAGCTGGAAAACCTATCTGCAACCCGTGAAAACCCATGATTTTCCTGGCATGAAAGTGAACATCAACTCAGCGATGTTGATGTTTACGATCGTCGGGATCTCGATCGATATCAGATCTGGAATCGGCGTACCAAAATTGATCCTGAAGACAGCAAGTTTAGCATCGACGGGTCCCAAAAATCAAACTTTGGGGAAACCAGATTATCCTCGGGCCAAGATGACCGTCATAATGGACAAAAGAAGAGGCTCTTCAGCATCAGTCATGTGTTTCGCACTGGGTACTAAGCCATTGGTTTATTGTGAAATTATTTTGAGATGAGCCATACCCAGCTTTCAACAAGTCCACCATGTTTTTCAGGATCCCATGTACTGACCATTGGGGATTTTTTTAAAACCATAGGTCTGGGTGAGACCCGTTGGCACCACTACAGCAGCTGTTCGTCCTATAGGTGAAAAAGAATGTCAAAAAGGATCTTCTCGGTTGAGAGACCATGTTTTTATTTCTTCACGGTGTTCCCTGTTCTGTATTTGAAATGGTATATTGTGAAATTTTCTGCGCCAGCAATCTTTCATTGTTTCATACGTCCACGCCGCTCTAGGGCGACCCACCCTTCTGTGTTTAACTTGTTGTGGCAAAAGATTTCTTGTAGCGAAAGTGGCTTGATGTTGTGGGTGATCTCTTGGTCTTCTGATTATATGCCCCAATACTTTTCTTCGCTTTTCCTGTAGAACATAATTTTGGCTGGTTGATGGTTGGTCCTCATGGACAAATCCCTATACTTTCACCAGGTACTCACCCACTATTTCATACTATTTCTCAATCAAAAAATACCCCCAAAAACCAGGATGGCTGTTGAGAATGGCCGTCTCCATCAGATTTGGCCTTGGAAAGCCGTCGCCACAAAACAAGACCACAGTCAACCCATAAATTTCCACCGTGGCACCAACGGCGGACCACTTCATCAACACCGTTCGGCCGCACTTGTCCACCAAGAAAAGTCCAGGGATGGTGGCGAATATGTTGACCACACCTGCTGGGGAATTATCTTGGGGGTTTCACCTTTACCAGCAAAAAAGGAGAAACCAAAATCTACCAGGAACATCTGAAATTTGGATTGAATCAAGATTCGATTCCTCATTTTTGCTGGTTCAATCCACCAGTGTTTGGTGCTGAAATATTTCCATGGCCACCATGTGGACGCTACATTTAGAAGCGCTATATTTGATGCATTGAAGGTATTATTTCCCGCTCCTTAAAGTGCGCATTTAGTAAAGTTCCTTGTTCCTTTTGAACGCCTACGAGTTCCTTCACAAAGGACCATCTTGACGCGTCTAACGGCCTGAGACTAGGGTAAAAAGGCGCCCAGCGTGTTCATTGCCGAAGAGTTTGTCGAAGATCAAAGGGCCGTCGTACATGAAGGCGTTCCTAAAGGGCTGCTTCAGGCATCAAATCCATCAGTTGCTGGTGGATTTGGGCTACAGGGCTTCCAGGCCACAATTGTTCAAACAGGCACCAAATTATCTGTTGGAAAACCGCGCATTGACTGCTAAGCATCTCTAAACCAAAGGTGTATCTATAGAGTATAGAGGTTGTGCGACAAAATCTTGACAGATGCAACACCATCAAGAGAGACTTTGAAACATAAACAATGATTCAAAGTTAAGTAGATTGTGACAAACTGTTTCATACTGTCTCTTTCTTTTTGCATACCTCTTGATGTGGTCTCCTGGCTTTGGAAAATGTTTACCCCGTGTCGTAAACCCAATTAAAACACAAAAACAAATAGAGGTTTGTGAATTGGGAAAATGGATATACATCACTCAAATATTTCATGTCCCAGTCATAGCTTGGGATGGTTAACAATGGGTTTCCGATGGCTAAACACCATACACTACCCATATCTACCCATCAGCCAATGTCACACATTATCCTCGAGCCGAGGCTCATGCCACAGAGTTGCTGTAAGAGTTGGATGCTGACGCCAATGCCCAGCAGTTTCACTGGGCGAGAGCTCGAGGCAAAAGGCCAAAATGCTGGAAGAAAATCTCAGGCTTTGGAAGTGACTTAAGCATCAAAAATCGTGATTGAAAACCAGGAGAAATGGTAATTTAACCAACCAAACAGCTGATTTCATGGGAAATCATAGGGATATCATGGAGATTTTTCATGGGGATATGGAAAAATCATCGGGATTATCACGTGGCAAACGTTGGGAAATCCCCGAACCAAACGGGGATTCTTCCATTTCCAGGCTTGATTATCAGATGCTATGGGTTCATCTGAAAATAGAATGCCTTTTTTTCTCCCATGGATCAACTCATCATTTTCCCCATTTTCCCCATCATTTGATGACCGTTTATTGAAACTATGACTTATGATACCCATGCTATAACCATTGCTTTGCGACGTGGATCTAAGCGGTTTTTTTCATCCGATGAAAATCATGGGATCTTCATCCTCGACCGTGTCATTTTAGCGTCCGCTTTTGTGGATCAGTGAAGTACGACTGAGTATGGATACATACGTAGTTTCAAGTTTCCAGGTTGAAACGACCATGTAAAACATTATACCATCATTTGAAATCATATAAAAGGGATAAAAGGGTTATTGGATCATATAAACTCAAATAAAGTCAGTACAACACAGATTCATGCTACATATGAAATCACATAAAATCATATAAATCAATGACCCAAGCCGACCCGGTTGCCACCAAGGCGCAGTTGTCGCCGGAGCAAAACTCGACCCAGGTGCCCTTCGTGGTCGAGTCCATCTCATGCTCTTGGCAAATCTCCGCCAGCTCTTCACGCACATCCTGGAGCTGCTGGAGCTGCTGTAGCTGCTGGAGCTGCTGGGTCTGGGACATAGTTCATAATAAATGTAGATGGTACTGATGGTACATGTTTGGAAAACCATCTATGATCATCTATATACATAAAATATATGATATATTATGGTTATGATATATGAAATGATATCATATAGAACTGGGAGGGGGTCTGACATATCAACATGTACCAAAGAAATGTATACAAATGTGTTGTTGTGTCTCCAGGAAAAGGGAGGCGTCAGGCTTACCAAGGGTCAGGTTTCTCCAGAAGCATCCTCCATAGATGTGTGTTTCAACATGGGTGGAAGTTTAAGACCCATTGAGAAGCATTGAGTTGACGAAATGGAAACTACTTCATTCATAGTTCATCTTGTTTATTTCAAAAATATTGTTTTTTCCCGTATATATATATATATACATACGTGTATACATGTATATATATATATGTAAATGTGTCTATTTATGTTTATATATATATACATATATATATACACATATATACATATATATATATGTATATGCATATATATATGTATGTATATATGTATTTTTATGTATATGTATATGTATATATATATGTATATATATACATATATATATATATATGTGTGTGTTTCCCATTTCTCACTTGACCCACCATGTTCCCATTTCTTTCGCCATTCTTCCACGTGTTTCCCGGAAAATTTGCCCGGCCTCGCTGCGCAGCAACAACAAACACCTCAGCGCCTGCCGAGGCTTGCCTGAGGCTTGCCGTTGCACAGCTGGGGCTGTGGAGATCCTTCTGAATCAATGTGATTTAACATGATTTTGAGCATGAAAAATATTGGATTTCACCATGAATATAGGTGTTCTTCATTAAACTTGAGATGTTCCAAAGGAGTTGCCCTTTGGGTATTGCAAATCAAACAGGACATAGGAAGATCCCCAAAAGATCCCAAAAGGATTTTGTCCATTGTCAGGATAGATACCGGTACCCTCCAGAAAACCACGTGTATATATATATATATATATACGTGTATACATATATATATAATGTATAATGCATGTATGTATGTACAGTGTAGTTTTATATATTATACATACATATATATGTATAGCATAGATATGGAAAACGCACCACTGGTGATGCGTACATCATTTTATTTGGGCAACATCGGGCAACCATGGCTGTTCCCATCAGATCCGACCCGTCATTTTTCTAGGGCCACAACGGAGCCTCGGATCGTGTCCGGTTTTTTATGGTCAAGTTACATGGGAGAGTTTCGTAAAACGATGCAATGACCAGACGACATAGTTTCGATTTAAAAAAAAGTAAGATGGGGATGGGTCAAAACCTTGTACCCCTGGTGAACATCAAAATAGCTGGTAAATGGATGTTCATCCCCCTAAAAATGGTATTAATAGGTATTGATCCATAGCCAGATCTGAAACTGTGGTACCCCCAAATCCAATGGTGTTTCCAATCATTTTGCATGAAGAGAATGGTGGTTCATCTTCATTTTTCCATCAAGAGTGCCAGACTGCCAGACTTTGGGGATATACTATGATATACTCACGTTGTAGGACAACCCTTGGGGATGCAACCTGTACTTTTTCCATGATTGGTTGGTCCTGTGCTGGATCACATTAAAATCTGTGGGTAAAAAAAAACATGTTTGATGGTTAGATCATCTCAAATCCCCTTTTTGTGGTTATAATAAATCAATGTAAATCATGAAAAAACAACATGTTTTGATGCTTCAAGCCTCATTTCTTGATGGTTAAGTCCCATTTCTTGATGGTCCACGAAACAACACCAGCCCCCGCCTAGCCCCAGGCCAGGCCGTCCGGGTGCCTTGTTGTACCAAATAGCGAGGCGAGCCAGGCATGAAGATGCCGCCAATCACCAGCATGATGCCAGGGACGATCCTAGGATCTGAACCATGGCAGATACCATCAGTAGGGTTAGAACCAGAACCTGGTTATAACTCAGATTATGACAGATTATGGTTAGATCCATTAGTGATGTTAATATGATTTTAAAAAAATGTGTTTTGAACTCAGATTATGGTTTATACATATTTATACAACCATCAGTTCTAGATGGGGAGGTTCAGAACCACAACTCGCGTATAGATGGAATCTGTGGTTCAGAACTATCATCGGATTGTGCTTCAGGAATCGGATCTGTGGTTTTGAGAGTGCATCACTTATAGAGGGGGAGGAAAAGAAAAAAACCTTAAGCCACAAGATAGCCACAAGTAACTACAGCAACTAGTCATTTGGGGATCGGTTCCCTCCTTGGGGGTATTTGAGGTATATTTCAAGATAGGGGATGAGATTAATACGATACTCCAAATTGTCCCGATTAGTGGGGGGCGATTGTAAAGCAAGGGTCATAGTGCTTAAGGCAGTGAAAGATCCCTTGCTTGGATGTATGTATGTATGTATATATATATAATTATATATAGGGGGTTCCATGAATGGGGGTACCCCTATTTCTGGAAACCTCCATATACACATTATATACTGAACACATAATTGTCACCTATATGCATACAATAGGAATCAAGAAAGGATTGGAGATTTGAATGGTTGATTTGGGGAGAAGTAAAAAAAATCGCATAACATCGCTAAAGATTGAGCTCCTAATGGACCCTTGAAAATCTGCTGCATCACCCGTGCTTCCTCTTGATATCTCTTGATTAAATCCGCAGCAGGCCACATTCAAAGGACAAATGATACATACTGTATATTATGTGTTGAACCGACGGAAGTGATTTGAGGTTACTGCACAAGGCAAGGCGGATCCTACTTCATTTTCCATTCCCTGACCCTTTTCCATGAATGACCTGGTTTTCAAACGCTGCGCTGAGTTCTTGCCTTTTCTGCATGTCAATCTTATCTACTTCGTTTTTTTATGCGAACCCACCTCATTTTGCAGCTAGTTTGGGGGGTAGAAAGTATTTCCCGAAGACTATTGTTGTGCACAAAGTATCAGTAGAAAAGCAGTTGCTCTTATAAATATATCAGTGCAGGCAGTGGTGGACTCGGTCTACAGTGAAGCTGGTAAGCCATCCATCCCGCTCCAACCACCAGTCAAGCCGTAGTCCAACCGTAGTGCTACAAATTCATTGAAGATCTGGCTGGTGGTTCAAACCCACCAAGCTCGGCATCAACGCACCTCAACCTGTGCCATCTCCCGTCATTTTTCTTGGTTATTATCACACATGGCGAAAAAATTGGGACTTGAAAATGACAATCATCAATCATCATCTGGGGAAAATGACATAAAATGACCATCATCTGGGACTCAATTTTTGAATCTCGACCCATTTTTCGGAATGTTTTTCCCCAATACAAAAAACGCGGGGCTTTCGAAGAACTCCGCCCTTCACCCGGTCTTCTGAACTCGGCCCATCTGCTGTGCCGCGATGACCCATCGCCATCCGCCATAGGGTTTCTCGACATCTTCCAAGACCAAGGCTAGGAGAAAGGCGATCATGATACCCACCTGGGTATCACGCGGAAAAAAAAAACATCAAATGCATGGTTTTTAATGGTAAGTTTATATATTGCTATTACTGTAGGATTTATGATGGATATTAGTATACAATTCAATTCTATAATTCAAAATGGCGGAGAAAATTAGGTTCGTCCCCTAGCGGTAATGAAGGTCTTGCACACCCCTCAGCAAGGCTAAGGCGAAGCCAGACTGAATTAGGATTACAATGATTTTGCCGGTTACTCATATACATATATATATATATATATATACGTATATATATATTGTACTATATTATACAGTCGGGTGGGGTTATAAACTGACAATTTGGAGGCACTTCCTGTATGTGTACCAGGATGAAAGGAGGGTTTCGCCTACCATTTTTTTTGGTGCAGCACCTGGCCCATTCGGAATCGTCTCCAATGACCATCTTTTGTGAGTTGGATATGTGTACATATATATATATATATGTTGAATGATGCAAAGTCCTTGTATCAGAGAGTGCTTTGGTGTAAAACACTGAAATGATGAAGATGATGAAGACTCCAAGTTGGCAGGCTACCTGCTAAGCCCTGCTACCTATTCCACTTCATCACCAGATTTCACCACTGCCATTGCAGTGATTCTAGAAAAACATGTTTAATCATGGTTCATCGCATCTCACTATTAAATGCCCAGAAATACAAGGTGCTGCCAGCCAAGTTGGTTTATAACTCTAATGACTAGGACTTACTTATGGTAGATATATATTATATATACATATATATATATAGTATGGGTATGGGTTCATAAACCAACAAACATCACTGGAGGGGTCACCCATATATGCCCAATGAGGTCCACCCAGTGCTGAACAGATACCGTGATGGCGAACTGGAACCCCGTGACCAGCGCGCCGCGCAACGCAGGGGGTGCGATCTCGCTGGTGTAGACCGGGGCGTTGCCCGACAGCAAACCCACTGAGAAGCCGGCGATGATGCGACCCAACAGCATCATTGCCATGTTGATGGCCTTAGCAAAACATGGGGTGGGCATGTGACTCTCCCCCCATGATTTGGCCCATCTGTGCAGATTTTCCGCTACCAACCCAGTGATAGAAACAAAAAAGACAGCAGGGGTTCACAGACAGTTCGTTCAACCAGTTTCGGAAATATACAGACTAAGCTGCTGGTTGACTTGAACATCTGTGGAAACAGTATGAAACAGTGGCGTTACAGTCATGCACTGTCATATGTTCTGTCAATTGGGAAATCTTCACAGCTGCATAAAAAATGGTTTTCCAACCGGGATATTGGTCAGAACATGTTGCACATTCTTCCCTTTTCTAGCCATCTCCAATCCATCTCCGAGTTTTCGACCCATTTTTCCAACCTTCGGATCCTTCGGATCCTTCGGCTGAGGCGCTAGAGCCTGCAGTGCAGCCCCTAGGCAGAAGACGAGGCCTCCGAAGATCACGGCGCCCTTCCGGCCCAGCTTCGAGACGCAGCAATCCATGACCGGTGGAAAGGCCGCCACGGCGGCACCCACTCCGAAGATCATGGTGATCAAACTGTCCTGGATCTGGATGTCTTCTGCATGTCCGGGGGAGAAAGGTCTTTTGGACCGTTTTTTTGGATCGGAAAAGTTCATGGCATTGTTTTTTGAGAAAGAGAGATTGGCGAGGGGAACTCTAGGACTCTAGGGATGAAACATGTTGAAACATGCTGAGTCCAAGATCGAGTCAGGGAACCAGTGAAAATTGGGACAAACATGCGCCAACAACAGAAAATATATGGAATGCCTTGAATAGGTTTGAATAGGAGATATGTGCTTCTTTGCTGCATGTAAAAAGAGATCTGCAACTGAGATCTGAATCTCGTTTGATTCAAGATGGCTGAGGGCCGTTTTGGGGTGGCCATCTATAGGTGGTAGCCCCTTGTTTGGGGGCAGAGAAGAGATGAAAGGATTCACTGCCCTTTTTTATCTGTTTTTCATGATTACAACAACACGCTTGACTCGAAAATACTCGAAGTATGTTTAAGAGCCATTGACAACATGACTGCATGGTTGATGGCTCATGGACCTATTCCCTCATTCCAAAAATACCTGTTGGAACCTGCTCGTCTTTCAAGCCCTGGCTTGGTTTATGGGAAATATGCACAGGAAGCCGTGAGTTTGACCGAAAAATATCGGGGCGTCCTGCGGATTTGCCCTTGAACGAATTCTGTAATCTGGATGGATCTGGAATGATCTGGATATATCTCAGCCCAAAGGGATGTTTCTTTGTTTTTTTTTCGGTGCTCCTGGGTGTCTTTGATCTTCTCCTCATGAAGCAAACCCTCAGAGAAGGAATCCATGGTCCTCAGCTGAAAATCAGGGATGACATCTGGTTGAAATGGGGCTTTCCTCCATTGTAATAGGATGTTCAATTATAAACCATCCATTTTGGGGTACCTCAGGTACCTCCATTTATGGAAACCACCCCCAAATCTGTTGAAACATTCGACCACTCTACTCGAAGTATCTGAAGAGGGCGGTGGGACTTCTGCAGCCTACCACTTCTTGGAGAAAGCAGAGGGTCAGAAATTTCCGCTTCCAGGCTCTGCAATTTGCCACTTCCAGATTTGTCATGGTTTGTCTAGGCAATTATCCTAAGGTCACTTCCCCTTTCAAGTTTATCTATCCACAATATATCCATATTCTTAGCGCTTGCAGCCGTAAGGTTGTTAGGCGAGCCACTTGACTCCCGCGATGTATCCGATATCCAAACCCATCAGCAAACCTGCCTAAGTCGGGCCAGCATGTTGCAATTCCACCTAGGTTGTAGATAGAAAATCGATTAAAGAAACTCGCTAATCGCAGATGGTTGGTTGCAAAAAGGGCCCACAAAAGAAGCATCGTCCTTCTTCGTTTGCAAAATCGCCTAATGCGCCTGCACGACCAGTCTTTCTTGAGAGGGGACCATATGCTCATATGCTCCAATCAAAAGTATACAAAAGTCGTTTGGACACATGATTTTTCGTTGCAAGATTTGTTTACTAGCAGGTTCTTACTGGTGCTTAGTAGGGAATTTTCGGGAATGATCCACAATAACGATCAAGAATCATCCCAGCAACCCCCATTCCCATCCATTCCCTGCGTTTAGCACCAGTATTAGCACCAGTAAGGGCTCCCAGGGCCCCATGGGATCAGTTGCCAGAGATGAGAAGACTGCAACTGCCACCACCATGGAGATACCGCCACGACCGTGAAAGGCATCCGGAGAGTTCTCCTGGAAGTTATAGGCTCCCCGGCCCCCCGGCGATTTCAGCAGAAACAGATTATATATATATATATTTATATATAATGTTGCTAATACATATATATATATTATTATTATTATTATATAAATTAAGTATAAGTATTTACGAAGTTTATTATAGAATATTTTTATCTTCATCCATAAGTCTCCTTTTTGACGTCACCCTCTCAGCTCAGTTCCATCAGCTCCTCGATCCCTGCTTGCTTCAAAATCACCTCGACCTCCCCTTGAGATAAAGATGGCCTAGCGATGGTGAAAATATGGAGGTTTCCTACGTCAAGGGGGTGCCCTTATAGCTTCATGGTTTATGATGGAAAAGTCGAAAATAAAATGGATGATTTGGGGATCCTCCCATTTTAGGAAACCTCCATATTATAGGAATAGAATGGGTACATGTTAGGTGGGATATACCATCTTCAACCGACATCCATCCCCATTTTCATAGGAATCGAATGGATTAATCTATGAAGGACTGGCAATACCATAGGAAGAAAATCAGGGATAAACCTTTACAGAACAGAAAATATGATTGGGATTGATTGGGTACATAGCCAATACTGGTATGTACCAATAAAACTGGTGGTTGAGCCCCTGGCCCCTGAAAATCGGAAAGCCAATGGGGATCATCAGCCTATTTGTCGGACCAACAATCATACAGGACCATATGTTTTTTGTTTTTCTTTAATGGCAATAAACTGGGAAAATTGACATTTATGACATGAAAATTGACATAACACCATAATAAATTAATAAATGTCATTATTATCAGTGATTATCAGTGATAATTTATCACCAACAATTTGACAACCTGTTCTGAAATTTCTGGGAAAATCCCATGGCCATAATATCGAGGGCATCCCGGATGGCAATTTCTAGACCAGTAGGCCCACAAAGAGCTGATCACTGTTAGTATCATGGGCATCAGGTGGGGTTGAACATGTTGAGCATGGTGATCCCCAAGGTTCTGACACGGTCCATGTTGATTTTTAGCATCCCAAAAAGACGTCAACCGCTAATCCAAAAAAGACACAAAATTGGATCCATCCAATCAAATTTGGATCTTTAGCACACACAAAAACCGAAGTGCTGCATCACCTGCCTTGAAGACTTGTCAACCACTGCAACTGGCGCCATGGCGTAGGCGATAGGATGCCCGAGAACACGTGAGGGAAATCGCGAACTGAAAAAGGTTTCAGGCACAGGCCAAGGGGTACATCTGAAAAAGCGAACTTAGTGGTTAGTTGGTGGTTGAGCCACCCTACCCCAAAAAAATCATGTATAATAGTAATAGCATGTAATAGCAACCCCCCCAAAAAAAAGAAAGTAAATGATCACTTCGTCTACCAGCTGTCTTATGGCCATGCAATTTGGCCAACTGCTTCCGTCTTGTGCAAAACATTCCGATACTCCAAGCCTAGTAAAAATGTGTTGACTAATGTGGGATTCACCCTGGCTGCCATAAGCCTGCCGTTTTGGGATGGTCTATCGAACATCCCCTGTCAGTGCGGTGGCAAATCAAACATGTACCCAAAGCATGTGCATGATACTCTGGGTGACAAGTGACGAGTACATAATAATTACCTAGTAGATTACATTTTAATACACGCTCCCAAGGGTCATCATCGCAAATCCGGAAGATCCTATAGAATCAGATTCTCATGAGACGTTCATTTTTTGCGCAAAAACTCGTGCGCTCTCTCGGCAAATCCAAAAGCGGTCTTGGGGAGAGTCCCGCAAGGACAGGCGTCCCCAGGCCCGCCGTGCCGGCAGCCGCTTCACCCTTGTGCGCTTGCCCCCCACACAAGCGTCCAATACTCCCACCAAACAATGAATCGTTTGTTGCAAGCAGGAATGGTATGAAACAGCCTTCTCCAGGTCCAATCCTTTCAGAAAGCAAGTTGAAACAATCCATGGTCATTGTCTGGATCCAGTTGCGGGAGTCGATTAGACAATCACGAAAAACTCTTGAAACTTGAAACCTGAAACAAGAATTGAAATCACTGCGCCTGTTAAGTACTAATCAGGCGCTCCTACCATGCAACAACCAAGCCCATTCAGAAGGCCGGCTGCCAAAAGCTTGCATGTCGCCAGAATCTAAGAGCGGGTTAGGGCCTGTGTCAAGCAGCTACTCCTCGATTTCCAAGTCCATCTGTAGTTTCTAGTTGGTGTTTTTGTTCCAAAAGTACAAGATTAAACTAAACCATATTCAATCATATCAAAGTTCAAACAAACAACCACCCAGGTTGCAATAGTCGTGGTGGAGCCCGGCCGAAGGATGTTTAGAAGTCAAACTTCCGACAGTATGGGCAGATGAAACGCAGAGATGGGACGAGTCAGAGAAGAGAAAAAAAAAGAAGATCAAAGAAGAGAAAGTCTCAGAAGAAAAAAGATCCAGGTGCGCGAAAAGGTAGGAAAGTCGCGAAACACTGTGTTTTTCCAATGATTTGTGGCTCTGGAGGGTGGAAAAGTAGAGTCGCTAAAGCGGCGGGTGCGGAGCCATCTGGCCAGATGAGGGATGAAAAGTTGCACGCCATTGTGGCGCGAAGCACATTTCCAAGTCAAAATGTACAAAACACCTCAGCCGCGGAGCACTTTTAGAAGCTGAGATGTCGAAAAAGTGCGCGCCGCCGCGAAGCACATTTCCAAGTCAATATGTCGGAGCACTTTTGGAAGTTGCTGTGGCGCAAAGCACATTTCGAAGTCAAAATGCACAAAACACACCATGTTCGGACCACTTTTGTTGAGATGTCGAAAAAGTGCACGCCGTTGTGGCGCGAAGCACGTTTCGAAGTCAAAATGTACAAAACACGCCATGCTCGGACCACTTTTGGAAGTTGACATGTCGAAAAAGCGCACGCCGTTGTGGCGCGGAGCACATTTCCAAGTCAAAAGTGGAAAAAACAGAGGGGTACGGAGCACTTTTGGACGTTCAGATGTCGTTTTCCGTGGCAGGCGCAGGGGATTGTGCGCCTTGTCAAAAGTGAGCAAAACGTGAGGGTTTTGTAGCACTTTCAAAAACGATGGCAGGCGCGGGACACTGGAAAGATGCATTTCGCATGGCAAGCGCAGTACAAGAGACATGTTCATGAGAGATGTTGGGAGGTCAGGGCGGAGATTTCCTGAGAGGGTTGCATTTTGGAGCATGAGATCTTCAGGTTTGGGAAGATGATTTTGCGTGACAGGTGCAGCACTTTGTATGACCTGGCTTCACTTTTTCCGGGCAGGCGCAATACTTTAGAGACACAAATGGAAAAATCGCAAAACGCATTGGTACGAGGCCATCAGCTCTGCACTCAACTTTCCATTTTTCAAGGATGTCTCGCAGAATTGCTTTGTTTTTGATGTTGTCAAGTTTAAAAATTGAAGAAGTCTCGCAGAATTGCTTCGTTTTGGATGTTGTCAAGTTCAAAAATTGAAGAAGTCTCGCAGAATAGCTTCATTTTCAAGTTTGCAGGTAGACAGACAGACAGACAGACAAACAGACAGACAGACAGATAGATAATAGATAGATAGACAAATACAACTACAACTACCACTACACTACACTACACCACCGCTACAACTACAAATGCAAATAAACTACGCTAAATACACTAATTACACTACACTACACTACACTACACTATATACACTAATTACATCTAATTACACTACACCAATTACACTACAGCAACAACTACAACAACAACTACTAATAATAATAATAATACTAATAACACAGCAACGACTACAGTTACAACTACACTACGCTACACTAATTACACTGCAGTACACTACAACTACAAATACAACTACAACTACAACCACACTACATTACACTACACTACACTAGACTGATTACATTGCATTACACTACAACTACAACTGCAGCTGCAACTACACCTAAAACTACCACTACATTACAGCTTACACTACGCTACACTGCACATACTACACTACACTACACTAATTACACTGCACTACACTACAACTACAACTGCACTAGCTTACACTACATTAGGCTACACTACACTATACCACACTACACTACACAACACTACACGACATTACACTGCACTACACTACACTAATTACACCACATCACGACTACAACTGCAACTGCACTTGCAACTACACTGATTACACTATATTACAACTACAACTCCACTACACTACACAACACTACAACTACAGCTACAACTGCAACTACAACTACAACTGCACTACACGACACTACATCCAGCAGTTGTGGTAAGGTGACCACTGCAACCATTGCAACCATTCCAAAAAACACAGCTCCAACCACCTGTCGGTCCACCAGTGGATTCGCTCTGCCATCCGTGGTTCACAACAACCAACCTCTTCTATAGGTTTCCTATTTTTGAAACTTCCCCCACCGCCTTGTGCGGTACTACTGGTACTTTGTAATCCCAAACAAGCGGCTGCCTGCGTTCTGGGCACTCAGCCCACTTGGGATATAAATCGAATTTCAATACTTCGGGCTAAAACAATCCCTGTTGTCAAAGGCTCCATTCTATAAATTTGTGGGCCTTCCGATGGGTACCATTGCAACCTCACTATGGAATCCAACGGCCATATACTAGGTTTCCTGCATCGGAAGCATAGGGATGACAGTAAACTTCAGTAAACTTCATGAAAGAATCACTTGATGAATAAATGGTGCTGGTCGCCACTTTCTGGAAACAGTGAGTCATGAGCATATTATTTTGTCTATCTTTCTGAAGCATGTGTTGTGGTGATAGTGACACACACACCCATCTCAAAGACCGGCCCAGCTGTATACAGGATATTCCCAAGACATGTTCATCGAGCTGGTCGCAGGGCGAGAAGATAGGGCTCTGCAAAAATTGTGTCAAATCGTGCAGGAAGACTTGCAAAAGTCCTCAAAATTTCTTGGGTCCATCATTTTCTATCCTTTGCCATCATTTCAAGCCACATCAACAACGTCCTCCTGTACAATGCAACCAACGTCGGCTCAAAAATGTGCTGAGTTTTATACATTTGAGCGCAGTTTTCAGCAGCTCGGTCTACGCATCCACCGAATCCACGTCGGCGTTTTCGGTGGCCTTGCACTCGCCTGCCACGGAGGATACACCAACAAATGCGGGGCACTGAAGTCAGGGTCGAAAGGTCAAACAGAACTTTGAATGCTTACTGTATTATTGGTTATTACAAATGTTGAAAAGTACATTGTCATATATTATTGGTGATTGTTATATACGTATGCGGGTTTATAGTTTGAAGTGGAATCTGATGAATTCTTGCAAATACAATAATAATTATATAATACAAAATATATGATGAGAAAATGTGGTGAGAGATCGGTACAAATCAAAAAAACTTGGTGCGGGACTTTTTGGATAAAAATAGTACTTGATGCATAATTATAAACTATTCCAAAAGAACGCATTTCTGGAGTCACCATAGGAGCATTTCCCCGTGTGAAGGTGACGACTCTGACTGTTTTATTCTTGAGGATCAAACAAGTTCGAAGATGGGTGGAGTTTGAGATACCCTCTGGTAATTCAACCAATGGAAAATCCCTAAACTATCCCATGTATCAGTGATTTTGCCATCAACCTCCCAATTTTGTGGGACATAGGCGCCCCCGAGATGTCTCTCTTGGGTCAGGATCGCTTAGGCCAGTACGAAAAGATCACTTACTGTAGGGCTGGTTACTTTTTTACCTGAATGATTAAGACCTTTGGATTCCTTTGGGGTTGTGGGTTAGGGTGGGACATGGGGGAGCGGCAGACCAGGGAGCATGGGGACCTTTAGGGTGGGACGTGGGGACATTCGATGCCATGACTTGAAACTACAGTCCACATTTGCGCGCTTGGTTCATCTCTCTCTCTCTCTATGATGCCCAATCATAGATACACTTCAAAGAAAAAAATTAGCTGGTTGGTCTATATATATATATATATATATGTGTGTGTGTGTTCTTCTGAGCTGTTCTGCATCGTTTTGCTACTCTTGGGGGTTACCCCTATGGCCTCCCTGCCCCCCCGGTTTAAGCCTACTTCAAACGTTGTCATGAGGGGGTATCCAAAAAAATGATCCAAGTCCATCTGCCTATAGCACAAAGGGATAGTACATTTATTGACTCCCCCTACTTATTTATATAATATATATATACATATATATATATATATGTATTTGTATATAAATATATATATATAGTTATATAACTATACACATAATTATATATAGTGATTGTAGTGAATATGTAGGGTGTAGCTATACGTTGGAATTGGGTTATTGTACTCTACATTTTTGGTGTCTCCCGGGTCCCTTGGCTTCAACCTGGGTGGAACCAGTGGTTGAACATCAAGGTAATCTCCTCTAAGCTCTTGTCCTGTGCCGCGTGGGAAAAATGGATCTGGGATGCAACTAGGCAACAAAACCGTGGATTTGGGGTGTACCTGCATGAGGAATACACCCCGGCCACATATTCATGGGGGAAATGATAGTACTATAGGCTTTAATTAAGCCAATACATTTAGGGAGGTGCCAAATTTTCAGACACAGCCACACTTTGTGCGATGCTCAGAAACGGATAGGAATGCAGGATTTACCCAGCGAATTTGTGGGGATTTAAGCCTCAGAAATAGGGAAAAAATAAACTCCAATGAGCAATGGATATGGGTTCGCCTCAAAATGAGGGAGATCCAGAAATTGGCATTCAAACATGAGGAAAGTATGGGAAGATGATCAAATTAAGTGTGATCTACCTGTGGAGTTCCTGGCCGGCCAATCATTTAAACAGCCGGAAGTACATATTTCAGGATCTGATAATCTGATACACATTTAAACAGTCGGAAAAATATGAAATAAGCTTCGGTGGTATCCCCAACAGCCGCAACGGTTTATCCTTACAAATCTTTCTGAAGCATGCTGCGAAGCCAAGCGCTGGAAACACCTGAGCGTGCTCCAAAGCCTCTCAGACCTTCTCCGGAACCTTTTCCTCAACTCTGTTGAACCTGACCTGGCTCTGCACCAAATCCTCCCGGAACCTTCTCCGGAACCTTCTCCGGACCTGGCTCTGCACCAAAGCCTCCCAGACCTTCTCCGGCACTGGCTCCGGAACCCTGTTCAACCTAACCGGGCTCTGCACCAAGCCTCCCAGACATTCTCCGGAAGCTTCTTCGGAACCCTGTTGAACCTGACCTGGCTCTGCACCAAAGCGTCCCGGACCTTCTCCGGAACCTTCGGAACTTTTTCCGGAACCTCGTTGAACCTGACCCGGCGCCTGCACCAGTGCACACCGGAGCTAATTCTGGGCTGAAGACCCCATTAGCTAATTTAAATGTTATCACTATCACCGTAGGTTTTGGGCTCCCAAAAGAAGACCATGATCAGTCCCCAGTTGACATTGGAAGAAGTATACCAAAACGATTAAAATCCCATCCCCCTTTTATACGGTTAGGAACGTTTACACCCCCCTGAAAGCATGGTGGTAACAAAGGGGGTGTTGAATATGAACAGGGGATGGGATGAAATGAGCAAACAACGTTTTGGAACCTTCCAAACGTTTGGCCCAATCTTGGTGCTCTGCCACACCTTGGTCTCTGGCAAAGACATGGCGCAGAAGAGGCAGAGACAGTTGGTGCCAACGAAGACCCAAAACGTGTTGAAGCCCCAGTTGTCAAACATCAACGGTGGCAGGAAGGCAATCAAAATGTTGCCCACCTGAGGAACCACATCGCGGTTGTGGCGGGAACTTGAACAAAATGAATAAAGCACACTATTCATACCATGTGGTGATTTAACATAGCTATGGAACATGGTTCATTTAATGATGATTAACATGATGATTTACCGAACTTAAAAGGTGATTGTCCAGTGCGCAAACCGTTAAATAACAAGAGGGTACAACTCCTGAATGGATGTTCTGCAGCTGATGTGTCACTTCTGTGTCGGCAGGCGATTCAAAAGCACGTTCAAGTGCAACCAGATGGTGTTTAAGCTAAAGATCCCAGTGAAATCTGTTTCACGCAAAGCTTTTCTTTCATCAATCGGACTCAAGTCGGTGAAATTTCTGTATCAAATGCTATGCCCATGACAGAACAAAGGGGCTCACAATGTCAAGCCAGCTTGGGTCGTGCGACAACATGATGACTTCCGATGAGAAGGATGCAACGCCCCACAAGAAGTCTTCATAGTCACAGGGATGACGGAAATGACATGGCTGACCATAGATGTTGCCAAGACATGAAGCTCTCAACCTGTGAGAACCTCATCTTCCCATGATATCACCAAGTCTAGGAACTAGCGGCTGGCAACTAGTGAAAATATCACTCTGAAGGCCACTCAAATATTACCGTTCTTCAGGAATGGGTCGTGTAAATCACCATTCTTCAGGAATGAATTGTGTAAGATCCAAAATTGGTGGTAAAAAAAAATGTGGATCTGATTTTTCCCGCAAGCTTCAAAAGATAGAAAATGTAATTCATCCAGATAGCCTACAATGTGGGCCCCCCCAGTTATAAGTTGGTTTATAAGCCCCAGTAACTATAGTATAACATAGTATAACTATAGTTATAAGGACCATAAACCATAGTTATTGGAGTTATTTGCACCAACTTAGCTATCGTTTGGGGGCCCACTTTGTATCTTGGTCGAAATTTGTTTTTCACCGCCCAGGTACCCAGTTGGCATCGGTGGTGGCCGCCACCCCCTGGCCAGATGCCGATTTCACCGGTGATTTCACAGTAATGGGAAGAAAAAAGGGATGGAATATATCATGGGTATATCATGGGTATATCATGGGTATATGGTGGATAGAACATATCATTGGCACATGGATGTAGAAAAGGTGTATATGGTGTATGAACATATCATTGGTTTTGTCGGGAAAATATACACCGGGAACCATCGATTTTCCCATGAAAAATATGGGGCGTTCCGGCTAAAATTGTCCCTTAAACCAATCCATTGATAAATGGGATACTGGAATATCTCATGGATATATGGTGTATGGTCATCCATCCCATAATGGGAATCCAAACATCATGGGCATGTGACTCTCTCTATTGATGGATTGATGACCATTCTAAAACATTGCTATCTAGTCTAGTCCAAGTTTAGACCATGGTTTCTGGGGGGTGTTTAATATTGGGGGGATGGGATTATAAATGCCTGAAATTCGTGAAAAAAAATGTCCCTAGTTGTTGACCATCATTTTGATATGGCCCAACATGTATATACATTGTTTTCGGGACTGTACACACGGCTATTATATACATCCTTGTATATCCTTGTCATGGTTGCCAACAAAAAATCCACTGACTGCATGAAAAAGGTGGAAGGGGAGTCTCCTTCCCAAGATCTTCGGCTAGATGCTGAACCAAATTTATGAGCAAAAACCGATGCTTAAACCCATCAAACTGTGGACTCCCATTGCATCCCATGGTTTGGAAAACAATGAACATCATGTTCAGAATTGGGGCCCAATTCTAACAGTCTCACAAAGCCATTTTTGGTTCATCCGTTCAACATAGCCACTCTGCAGGAATGTCTGAGGCGGTAATTTGATGGTTTGGAACCTCATTTTTCTCTTTAAAATTGCCATGTAAGGTGGGAGTAAATATCCCATGGGCAAACCCAAGTTTCAGATCAAAAGTCAAATAGGTGAAGTATTTCCTATCAAATACCTTCTTTTCCAGGTCATAGCCCTTCAAATCCATTCTCAGTTTGGCAAATTTCCCATATTGTGTGTTTAAACACCGTGTTAAATCTTCAAGGTGTTATGAACCCACAATATGGGAAATAGGTGAGTTCCTATATTGGCAAATTTTATATTGGCAGATTTCACCAATATTGGAACGAAAATAGGGAGATTCCCATATTGTTTTTATTGGTGAATCTCCCTATTTTCGTTCCAATTCCTCCCCGAAATCACCGCTCCGAACACCATGCGGAATCGGCACACCTTGGTCCGGTGCTTCTGCGGAAACATCTCGGCACAGTAGACCCATGCCACGGGGCCCCAGCCTCAGGATGTGTGTCCAATAAGTGGACAATGATAACATAGTAAAAGTACTGGCAAAACTTATTGATAGTACCTAAATTAACACTGATAGTGATGAGGAAGATGGTGACGATGATCGTGATGGTGGTGATCGTGATGATGGATAATGATGATCATGATCATGATCATGACCATGATCATGATGATGATGATGATGATGATCCTAATCCTACTCCGACTCCTGCTCCTGCCTCCCCCTTTCATTGTCCAGCAGCCGTATGCAAAGTTCAGAATGAAACCGCAAATGGCCAGCGTGGCTGTCCTTGTACCAGTGATGTTCGCGATTTTCGGACCAACTTGTCACAAAACTGTGGAGCCGATACATACATATATATATATATATATATATGTATACATATATGTATATATATATATATTAATATGGGATCCCATATACCACTTTACCTCCACAGAACGTGGCCAGCACTCAGGGGGAGGTAAAGTTTGCAACCATAAATTCTGGTGTCTGGAGAAATTATTTGAATTTATTTGCACAATCTGTTTGCGCAACAATGTTCTACTCTGTTTTTTATCATCGCAGTAGTAAGTCCACAACTGTTCCAGATATGTAACAATAATTATGAGCATGTATCATGATTCTGAATCATGATAAATGCTCATGATTCTGAATCATGATAAATGCTCTACTAAGACGACGAAATATAACACGCATTTTTTTTTCGAATCTGGCGAAGCCATGGGTTTGGATTTTCATCATTTTCCTTCCTGTTTTTCTGTGTCCAAAAAACCAGCAAACTCATAGGGAGACCACGAGAATTCATGGGATATACTGGAAGATAATATGGCTATTGTTCAAAACCCTGGCACCTAGTGAACCCCAAAATAGCTGGGATTTATGGATGTTCATCCCATTGGAATTGATAATAATAAGGTTTTGACCCAGCCCCATATGATGTAGTTGGATATACAATCGACAAAATCTTCACGACATTTGGAGATATCTACTGGGATTTCCCAGCCGCTGGAAGTTATTCCCAGCCGAACGGCTGCCATGGAGGAATTGTGATGGCTGGTGACAATGACATCCTAAGAAAGGTGGATGGCTTAAGATGTTTAATCGTCTACCCACAATTTTAATGTTACCCTCTGGTAAACGTTTACATAACTATGGAAAATCACCATTTTCTAGCTGGGTAAATCCACTATTTCTATGGCCATTTTCAATAGATACAAGTTAAATAACCAGAGGGTATACATTGATGAGTTAGTTGATTGAGTGTTAGTTGATTGAGTGTTCATTGATCATTAAAAAGACAACAAAAAAACATGGGTCCAGCGGTACCCAAGACTCAAAATGTCCCATTACCATAGCTTCATGATGGCCATATCCCCATATTTTGGTCAGTTCTACTCCCATTCCTCACCCTGCCAAATTAGAAATAAACGCTAGCAAAGAGCTTTCATTTTTTGCATTCGATGTTCTAGTACTGGGGCATGATGGAATCTTTAGGCGACAAAAGCAACTAAATGGTCTCAAATCTGACCCCATACCTTGAAATTACATGTCTGTGAGCAAAATTTCAAGACTTCTAGACGAACTGTTTGGCTGGTCGCCATGTCAAAATGATTGCTCAAACAACCCATATGTTCTTCATATGATATGAATCATGGCTGTGTTGTCTTGCCCTCTCCATAGATTTCTGGTGCAAGATTTATGGTCGTCCAATCCATTTTCTAGGGTTTTGGGCCAGCCCCGTGCCAGCGCCTGATTCTCCAGACATATTTTCTTCAACACGAGGTCCCGTTTTTCTCCACGAGGTCCCATGAAATTTCCATGAAATCCCCATGAAGTTCCAATAAGTCCCATTAAACCACCATTAAGCCACCATTAAACCATCAATTAAACCACCATTTTTCCCATCTTTTTGGCTGTCAAGGATCCACTTGGCCCAAGGACCACAAGTTCCGATGTCGTCCTCTTGCCGTGCACGAGTAGCTTCCAATGGCCACTGGTGGATTCACCCAATGCCATTGGTCCAACTACCATTTGGGGATGGTTTTTACCATTTCGAGCTTAGGGATAAAAACAGGTCAAGTCAAGTCAAGTGCACCTGCACTTGACATGTTGTGGGCGCGATTTTTTATAACGTGCGAACCGGTGGACTCATTTTTTTTGCGGACAAAGTTATGAAACACTGACGGGCACATGTATTCACAAGCTCACGGACATATTGACGTGAATTGGAGTAAGTACTGGTGTATACATATATATATATATTATGTGTATATATATATATATTGTATATTGTATATTGCATAATATGTGTTGTATACTGAGACTGACATGTGTCTGTCATCTTGACATGCAATTGTACTGACACATAGCCAGACATTAGACTGCCAGATGTAGTCATACATATATATACATATGTATATATATATATAAATAAATCTGTATTTTATATATATAAGCTCTATAATATATATATATATATATCCACAATATATTTCTTGACATTTGTCTGACATATAGACAAACATCTGTGTACTTGTCTTGTGCTTTTGGTGTGTACTGATTGATGCAGACCTCGAAGCACAGGTCTCCAATGGACGCAAGGACACCGGAGCAAAACATCATTCCTTGGTCGCCGGAAAGTTTCGGACAGGTGACACAACCGGTGTCCCATGGTTGAAAGCGAAGCTGGAAAACCTATCTGCAACCCGTGAAAACCCATGATTTTCCTGGCATGAAAGTGAACATCAACTCAGCGATGTTGATGTTTACGATCGTCGGGATCTCGATCGATATCAGATCTGGAATCGGCATACCAAAATTGATCCTGAAGACAGCAAGTTTAGCATCGACGGGTCCCAAAAATCAAACTTTGGGGAACCAGATTATCCTCGGGCCAAGATGACCGTCATAATGGACAAAACAAGAGGCTCTTCAGCATCAGTCATGCGTTTCGCACTGGGTACTAAGCCATTGGTTTATTGTGAACTTATTTTGAGATGAGGCATACCCAGCTTTCAACAAGTCCACCATGTTTTTCAGGATCCCATGTGCTGACCATTGGGGATTTTTTTTTACCATAGGTCTGGGTGAGACCCGTTGGCACCACTACAGCAGCTGTTCGTCCTATAGGTGAAAAAAGAATGTCAAAAAGGATCTTCTCGGTTGAGAGCCCATGTTTTTATTTCTTCACGGTGTTCCCTGTTCTGTATTTGAAATGGTATATTGTGAAATTTTCTGCGCCAGCAATCTTTCATTGTTTCATACGTCCACGCCGCTCTAGGGCGACCCACCCTTCTGTGTTTAACTTGTTGTGGCAAAAGATTTCTTGTAGCGAAAGTGGCTTGATGTTGTGGGTGATCTCTTGGTCTTCTGATTATATGCCCCAATACTTTTCTTCGCTTTTCCTGTAGAACATAATTTTGGCTGGTTGATGGTTGGTCCTCATGGACAAATCCCTATACTTTCACCAGGTACTCACCCACTATTTCATACTATTTCTCAATCAAAAAATACCCCCAAAAACCAGGATGGCTGTTGAGAATGGCCGTCTCCATCAGATTTGGCCTTGGAAAGCCGTCGCCACAAAACAAGACCACAGTCAACCCATAAATTTCCACCGTGGCACCAACGGCGGACCACTTCATCAACACCGTTCGGCCGCACTTGTCCACCAAGAAAAGTCCAGGGATGGTGGCGAATATGTTGACCACACCTGCTGGGGAATTATCTTGGGGGTTTCACCTTTACCAGCAAAAAAGGAGAAACCAAAATCTACCAGGAACATCTGAAATTTGGATTGAATCAAGATTCGATTCCTCATTTTTGCTGGTTCAATCCACCAGTGTTTGGTGCTGAAATATTTCCATGGCAAAACACCATGTGGACGCTACATTTAGAAGCGCTATATTTGATGCATTGAAGGTATTATTTCCCGCTCCTTAAAGTGCGCATTTAGTAAAGTTCCTTGTTCCTTTTGAACGCCTACGAGTTCCTTCACAAAGGACCATCTTGACGCGTCTAACGGCCTGAGACTAGGGTAAAAAGGCGCCCAGCGTGTTCATTGCCGAAGATTTTGTCGAAGATCAAAGGGCCGTCGTACATGAAGGCGTTTCTAAAGGGCTGCTTCAGGCATCAAATCCATCAGTTGCTGGTGGATTTGGGCTACAGGGCTTCCAGGCCACAATTGTTCAAACAGGCACCAAATTATCTGTTGGAAAACCGCGCATTGACTGCTAAGCATCTCTAAACCAAAGGTGTACCTATAGAGTATAGTATGAGTATAGAGGTTGTGCGACAAAATCTTGACAGATGCAACACCATCAAGAGAGACTTTGAAACATAAACAATGATTCAAAGTTAAGTAGATTGTGACAAACTGTTTCATACTGTCTCTTTCTTTTTGCATACCTCTTGATGTGGTCTCCTGGCTTTGGAAAATGTTTACCCCGTGTCGTAAACCCAATTAAAACACAAAAACAAATAGAGGTTTGTGAATTGGGAAAATGGATATACATCACTCAAATATTTCATGTCCCAGTCATAGCTTGGGATGGTTAACAATGGGTTTCCGATGGCTAAACACCATACACTACCCATATCTACCCATCAGCCAATGTCACACATTATCCTCGAGCCGAGGCTCATGCCACAGAGTTGCTGTAAGAGTTGGATGCTGACGCCAATGCCCAGCAGTTTCACTGGGCGAGAGCTCGAGGCAAAAGGCCAAAATGCTGGAAGAAAATCTCAGGCTTTGGAAGTGACTTAAGCATCAAAAATCGTGATTGAAAACCAGGAGAAATGGTAATTTAACCAACCAAACAGCTGATTTCATGGGAAATCATAGGGATATCATGGAGATTTTTCATGGGGATATGGAAAAATCATCGGGATTATCACGTGGCAAACGTTGGGAAATCCCCGAACCAAACGGGGATTCTTCCATTTCCAGGCTTGATTATCAGATGCTATGGGTTTATCTGAAAATAGAATGCCTTTTTTTCTCCCATGGATCAACTCATCATTTTCCCCATTTTCCCCATAATTTGATGACCGTTTATTGAAACTATGACTTATGATACCCATGCTATAACCATTGCTTTGCGACGTGGATCTAAGCGGTTTTGTTTCATCCGATGAAAATAATGGGATCTTCATCCTCGACCGTGTCATTTTAGCGTCCGCTTTTGTGGATCAGTGAAGTACGACTGAGTATGGATACATAAGTAGTTTCAAGTTTCCAAGTTGAAACGACCATGTAAAACATTATACCATCATTTGAAATCATATAAAAGGGATAAAAGGGTTATTGGATCATATAAACTCAAATAAAGTCATATAGTACAACATAGATTCATGTTACATATGAAATCACTTATAAAATCATATAAATCAATGACCCAAGGCGACCCGGTACCAAGGCGCAGCTGTCGCCGGAGCAAAACTCGACCCAGGTGCCCTTCGTGGTCGAGTCCATCTCATGCTCTTGGCAAATCTCCGCCAGCTCTTCACGCACATCCTGCTGGAGCTGCTGGAGCACTGGAGCTGCTGGAGCTGCTGGGTCGACATAGTTCATAAATGTAGATGGTACTGATGGTACATGTTTGGAAAACCATCTATGATCATCTATATACATAAAATATATGATATATTATGATATATGAAATGATATCATATAGAACTGGGAGGGGTCTGACATATCAACATGTACCAAAGAAATGTATACAAATGTGGTGTTGTTTCTCCAGGAAAAGGGAGGCGTCAGGCTTACCAAGGGTCAGGTTTCTCCAGAAGCATCCTCCATAGATGTGTGTTTCAACATGGGTGGAAGTTTAAGACCCATTGAGAAGCATCGAGTTGACGAAATGGAAACTACTTCATTCATAGTTCATCTTGTTTATTTCAAAAATCTTGTTTTTCCCGTATATATATATACATATGTGTATACATGTATATATATATATTATATGTAAATGTGTATATTTATGTTGTTATATATATATAATACATATATATATATATATGTATATGCATATATATATATATGTATATATATGTAAATATATATGTATATATGCATATACATATATATTTACATATACATACATATATATATATATGTATGTATGTATGTATGTATATATATATGTACATATGTGTATATATATATGTGTGTGTGTTTCCCATTTCTCACTTGACCCCTCATGTTCTTCATTTCTTTCGCCATTCTTCCACGTGTTTCCCGGAAAATTTGCCCGGCCTCGCTGCGCAGCAACAACAAACACCTCAGCGCCTGCCGAGGCTTGCCTGAGGCTTGCCGTTGCACAGCTGGGGCTGTGGAGATCCTTCTGAATCAATGTGATTTAACATGATTTTGAGCATGAAAAATATTGGATTTCACCATGAATATAGGTGTTCTTCATTAAACTTGAGATGTTCCAAAGGAGTTGCCCTTTGGGTATTGCAAATCAAACAGGACATAGGAAGATCCCCAAAAGATCCCAAAAGGATTTTGTCCATTGTCAGGATAGATACCGGTACCCTCCAGAAAACCATGTGTATATATATATATGTGTATACATATATATATATTATGTATAATGCATGTATGTATGTACAGTGTAGTTTTATATATTATACATACATATATATATATAGCATAGATATGGAAAACGCACCACTGGTGATGCGTACATCATTTTATTTGGGCAACATCGGGCAACCATGGCTGTTCCCATCAGATCCGACCCAATTGTTCTAGGGTCAAGTTACATGGGATAGTTTCGGATGGTCCGGTGCAATGACCAGACGACATCGTTTCGTTTTAAAAAAAAGTCAGATGGGGATGGGTCAAAACCTTGTACCCCTGGTGAACCTCCAAATAGCTGGGATTTATGGATGTTCATCCCACTAAAAATGGTATTAATAGGTATTGATCCATAGCCAGATCTGAAACTGTGGTACCCCCAAATCCAATGGTGTTTCCAATCATTTTGCCATGAAGAGAATGGTGGTTCATCTTCATTTTTCCATCAGTGCCAGACTGCCGGACTTTGGGATATACTCATCGATTAGTAGGACAACCCCTGGGGATGCAACCTGTACTTTTTCCATGATTGGTTGGTCCTGTCCTGGATCACATTAAAATCTGTGGGTTAAAAAAACCCATGTTTCATGGTTAGATCATCTCAAATCCCCTTTTTGGGGTTATATATAATAAACCAATGTAAATCATGAAAAAACAACATGTTTTGATGCTTCAAGCCTCATTTCTTGATGGTTAAGTCCCATTTCTTGATGGTCCACGAAACAACACCAGCCCCCGCCTAGCCCCAGGCCAGGCCGTCCGGGTGCCTTGTTGTACCAAATAGCGAGGCGAGCCAGGCATGAAGATGCCGCCAATCACCAGCATGATGCCAGGGACGATCCTAGGATCTGAACCATGGCAGATACCATCAGTAGGGTTAGAACCAGAACCTGGTTATAACTCAGATTATGACAGATTATGGTTAGATCCATTAGTGATGTTAATATGATTTTAAAAAAATGTGTTTTGAACTCAGATTATGGTTACATATTTATACAACCATCAGTTCTAGATGGGGAGGTTCAGAACCACAACTCACTTATAGATGGAATCTGTGGTTCAGAACTATCATCGGATTGTGCTTCAGGAATGGGATCTGTGGTTTTGAGGGTGCATCACTTATAGAGGGGGAGTAAAAGAAAATAACTTTAAGCCACAAGATAGCCACAAGTAACTACAGCAACTAGTCATTTGGGGATCGGTTCCCTCCTTGGGGGTATTTGAGGTATATTTCAAGATAGGGGATGAGATTAATACGATACTCCACATTGTCCCGATTAGTGGGGAGCGATTGTAAAGCAAGGGTCACAGTGCTTAAGGCAGTGATAGATCCCTTGCTTGGATGTATGTATGTATGTATATATATATATATATTATAGGGGGTTCCATAAATGGGGGTACCCCTATTTCAGGAAACCTCCATATACACATTATATACTGAACACATAATTGTCACCTATATGCATACAATAGGAATCAAGAAAGGATTGGAGATTTGAATGGTTGATTTGGGGAGAAGTAAAAAAAACATCGCTAAAGATTGAGCTCCTAATGGACCCTTGAAAATATGCTGCATCACCCGTGCTTCCTCTTGATATCTCTTGATTAAATCCGCAGCAGGCCACATTCAAAGGACAAATGATACATATACTTTGTGTTGAACCGACGGAAGTGATTTGAGGTTACTGCACAAGGCAAGGCGGATCCTACTTCATTTTCCATTCCCTGACCCTTTTCCATGAATGACCTGGTTTTCAAACGCTGCGCTGAGTTTATGCGAACCCACCTCATTTTGCAGCTAGTTTGGGGGGTAGAAAGTATTTCCCGAAGACGATTGTTGTGCACAAAGTATCAGTAGAGAAGCAGTTGCTCTTATAAATATATCACTGCAGGCAGTGCAGGTGGACTCGGTCTACAGTGAAGCTGGTAAGCCATCCATCCCGCTCCAACCACCAGTCAAGCCGTAGTCCAACCGTAGTGCTACAAATTCATTGAAGATCTGGCTGGTGGTTCAAACCCACCAAGCTCGGCATCAACGCACCTCAACCTGTGCCATCTCCCGTCATTTTTCTTGGTTATTATCACACATGGCGAAAAAATTGGGACTTGAAAATGACAATCATCAATCATCATCTGGGGAAAATGACATAAAATGACCATCATCTGGGACTCAATTTTTGAATCTCGACCCATTTTTCGGAATGTTTTTCCCCAATACAAAAAACGCGGGGCTTTCGAAGAACTCCGCCCTTCACCCGGTCTTCTGAACTCGGCCCATCTGCTGTGCCGCGATGACCCATCGCCATCCGCCATAGGGTTTCTCGACATCTTCCAAGACCAAGGCTAGGAGAAAGGCGATCATGATACCCACCTGGGTATCACGCGGAAAAAAAAACATCAAATGCATGGTTTTTAATGGTAAGTTTATATATTGCTATTACTGTAGGATTTATGATGGATATTAGTATACAATTCAATTCTATAATTCAAAATGGCGGAGAAAATTAGGTTCGTCCCCTAGCGGTAATGAAGGTCTTGCACACCCCTCAGCAAGGCTAAGGCGAAGCCAGACTGAATTAGGATTACAATGATTTTGCCGGTTACTCATATACACACACACATATATATATATACGTATATATAATTATATATATTGTACTATATTATACAGTCGGGTGGGGTTATAAACTGACAATTTGGAGGCACTTCCTGTATGTGTACCAGGATGAAAGGAGGGTTTCGCCTACCATTTTTTTTGGTGCATCACCTGGCCCTTTCGGAATCGTCTCCAATGACCATCTTTTGTGAGTTGGATATGTGTACATATATATATATGTTGAATGATGCAAAGTCCTTGTATCAGAGAGTGCTTTGGTGTAAAACACTGAAATGATGAAGATGATGAAGACTCCAAGTTGGCAGGCTACCTGCTAAGCCCTGCTACCTATTCCACTTCATCACCAGATTTCACCACTGCCATTGCAGTGATTCTAGAAAAACATGTTTAATCTTGGTTCATCGCATCTCACTATTAAATGCCCAGAAATACAAGGTGCTGCCAGCTAAGTTGGTTTATAACTCTAATGACTAGGACTTACTTATGGTAGATATATATTATATATACATATATATATATATATAGTATGGGTATGGGTTCATAAACCAACAAACATCACTGGAGGGGTCACCCATATATGCCCAATGAGGTCCACCCAGTGCTGAACAGATACCGTGATGGCGAACTGGAACCCCGTGACCAGCGCGCCGCGCAACGCAGGGGGTGCGATCTCGCTGGTGTAGACCGGGGCGTTGCCCGACAGCAAACCCACTGAGAAGCCGGCGATGATGCGACCCAACAGCATCATTGCCATGTTGATGGCCTTAGCAAAACATGGGGTGGGCATGTGACTCTCCCCCCATGATTTGGCCCATCTGTGCAGATTTTCCGCTACCAACCCAGTGATAGAAACAAAAAAGACAGCAGGGGTTCACAGACAGTTCGTTCAACCAGTTTCGGAAATATACAGACTAAGCTGCTGGTTGACTTGAACATCTGTGGAAACAGTGGCGTTACAGTCATGCACTGTCATATGTTCTGTCAATTGGGAAATCTCCACAGCTGCATCAAAAAATGGCTGTCCAACCGGGATATTGGTCAGAACATGTTGCACATTCTTCCCTTTTCTAGCCATCTCCAATCCATCTCCTAGTTTTCGACCCATTTTTCCAACCTTCGGATCCTTCGGATCCTTCGGCTGAGGCGCTAAAGCCTGCAGTGCAGCCCCTAGGCAGAAGACGAGGCCTCCGAAGATCACGGCGCCCTTCCGGCCCAGCTTCGAGACGCAGCAATCCATGACCGGTGGAAAGGCCGCCACTGCGGCACCCACTCCGAAGATCATGGTGATCAAACTGTCCTGGATCTGGATGTCTTCTGCATGTCCGGGGGAGAAAGGTCTTTTGGACCGTTTTTTTTGGATCGGAAAAGTTCATGGCATCGTTTTTTGAGAAATGAGAGAGATTGGCGAGGGGAACTCTAGGACTCTAGGGATGAAACATGTTGAAACATGCTGAAACCAAGAATGAATATGGCTGAGTCCAAGATCAAGTCAGGGAACCAGTGAAAATTGGGACAAACATGCGCCAACAACAGAAAATATGGAATGCCTTGAATAGGAGATATGTGCTTCTTTGCTGCATGTAAAAAGAGATCTGCAACTGAGATCTGAATCTCGTTTGATTCAAGATGGCTGAGGGCCGTTTTGGGGTGGCCATCTATAGGTGGTAGCCCCTTGTTTGGGGCAGAGAAGAGATGAAAGGATTCACTGCCCTTTTTTATCTGTTTTCCATGATTACAACAACACGCTTGACTCGAAAATACTCGAAGTATGTTTCAGAGCCATTGACAACATGACTGCATGGTTGATGGCTCATGGACCTATTCCCTCATTCCAAAAATACCTGTTGGAACCTGCTCGTCTTTCAAGCCCTGGCTTGGTTTATGGGAAATATGCACAGGAAGCCGTGAGTTTGACCGAAAAATATCGGGGCGTCCTGCGGATTTGCCCTTGAACCAATTCTGTAATCTGGATGGATCTGGAATGATCTGGATATATCTCAGCCCAAAGGGATGTTTCTTTGTTTTTTTTTCGGTGCTCCTGGGTGTCTTTGATCTTCTCCTCATGAAGCAAACCCTCAGAGAAGGAATCCATGGTCCTCAGCTGAAAATCAGGGATGACATCTGGTTGAAATGAGGCTTTCCTCCATTGTAATAGGATGTTCAATTATAAACCATCCATTTTGGGGTACCTCAGGTACCTCCATTTATGGAAACCCCCAAATCTGTTGAAACATTCGACCACTCGACGTATCTGAAGAGGGCGGTGGGACTTCTGCAGCGTACCACTTCTTGGAGAAAGCAGAGGGTCAGAAATTCCGCTTCCAGGCTCTGCAATTTGCCGCTTCCAGATTTGTCATGGTTTGTCTAGGCAATTATCCTAAGGTCACTTCCCCTTTCAAGTTTATCTATCCACAATATATCCATATTCTTAGCGCTTGCAGCCGTAAGGTTGTTAGGCGAGCCACTTGACTCCCGCGATGTATCCGATATCCAAACCCATCAGCAAACCTGCCTAAGTCGGGCCAGCATGTTGCAATTCCACCTAGGTTGTAGATAGAAAATCGATTAAAGAAATTCGCTAATCGCAGATGGTTGGTTGCAAAAAGGGCCCACAAAAGAAGCATCGTCCTTCTTCGTTTGCAAAATCGCCTAATGCGCCTGCACGACCAGTCTTTCTTGAGAGGGGACCATATGCTCATATGCTCCAATCAAAAGTATACAAAAGTCGTTTGGACACATGATTTTTCGTTGCAAGATTTGTTTACTAGCAGGTTCTTACTGGTGCTTAGTAGGGAATTTTCGGGAATGATCCACAATAACGATCAAGAATCATCCCAGCAACCCCCATTCCCATCCATTCCCTGCGTTTAGCACCAGTATTAGCACCAGTAAGGGCTCCCAGGGCCCCATGGGATCAGTTGCCAGAGATGAGAAGACTGCAACTGCCACCACCATGGAGATACCGCCACGACCGTGAAAGGCATCCGGAGAGTTCTCCTGGAAGTTATAGGCTCCCCGGCCCCCCGGCGATTTCAGCAGAAACAGATTATATATATATATATATTTATATATAATGTTGCTAATACATATATATATATATTATTATATAAATTAAGTATAAGTATTTACGAAGTTTATTATAGAATATTTTTATTTTCATCCATAAGTCTCCTTTTTGACGTCACCCTCTCAGCTCAGTTCCATCAGCTCCTCGATCCCTGCTTGCTTCAAAATCACCTCGACCTCCCCTTGAGATAAAGATGGCCTAGCGATGGTGAAAATATGGAGGTTTCCTACATCAAGGGGGTGCCCTTATAGCTGCATGGTTTATGATGGAAAAGTCGAAAATAAAATGGATGATTTGGGGATCCTCCCATTTTAGGAAACCTCCATATAGATCCTCGTTAAAATTAGGGGGGAGGGGTTGTGCCCCCATGTTGTAGACATAAGACGCTTGTTCCCAACCACGGTTGCTACAAAAAGATAGGCCCAAGCAAAAAAAAACATACTACAAAATGAGTGTCCATATACCTGTCGCATCGAATGTTCGACACTACAACATGAGGGTTACAGGGTAAGTAGTGAATAATCCAGATGTATCCACATGTCGTAAATCCCTTCATATACCTTGAGAACCCCTTTCTGTAGTGCTGTCTTGGCCAGCTAGCAGATGAGCACCATTTTGCCGATCGCATTTTGTAGTGATGGAAATTTTGTAGTGATGGTTTTGACCAAAGCTCATGTACATTCATCTACCACTTATCATCATTGTGTATGCACTCTTCCTTTGGAGCAGTGCTTGCACAATCTCAGCTCAGTCATGACTTTGCCATCATTTTCTCTCTGGCAGCACGTAGCATACAGATGAAAAGCGCGACCAGTCTTGCTCACGAACACTGACTGCAGGACGCCATCTTTGCGGCTTGGTCGTGGAGCACAGCAAAGCACCAAAGCAGTGATACCAGCTCCAACCAAACAGCCTGCTACAAAAGTAGCCAGCACCATCACTTCCATCACATCCAGCATTGCAACTTAAAGCTGCGTAAAGGGATCCTGGGCTTCTAAGATTTGAATCTGAAATGGCGTGCTACAAAAAACATGTATGCACATGTGCTGACTACACATGTTTGGCATTGGCACACATGGATTGGCAAAGCTGATCAAGCAATCGCAAGGAGGCTCAAAGTGTCGCAATGTCACTTCATGCCACAAGCTACCAAACCCCTCTACAACATGCTGTTGCACGACATACGCAACTATAACAAGGAAAACTGAAGTAACCATAATTAAGCCCAATTATATGGTTTGGATTGGTTTGGGTACAAACAACTGCCATACAACATTGTGTTGCCCAACACGTGCCACTACAAAAAGAGGAAACAGCCTTGAACTGTTTTTTTTCTCCTTTCCAGATCTTTCCAGATCTTTTCAGTCGAGCCAGTTGCCACTATGGCGTCATAGGCTCTTGCTTCCCTAGCATAGCATGGCTATGCACTAAGGCGCCGACACAAATAAACACTCAAAGGCCAGCAATTGCAGCCAACAAAGGTCATCTCTATTCATTTCTCACTTTATTAATTTGACATTTGTATACATTTGTATACATTTGTATACATTTGTGGGAACCATGTTGGGTTGAGTGTTGGATTGCCAAGCTGATACAAAAAGGTTTGGAAATGTTTGGAATGGTTTGGATACAATTCTGTTGGCTGGTTCATCTTGAACTCTAACCTATCTTGCAAACTAATTGTCGAATATTGTCGACGGGTGCGACGTCGACATTACGTTCATGCCAAACAAACAGACGACAAACAGGCTTCGTGAAGCCTATGGCTGTTTGTCCATCTTGGACATTCTGGCTGAACCAGAAGCGAAACATTGGAGTCTTGGTTGCAATGGCTAAACGATTCTAAACAAACAAAACAGGTTATCGAAATGACTCTAGATAACACTCAACCATTGGAAAACCATGAGCAATCAATCAAAAATATTCAAAAATCATTGGAAACCACTGTCCTGGACAGCCAAGAACCACCAAAACTCCCCAATCAAAATCAAAAGTTGGACTCAATTTGTGCCCTGGCCGTTATTGTTTGCCTTCAGGAAGTCAGACAAATCTTTCACGAGCCTGAGCCAAGGCTGACGCTTTGGCTCACTGCCCCCCAAGCTGGTCCTCACGGAGGTGATGTGGCGCCACACTGCCTTGCCATAGCCCGCACCTGACGAAGCATGCTTATACCTTAGCTGACAGTGCGTGAAGTGCTATAAAATGGTGGGTTACAACTTCAACACTACAAAATGCTAAACGGAGAACTGATGATGTTTTTTGAAGGATGTTTCTCGCATAACACGCAATAATCAACTACCCAAGAACATGTTTATATGGATTTATATGGTTATAAGGTTATATGATTGATGTTTATGGTGTTATTGTTATATGAGGTTAAATGGGTCTATATATGGTTACAATATGTTACAATCAATGAATATTAATGGTGATAATGATTGTATGCTATTGTGAGGACCACATTGACTGTGAGGTGCTATAAAATGGTGGGTCACAACTTCAGCACTACAAAATGCCAAACAGAGTATTTGGATGTATTTGGCATCAAACAACCATCCAAAACCACTAGTGTATTAAAGGTACATTGTCTCAAAGGCCGCTGGAGCAATGTCAGCCAATTCCTGCCATTTGATGGACTCAGCACCCTCGAACTTCATGCGACAGCGGCCCTCATCATCGAAAGCTGGGGCCTGTGGAAAGGCCTCACTGTCCAACGCCTTCAAATCGTCAAGGAGCTCCCTGATCACAGCACGACCTGCATTTGTGCGCCGGATGCTCTTGTCACTGTGCTCTTCAACTGGAACGGATGGCTTCGATGGCTTGGCTGCGACCTTGGGCTTCTTGACATGAAGGTCGACTGGCTTGGCTTTGGGCCCAGCCTTTTTCTCCTTCTTCTCCGTGGGTTTGCTCTCTGTTTTTGATCCCCGAGACATTGTGGCTTGCACCTTCCAACGGGTCAAAGTAACAGCCTTTTCGAGAACAGCAGTGGATTCCTGGGTCAGGCGCAGCTTGACTCGTCCATATCCATCGCTTGGTTGCTCACCTTGGATAGATTGGACAGGTGCCAATGCTGCACCAAATCTGATTTGTATCCCATATATACCGACCCGTGTGTAGAAAATGGTGGCACCAACCTATCGCACTACAAAATGTCAGAAGATTTGTCAAAGACTATAGAATGTCAGAATATGAATATACGTCGGATAGAATGTTAG